ATATCCATCATATAATATAAAGTATTAAAAAAATTGTATATACAATTATGAGACGCTTGTTCGAGTGGGGACTGACACTTATTTGCTGAATTGTGCAGATGAGTGATTTTTCAGTGGAGTAATGGGATCTGAATCATCTCGATGAAGTCCCATATCATAACGGCCAGAGCACGAAAGAGCAATCTGTAAATATAAAAACAGTAAGTCATAAAATTTGTTTACTTGCAGTAATACATATGATTCATACGTACACTATATAAATACAGACAGAGTATCCTTACCAGTGCATTTATATACATAGTTTAACCGTGCTGCATACTGATCCATCAGGTAAATAAACCTGCAATTGTTCTTAGGAATAAAAAGATAAACTGCATGTAATTATTTGTTGTTGTAAGCAACATAAAAATGAACAATAATTGATCCTAGATACAAACATTTTCAAGATGAAATAATGAAAATTATTAAATCGCCATATCAGATGGCATAATAGTCTGAAACATGAATAAATAACTTTAAAACCACAATTCTTAAATGTAACTGGTGTAATGCTATCAGAGCAAAAAGACGGATTAAAGGATAAAGTTCTCAACGAAAACTAAATTATGTAAATGAAAATAAATTGTTCAAAAGATGCATCCTTTATTAAGATATAAGCTCCTTGGTGATCCTTCATTATGATTAAAGCTTCCTGACACGCTTGTTGGGGTTGGACTTGACACTTTCTTCGCGACATTGTGCAGATGCAGTTTTCTTCGGTGGAGGACTATCAGCTGTATCATCTCCAGGAGCTCCCATATCGGTATCATCAGTGCACGAAACTGCAGTCTGCAAATATACACAATAGTAAGTCAACATACTTGTTTACTTCCAGTAATATGTATGTTTATTTGTGAAGTACATAAACACTTATTAAATACCTTAACAGTGCTCTTAGATAATGGGGTTAAATTGTTGTAGAAATCGACACTTAGTTCAAGATCACTTTCTTGCATAATTAGAAAATAATTAAGTTGATATAAAGTAGTGACAGTGTTAATCATTTACACATAAATTGGTTATTGTTTAAAACCTGATCATCAGGAACATCATCAAGGTATTTTCTTATAACGTCTGCATCTGTTGTAACCCTTGCAACTGATATCTCACTGTTGGTGTTTCTAATGTTATAGTCAGAGACATCTAGCCTGAACAAACATTTTTTCCCCACAATCTCATCTAGAATGTCAGGGTAACCTTTAGGGTACTGTTAAAGAATTGCAAATGAATATCAATTAATAATCCCTTTATTGAAAAATAATGCAACTGAGTGAAAATGAGTATTAAAGAATATATATGATGTAATTGTATTTAATTTGCACCTGTTCGCGTAGCACAGAAGCACTTTTGTTTATGAAGTTGTAGACCATTTTGTCCCATAGACTAAAAATTCTGCTACCAGAACCATCAACCAAATACACCTGCAACTTGAATCTGAAATTTGTACATCAGTTAGCAATTTTACAAAGTAACAAAGAGATTTAATATAATTTATCTGTATAAAAACCATTTTAAATTATGTAATGTCACTATATTTTATTTACTTCGCAGCTACAGCGAAGACAGGGCCATGGTTTTTGCACATCTGATGGGGTGTCAAGCCACACAAATAAAATAACCTACTTCAAACTAATACAAACTAATACAAATGGATTTTTTCCTCATGGAACGATGGATTGTTTCCTTCAAACTAATACAAATGGATTTTTTTGATTGTTGTTCTAGTCTATAATACTAAAAAACTCAAATAACATAAAATAAATAAAGAAAAGAAATCAAAATAGCAAACTTATGACTCAAGGGACGGATAACTCAATTATTTCATTAATCACAGGCTACTAAAACTACTCTTGCAATTTAAGCATTCAACCAAAGATCTATAGCCGTAATAAATCAATTAATCTCCCTAAATTAACTAACCAAGCCTAGCACTCAATTAGTCCTTATCATAATTCGGTTGGGCATGATAGTGTTCCATGCCAAACAATGATAGCATAAAAACCAAGGAAATATAGTTGAACCAAAACCTAAACAATTGAGATAGCTGCAGCTATTCAGACTTTGTCTCATTGATTCCACATTTAAACTAACATTCATATTCAATGTCTCACCAATACACATGCTATGTTTAATTGCTATATAGTACTGCCGGTTCGTGTCTATTACGTAACATTCAACTAGCAGATAGCACTAGAAAATAAATAACAAATCAAGTTGTCAATTTGAATGATATTTACTTTCATAACTCAATACAAGAATCAATAAATACTTAAATTATAGGCAAGAACAATAAATTAAGAACAAAACCTCATAATGGAATAACTGAATAAATCCCTTGAATCAGAAAGAAAATCCTTAGCCACTCATGAATGGAAACATGGCGGTTTTATTCTCTATGAAAATCCAAGAAAAATTGGAAAAAATAAAAGGTTTGAGGTGCTAGCCTTTGGCCTATGCACGGCTACCCTTTTTACAAAACTAAGAATCCTCTTATAATAGAAATTTAGGTAGAAATTTAGGTCAGCCGCAGGAAAACAGCAAAAGACAAATTGCAGCTTTGGTCCCTCAACTTTGTAGCCTCTTCATTTTTGTCCCAAAACTTCTTCAATTTTGCAAAAAGGTCCCTAGACGTCCAGATTTGTAAAAAATAGTTCCAATCTCTTATTTCCAACTCCAAACATGAAATAATAACAAAAATAATGAATTAAATCCATCCTAATCCATAAACTAATAAAATATCAACAATTAAAACACAATTTATGGACTCTATCAAATTCCCCCACACTCGAAGCATGCTTGTCCTCAAGCATTAAAGAACACAGGAATTCTAAAATTTCTCTTATTTAAGATGCACCTTAGAAACTCTAGCACTCAAAAGAAATCATGGTAACACCGAAACAAAAATTCACAACCAAGTCAAATACATTATGTACTTTTACCCTTTAGCCCTTTGTGTGTGAATGTAAACCATTCTCTAGGGATATCACTGTTACACATAGCATAAAATACAAAAATTCAAATGCAAATATGCCACTGAAGAGTGAACTTAAGATCTCCAATTCAGATCATACTTCAATGCAACCTTACTCCTACACATATTATGAAACCGAAGGCTTACAATTACACCTCACATAATACAATTCAACGCACTTCCCTCGTACCCATTCTTCGGTGTCCATATGGCTTTCCTTCAGGATCTTTCCCACTCAGGCCCCTACTCAGGATCCTAACATGATCCTGCCGGGTTTTTTAATTTTGGAGCCTCAGGTTTTTTTTCGTATATGGCCAATTATGAAGTATGTTTTTTCTTTATTTAATTGCTTTTGATTTTGTATCATACTCCCAGTTGACCAATTATTATTATTATTATTATTATTATTATTATTATTATTTTATTTTCAAATGAAGCACGTTTTTTTTTGTGTTCGGGGTTTCAAGAGTATATTTTTTTGGATTTGGTTTTTAGACTTTTTTTAGTTCCTCATCATATAAATAGTTCAGGTCGCTTCTTTTAACTAATTTATGGGGAATCCTTTTATGAATTTAAGGTGGAGAGGGAAGGAATGATGTTTCTATGTTTATTTGTATTTTTATACATCATTTTTACCTACAGAAAAAAATAAAAATTCTCAAATTTTAATGGGCTATCTTTTACTTTTTTTTTATTCGCCATCGTGAGGTGAGTTCTTTTTTGCTATATCTTGAAACCTATGCAAATTTATATTATTTTCATTATCATATTTGTGATCAACCAGTTTCAACAATTAACCAGTTTCAAAATCATATTTTTGATATTTTACTACCTATAAACTTATGGAAGAAATAGTTCCAACAATTAAGCATATACTCTTTGGAAGAAGCTAACTACAAAGCTATTATAAATCTCAAAAATTAAGTATTGATTTGGCACAACCAATAGAGAAAATCAATAAATTATCTTACTAATATTTAAACTTATTAGGATGCTTTTATATTTTGTCTAGCATTTACTTCAAGACATATATTTGATCAAGTTTGTTTATATTTAAGAAGTAACATTTATAAAATATTTCTAAAATCTTCAAACATTTCTAAAAACTACCGGGCCAAATACAATTTATTTTTTTGCCAAATACATACATCACACTTATAAAACATTTCTAAAATTCTTCAAATATTTCTAAAATATATCGGGCCAAATACAAAATATTTTTTTTCCAGATACAAACATTTCTAAGATTTACAGATATATTGGGCCAGAACCGCGCATTGCGCGACCAGACATCACTAGTAATAATAATAAACAAATATTATATCTTTCGGCTTCTTCATGACTTGCCACAACCACCCATTTTGGCCCCAATTATTTTTTGATCTGTTCTACAAAATTAAAGCTGCGCCTATTCTGAATAGTAACCTTCTCTTCTCCTCCTCAATCAAATAAATAAAGTTAACTAATTGATGGTACGCACGCACAATCAAAATCCATTAGTATTATCAACATTTTCTCCGTAAACATTTTTTTTTTTCCTGATTTTCATTTTTGTTTTCCGCCATATCCTTCCTTCCAAGAGAGGGGGAATCATCAATCATTGTAGGATGCATCAACATGGAACTTGAATTATATTAATTTCTTCTTTGGGTGGGAAACTCGTGATCATGATTACGCCCCTTCTTGTGGGATTCATCATTGTTCGTCTTCTTCTTCCTTGTTGATCTTCAGCTTCCTTCTTCCACATTTTGCAATTTGATATCCATCTATATATCATCTATTACATATATTATTTACCTCATATTTGATCTTTCCTTCCATATATGTTACCGCATATAAAGATGCAAGTCCGTTGATTTTGTAATGATGAATGATTTGAACCCCCTGGAATTTATAATAATAATCCTTGATGATCGATGAATCAAGTATTTAGATTATTTTGTGTCTCCATTTCCTTTAAAGCTGTAGCTGTATAGAGAAAGAGGTGGAGATGATGATGAATACAGCAGCAGCAACAGCTGGATGGGCTTACTTTGATCCTGATTTTGATGGCCTCTCGGAAAGACTCTATGGTCCTGCGTGCGTGAGATTTTATTTTATTTTTATTAGATTCCCAGTACTTTGTATTAGTACATAAATTTTGTCATTAATCACATATATGGAATAATTGGGGCATATATGCAGATGCAGAGTTACTATTGACAATGAAAGCTTGGGTGATTGCACCATGATTAAGGTAGGTTAGTTAATTATATATGTGGATGAGATGAGAAAACTTGTCACCTATACAAAGCTTTTTTCCATTTGTTAACTCACGCGTTTGCTAATTCATGCGTATGCTCTCCTCTGTCCCATACAAAAAGTTGCCGACATTTTAGTACCAATCTCAAAACTCGTTGTTGACTATGTTTTATGAGATAGAGGGAGTAAATTTTTTTATTTTTTATTTTTTGATAAGTTTTGATTGATTGAATGTGGAAAGGGTTTATGTGTGGGGTGCAGATAGATTGTGTGAAGAAGCAAGGGTTGTTGCTGGAGGTGGTGCAAGTTCTAACTGATATGAACCTCACCATTTTGAAAGGCTACATTTCTTCCGATGCTGGTTGGTTCATGGACGGTATTCCTTCTTCTTCTTCCTCACACAACTCTTTATTTATTTATTGTATTAATTTATTGCCATCTCTATTCCTCTTTTTTTTTTGGGTGACATTTTATTAATATATACAATACATTATTTTTTCCCCCTTCAGTTTTCCATGTGAAAGACGAAAATGGGAAAAAAGTTACCAATCAGAATGTCATCAACTATATCCAAAAGGTAATCTCTTCCCACCATTACGAGAGATTTGAGATTGAAACCTCTTGATTATTACAATCACATAAAGAAGAAGTGATCTTGAAATGAGTTGATGAACTCAAGTGGATTTTGTGTTCAAATGACTGATATTCGTTGGTGTTATATATGTTTTCAATAATTTCGGGACATAGAGATTTGAATTTAAAAATGAAACTTTAAACAATACAATAATTTTGGGATCGGTGGGAAGTAATTTGTTTTAAGAGTACGCGACTAAATGAATCCCCAGTGGAATAGCACAAAACCACACATTTGACATTTCCAAGTATGAGGGAGAGAGAATATTATGAACATTTTTATGGGTGTGGTTTGTTGTATATATACAGGCACTTGGTGCAAGTAAGGAAACAGCAAAAGCAAAGTTGTTGGTTGATGATGATAGGGTTTCCTCATCAAATATCCAAAATGGAACTCCCAAATCCCCCAACAATGATCAACAACAACCACAACAACAGCCGCCCAGAGCCATCGAGATGACCGGAAGAGACAGGCCGGGGCTGTTGTCGGAGATTTCAGCTGCACTGGCGGACCTTCACATCAACGTGGTGGAAGCCCATGCTTGGTCCCACAACGCTCGGTTGGCATGCATCGCCTACATATCCGACCAACACCAAGGCTCCCCAATCGATAACCACCGCCTCGCCGCCATCGAGCACCACCTCACCACCGTCCTCCGCGCCACCACCATCCGGAACACCGCCGTGGAGGACACCTGCACCATCCATCACCAGCAACCCGATCCCCCAGCCACCGCCGCAACCGACCCGGTGGTGGTGACCGACGTCGAAAGGCGTTTGCATCAGCTCATGCTATCGGTACGGGACTTCGACCGTCCTAATAATAATTCTGCTTCTTCCAGCTCCAGGACATCATCATCGTCGTCGTCGTGGATGGCGGCGGCGATTCCGATGTCGTCGTCGTCGTCAAGAAATGATGATCAGTACGCTGATGATGAAGAGGAGGGAGAGGAGGGGGAGGAGGTGTTCGTGGAGAGCTGCAAGGAGAAGGGGTATTCCATAGTGACGGTGAGCTGTAAAGATCGGCGGCGGCTCATGTTCGACACCGTCTGCACCCTCACCGACATGCACTACGTCATCTTCCACGCTTCCGTGGACTCCCGGGACGGATTCGCATTCCAGGAGTATTTCATCCGCCACGCCGACGGCTGCCCACTCAACACTCACGCCGAGAAGCACCGGGTGAAGAAATGCCTGAAGGCCGCCATACAACGCCGGGTCTGCGAGGGGGTTCGGTTGGAGCTGTGGGCGACCAACCGGGTGGGGCTGCTGTCGGACATAACCCGGGTACTCAGGGAAAACGGGCTGGCGGTGGTCAGGGCGGACGTGGAAACCCAAGGGGAGAAGGCGGTCAACGCATTCTACGTCAGGGATATGTCGGGCAGCAACGACGTGGATGTGGAATTCATGCTCAGCTCAATGCGCTCCCAAATGGGGGGTCCCCACAACAACTCCATCTTACATCTTGCCGTCAAACATGAATCCACCTCAACCTGCTCCGCCAGCAGTAGCAGTTCCGGCTCACCTGATCATCATCAACACCAAAGGCCTCGCTTCTCCATCAGTGATGTCTTGAAATCCCACATCGGACGCTTCTCCCACAACTTTGTCGCCATCACCTAGCTAGATCCCATCTGTCCATCCATCCCCGTGAGTGTATATACTAGTATATCTCCCCCGCGGTCGTTAAAACTCAATTTCACAGTATAGAGAAATTAATGCAAAATATTAATCTCGTAAATAAATGGTGCCCCGGTGTCTATACAGAACACCAAACATCTCCATCCATGCCTCTTACTGTATATATTCACTAGCTACTAGTATATCTCAAATACATATCCGATTGGGTTAATTTCAAAGACCTGATCAATGATCATTGCTTTGTCCCAAAAACTATAATTGTTGTCACCTAGACGAGAAACTATCATCACTAGATACACATTAAATTTAGTTAACTGTACAATCTTGTTGAAATTAAAGAATAGTGCTGTTATAGATTTACAGCCATGAATAAATAAATTGATCATCAACGTACATAGAAATGCAGGCCTGCCTATACTGTATTCAATTACTAACAGAATCCCCCAATGCCCTGGCTTAATTTTCTATAACATCGTCTTTGCAGCAAGCTTCAAGTTTAACCTCCTCAGCCAAATAGAATGCAGTATCATATGAAACATGTCAAACCTCTTTGCTGGCTGGTTCAGCACAAAGTGCTTCCTCACCGCTTTCAGGCCTTGTCTCAACTTCATGTACTCGTCCCTCGAAACTCCCATCAATATCTCCTTCAATTTTGGGATTTGAGAAACCTCCACGTTTATAGAAAAGGCTTCGTACCTCAACACATCACTGAATGGCAAAACATAGTGATCTGACAGTATCACCGGCACGCATTCCGCGTAAATCGCCTCCACAATCCTGGGACTCGCTACTTCATACCCACTCGGGCACAAGCAGAATCGTGACTGCAGCATCAACTCGAAATAGTCCAGATTCTTGGGGAGGTATTCAAAGACTTGAAGATCAGGGTCCTTGGCTTTCCAATAGTGCAAAAGGATGGGCCTGATGGGACCATGAACTCCACCAGCAAAGAAAGCTAAGTAGGGCCGGGTTTTGTTGGCGGGCGGTGGGTTTCGGATCTTGGGGGATACATTGCCATCGTAGAGATTAACTTCAGGCAGGCTCACATCTTTGTTTGGGTTGAATCCTTCAGAGGAATTGGCATTGCACAGCACCCGCATTGAGGTGTTGTATAGGAACGGATCACCTTTGGAGGTTTGCGGCCCCTGAAAATCAGTACGTACCGTATATACCAGAAATTAATTATAAAGAACAGAGAACACCAAATGACGATACACACCATCATCTGGATATCCTTCCAGTTGAGCTTTGTAATAATAATAATAAACTAATAATGATGAATGCTACTCACACATGATGACATGATACAATCTTGTTTTAAAGGGTGATTCATACGAAAATCATGGAAATTCCAGTACGTATTATTAGGTCCAAATGGAAAGCAAACTAAACCAATAAGTACAGAGGAGGGAGTAATGCACTAGTGTTGTACTTACCCAATCATGGCAGGAGAGCATGAAGTGATCAGCTCCTTGAGTACGATTCCAGAAGGGGTATTTGGTGGAGATGACTCTAACATAGTCAGATGCAAACTCTCGAAGTGGATCCAGGTTGAAGGAGTTTGGGGTGTAAATGTATTTCACCATCCAAGTCACGCTGAAAGGCAGGAAGAATGCATGAGCAGAGTGGGGATCTCTGGTCCTGAACCTGTTCCCGCCTCCGCCTTGCTCCATCTCGATGATGAATCTTCCTTCACTTGCATAAATATTTTTGCACGGGCCGTAATGCACCATTGGTGGGTCCCCTTCTTGGTATACATACACCTTGAATCTCTTCTCCATCTCCCTGTAGCTCCTGTCCCCATATTTAATTTTTACATTACACTGGTTAGAGATATATGATGGATCAATGTATGGCAGCAACAGTAATTAATTAACTAATGAGTTGTTAAATGCAAGAATCACATTTGTAATTGTTATTGTAGTCCCCATTTCATTTGAAGTTGGATACAAGACTGATTTCCATGGAAGTAGTGCAAATTCTGGAAATTAAAAACATGGTACCATGAGAAGGCTGGTAATTCGTTAAGGATCATACTTTGAATGGTAGTAGATTCTCAAAATGACAGTTGCGGCAGATTACTCTAGCATAATTAAACACAATGCATATTTGACTGTGAAACTAGAAACAATAATAGTTATATAATCATCATATTCATATCTCGGTCTATAAGACCAAAATATATCCAAAATCACAAGCTTGACGTAAGTGGTACCACTACACCATTACAAATAATCAACAAATAAAATCTCTTTTTGGGAGTTAAATTAACAACCAAGGCACCAAATTGAGATTTTTGAGAACCATGAGTGTATATGTAACGTAAGGACTCAAATTAAGCTAAAGTGAATCTAAGAGGGTATATTGCCGCGGAATGAACACAACTAGGTGAGGGAGCAATGAATAGGGGAGCACTTTAAACATGCACGTACTCATCAAAATCATATCATCATCAACCATTATTAATCTTTTCTGAACAGTCGTCACCTACAAGTCTTCCCCAGACAACAAATTTTCATATTTAATAGTATGATATTAATAATCATGTATTTTGCTGAAAGAAAGGGAGGGGGGGTGGGGGTAGAACAAGGGAGAAAAGGCAAAGGCAAAGCAGTAGCACTCATTCAAAATGCATTGCTAGAAATCCCCAATCCTTCTTTGGTGGGTGACTTAGAAGGAACGTCTCTCTTCTTTCTTTATATTTTCCAAAACCTTTTTAATCTCCAAAAAGGATTTCCTTTCCCGATTAACTACTTATTACTAATAATAATAATTTGATGAACTACTAACATTGGGTTGGTGCCATATCAAATTTATCCGCATCAATACCCCAAACTGTAGTAATTAGTATTCAATCACTTGATTGATTTTCTATAATCTGTTATGTTTTAGCAGGAAGCCGAAAAGGAAAATGATTGATGAATGAATGAATATTAGCAGTAAGTAATTAAGAGAGAGAAAGAGGAGCAGACTCACTGGAAAAACTCAGCGGGATTGTGATAGATGCAACCGGCAGAGGAGAGATTCGGACCTCCTCCGGCTGAAACCAACGACTTTCGAATCAACGATCGGGCTCTGGCGAGTCCTTTCTCCAGTATTTGAAGTTCATCTCTCTGTATATATTCATTCAACCGAATCACACCACCATACACAGCGATTAATTTTTAACTTACGATCCAAATTAAATTAAAAGAAAAAGAAGAGATAGATTCAGTAAATTCAATTAAATACAGAGATCATACGTTACGGTAAAACTTTTAATTTACACAATTTTTAAACTCTGATGACGATCGAAAAAAAAAGGAGGAGAACGTTACAGGTTTAGTAAGTGATGGCACCGGCGAAACCGAAGAATTCCGAGCACGATCACCACCGTCGTCGTCAAAGTGTTTGGCAGCAGCAGAAACAGAGACGATGATGCTTTTCTTCTGCACGGCGGAGGCAGTTCCGTTCTCCTCCTCGGCGGAATGAGAGTTGAGAAACGACGGAAAGTGTTTCAGAGGCGCCGATGGAAAAGCAGAGGAGGAGGAGTAAGATGAGGCGGTTGCCAGAATCATCACGAGGGCCAACGACAATACCACAACTCCGCAGGTGAACCACACGCATGAACTACTACTACTACTTGTGCTTTCTCCTCCTCCTCCGCCGATGTCATCGCCGGCGTTATCAATGTGGTTGAACGCCATATGTCGATCGGAGTGTGGGTGTGTGGGGGTGTGTGTGTGTGTGTGAAAGAGAGAGAGAGAGAATCAGGGGGAAAAAAAAAAGGAAAGAAAGGGCGGGAGAATCAGGGAAGGAAAGGGAAGTTGGTGAGTGTGTGTGTGTGGGGGGGGTTTAAATTGTTTGGTTTCCAACTAAAAATTGTTACTGAAACGGTTTGTTTTGGCATCTTTGATTTCGGTGTGATCTTCTTCTCTTTATTATTTAAGTATATAATAATAATAATAATAATAATATATACGTTTTCCTGGTAAATACGTACTACTGTAGTTTGGAATTTTGGTAAGTACTTAAATCATGCCTTTTCTTCTTTTCTGGGAAATTAATTGAATTTTAATCATTCGTCTCGTCTGCCAGTTTTATGATCAATTTTTAACCAAAGGAATTTTGAGATGTCACGATTCACGCCTTCTGAGAGAGGTGAACTGTTTGTGGCCTACATTATATCTTCCTTCATTCATTAGCTGCATTCTACATTGCGTTTTTTATTTTACTACTACTACTTCTACTACTACTACTACTACTATTATATATATGATGGTAAGTTACTTAATTCACATAATTAACACATATATTCTCCTTATGTGAATTCAATCCATCTAATTAAATGCTTTTCATTTACTCTATAATATCTCATTGTTTGGTAACACTTCCCCTCTAACACTGACACTACTCTACCTCCCCAATTTGAATTTCGCTCCTTATTTATTTTTTTAAAAAAACCATATATTAAAATCAATTTATAATTTTATAGAGTTTAATTTACCCTAATTTATATACTTTTCCATGATGTACGATCATTTTCCAAATCTTAATGTGCCTTGCACGCAGGGAAGATGGCAGATTACATCGGTTGTACCAGTAAAATCAAGTGTCCTAAACCTCAAGTATAATGAATATTTTATTATCCATAATTATTACTCTCTCTATCTTGTTTAGATTTAGACTTTTAGTTCAATTTGTACTAAAGATAAAAATTTAAAATGAACAATAATTTCAGAACAGAAAGAGTATTGTTTTATTGATCAAGTGTTTGGGATCAAGTCTCTGCTACTGGTATATATGTTCGAAATCGAAATTTCATCTAAAACTATGTAAACTCATAATTTTTGGTAGAATTGTCTAAACATTTCTAAGAACTAGCTAGCCAATGAATTCATGTACTGAGTAGAAGTAGGCATTTACTGTAATGTATTTATTTGGATAGAATGTAAAATTTGTAGGAAGTGGATGACGAGGAAGTCGTGTAGCTAATTTGCTCCTTCCCAATTCACCTTGTTAAGTGGGCAACTAGTACAACTACCGCAGAGAGTGTTTACCATTATTTTGTGCTTAATTGAAAATCACCAAACTTTCCACCACTTAACCCCATTATTAATTACTCCCTCCATTCCAAAATAAGTGTCGTTTTGGCAAAATAGAGAAATTCCAAAATAAGTGTCGTTTTCGGATTCCAATGCATTTTTTGTCAAAAATTTCCAAACATACCCTCAAAAGAAATAATATTATTGGTGAATATTTATTTTAATGGAGTTGGTTGAGTATATTTTAGTAATTTTAGTTACCTTATTTAATGTTTTCTTAAACAATGTGCAAACTCTAGAATGACATTTATTTTGGAACAGAAGGAGTATTTATTGCATGATTTTTGTGGTCACGTTTACATTTACTGATTTACATACCTCACTATTTTATTCCCTCTCCTTTTTCTTTTCTTTTTTCCCAAAATGATTTTATAACGTGTAATGTGAGAATATATGTGCATTAATCCTAGGAGAACTGTCATCGGTACTAGAAAAAAAAAAGAAAAAAGAAAAAAACTTGGGTCAACTAACTCACTCAACTATACACGACCATTTTCTCTGTCACTTCTCTTTTATATTTTTTGTCATTTGGCAGATCACAGGAGACTCTTCTTACTAAAGTTTCAAGTTGTTCATATAAGATTTTTTTTTTTTTGTAAAATTTCAACAAGTCATCGGTAACAAATCTAAACAAACAGGTGCCACATAATGCGTATGAGTTTTTTACGGAAGACAAAAAATAACAAAGAGAAAAGATTTTCCTTGATGTAGCACGAAGGATTGTGATAACTGTTGGTGATGTTTTCTTCAATTCTTAGGCAAAACCACATAAAAAAAAATATATAAAAAAAAAACCACCAAAATATCCCAATACACCAAACGTAAGCCAAATAGTTTTAGTTCATCATCCCACAAAATCTACACATCTGAAGAGAAGACAAACGGAATTGAAACGACTATTTTGAACAGATAAAAGAAACGATATCAAAAAAAAAAAAAAAAAACCAACCCCTTTAAGCAACACCTAATTTTGTGAGGGACTGCCTCACATCATCTGCATTGTGGCCTTGAGTTTCAGCAGTGATTGGGCTATCAACTGGCAACACATGTTCAAGTGGATAATTGCCGCTGCTGTGTATCTTGGAAGCTTCACAGCACACCCCTTTCACTACTACCGTTTTGTGAATCCCACCCCGCAATCCTTCATAGTCCGTATCCCCGCATTCTCCTACAAACATCACCACATTTGACAACTTGATTCCCCATCTCAGTTGCAAGTACCTTCAACCCATGTAAAACACCAACACACATTATTATATATTCATAACCCCCTCTTCAAATCAAGATCATTACCTTTTCGAGTCTCAGACAGCACTACTAGCTAGTTAAATAAGTATATCGATTCCTTGAACAGGTTGGGTATTCAAATTACCTTAGAGCTTGGGATCTGGAGGCAAGAACAGGTATGACATTCAGCCTCACTCCATTTTGACAATGTATCACATGGCATCTAAGTGCTTGATTCCTCATCAGCTTCCTGATTTCCCTAACAGCAGGCAGCTGCTTCACACCAAAAAAAAAAAAAAAAAACCCAACTTACGTCATTTTCAACATTACACAACCATCATTTTTTTCCCCCCAAAACAAGAGGACAAAAATGGCATACTTAGTCAATGAAAAGTTCAGTATGTATCACAAAATTGAACTAAAGAGATATCTTTACCAATTCTGGCTTGCTAACTTTGAAGGCAAAGTAATGTGTAGATCCCGAGGCATATTCACTAATGACTCCAGGTTCATCCTTGCCATTCTTCTTCTCACGATTAAAAGAATCAGCCCAACGCACCAAAGTTTTACCCAAATCATCTCCTCCCCACCGGTAATCAATATGCGAATGGTAATCCGAATCAGCTATAAATGGACGATCAGAAGCGTTTCCTTCTTGGGATGAACATGGATAATAAATCTCGCCCCCACTGTTACATATAAAAGCATCAAAATCTTTGGGACTAAACTTCCCTAACTTCAGAAGTGAATCCATCTCGGATATCGTATAGGAAGTTGATAATATGAAGCCAACAGATCCACGAGAGCCGCTTCCTTTTTTACCGGCCTCAATGATCATCTGAGTGAACCTTACAAGTTCATCTAATGAGTCGCAGTCAATTGAGATAACAAAAATGGAACTCCTGCTCTTCAGTGTAGGAAATGCACTTTGTTCTGCTTTCTCCATTGAACCTTTACCTGACAATGCTAAAGCAGAATTCTCCACCTGACTCTTCTTTTGAGTTGCCTCCCTTCCTGATTCAAGGCCTTTATCTAAACTTGAACCAACTACGTCTTTATAACCATCCATTGAAATTTTTAGGCTCAAGTCATGTATGTCTCTCAATGACTCGCCTGGTGAATCTGAATCTGAATTGTCGTAGTCAGCATCATTTCCTTGCCACTGAGGATGCCTCTGTTTGCAGCTTAGAATGCGAGCTAAGTATGTTTTACAGTGCTCCGGCCATGAGAAAAGATGTATATTCTTTAATCCATTTTCCCTGCATCTCACCCACAGGTGCTTATCTGCAACAAGCTTCAATAGTGCATCAGCAATAGATTGCTGATCATGTGGATCAACCAGTACACCATTGTCAAGAACCTGCCAAAAAACGAAAAGGTAAATGTATTTTATTTTTAATTCTAAAATTCCAGTCTAAAAATGCCAGAATAAAATTCCATCATGAAAACACGATTTATGCAATCAGAAGGATCCGCTAGATGCATTACCCGATGAATGTCCACGGGACCTCCATTTTTGGTAGCAACCATTGGCAAACCATAAGCTGCTGCCTGTTTAGAAAAGGGACTTGGATTGGATAAAATAATTTGCATACTTATCCGTTGAAAAGTTACTTAGAACTGCAGATTAGGAGACGTACATACCTCTATTAATGTAAGACCAAATGGTTCAATGAAAGCCGGATTTATGAAGACACCCTGCAAAGGGAAGTACACAATAAGTACAAATGAAAGGAAGGGTAGTTCTGGTATTGGCTTCTCAAAATTGCATGTGCAAAGGTACCAATACTGAGCTTTAGATGCCATCTCATTACTTAACAAATGTGAAGCTTTGATACTAGATACCTTTGTTTTTGCTGCCAGACGATATATATCTGGAACTTCAGACTGCTTATGGTGCTTAGGATATGCAACATGGCCATAAAGGTCATATTTATCAATCAACTTCAGTATGGAAAGAAGAACGGATGAATTTGTGCCCGACATCTCATCAATTCCATCACGGTTCCCCATTATCAATGTCTGCAAATAAAAGAAGAAAAAAAAAAAAGAAGAGACACAGTTACAAAATATCAAATACATACATAGCACCAGGGTTCCTATGCATTCCTGAGAAAAGGAGAAGCAAAGTATAATTGTGAATACAAGGTTTGCCAGCTCCCTCAACTGCCGGCATTCTCCAAAAGCTTTGACTAAATTAATCAAGTTCTTTTTGGGATCAGGCCTGGCTAGTGCTAGTATCATAGGCTTGCGTGGATTTGAAAAGAAGCGCATTATCTGGAAAAGAATAAGACACAGGAAAGATCGAAACATTCAGTTGAAGACTGCATAAACTGTGAAATGAACACAAAGATAAAATTTGTGAGAGAAATATGCAATAGGTTCTTAACCTCCGACCAAATAGGAGGATCTGGAATTCCAGCACCCACATCATTTTCTCCACCATCACCATCCAGATCACCACCATCTTGGGAAGTGGTATTATGGAACTCCATTCCAGGGGGGATAACCTGCAACGAATCAAGAATTGGAACAAGCTTGAGCTGAATTGCACAAAAAATAAACACAGAAGAACCAGAAACATATCAAAGAACCAATGAGTTAAGACAGGTGATTGGAATACTTACTACCATCCTTGGCATAAACCTACCGAAACAGCTCACATTTCTTTTGATCCTTGCCCTGAGTTTACGTTCTAATACAAGATCAAATCCATCATATAACTGCCATTGTTCTTCTATCTCCTGTCTAGTGCTTGTAATAACCACTTCGGATGCATCAAGAGATATCTCTTCAGCTTCTATACGTCTCATTATTCTGTACGTGGCATTAATCTCTTCTCTTGATTGCCGTCCTTGCTTTAGTATTTGTTCGAGTTTGTCTCTTCCTAGTGAGTGACCAGTTAAAAGCATCGGTACATTTAAAGCTCCAGACAACAGAGCAGCAGCATTACCAGCATCAGCATAGTGTCCATGGATGGCAACAGGCCAAAGTGGCTTTCCATTGCCGGTTTGCTCACCAAGAATCTTAGACATCTGTATGATGTGGCTAAGTGCACCATCAACAAATTCAGAGACATAAGGCCAAAGATGTTCTTTAGGAATGTATTTATCTTTCGGGCCAAATGGTACACGTATTATATACGCCCCCGCACTCTCCCCGCCTTCATGCATGAAATCCTCAGAGCTTGGAGGATTCAGCATCTCTGATGGTTCACCATACGTCCAGTCTACACCGGGTGCTAGAACTTGTCTTGTCAGCAAATCAACACGATAAACACCCGGCATTGCACCTAATGCTCTTGCCAGTTCAACTACATACTTAACCTAAAAAAGCCAGAACATATTGGGAAAATCAATTCCATGTTAGTGTGTTTTCACATTAAAGAACTGTTCACCGAAGAAAAGCTTAAGTTCAGGTTACATGGACTTTTTGACATGTTTATGCACAAACCATATAATGATTAAGTTCCTCTCTTTAGGTCAAATATGTAAACTTGACAACTATTGACTCATTTTTGTTCCACACGAGCATGCATGCCACTACTAGGTCTTATGGTAACATCTAGCCTTATCAAAACTGGTACTTAGGATTCTAATGCTCAATAAGTCCTTGCAGTTTCATAAAGTAATCTCAATTTGTCTTTATATAAATTATTGAATCGAATATTCAAAGAGTAGACGCTTACTTGGCCTCCAGTATCAGAATCCCGGCCAAGCTCCATATTTTCTCCCCTTATCAAGCCGTGGAGGCTGCCAAGAGATTGGATATATGTTAGCAATTGGTAAATTGATATTCATTCTGAAGTCTGTCCTCTGCGACATAAATAGATGGATAAGAATATGTACCTGATGAGCACAATATAAAGCTTCTTTTCCTTCTGTTGATTAGCCCAATTGGCCATCATGTCCACAGAACTGATCCTTGACATTTTACCTCTAGCAGATCCTCCACCATGAGCTGAAAGATCACTCATGGTGTCCGCCTTTTCACCTTCAGATAAATCTTCAGACATGTCGGCTGTTGCTTCCAGACGTGCCTGTTTCCGGAGAAGACGCTTCTTGGCTGCTCGCTGAGCTTCTTCAGTTTCAATCTGCATAATCGATAATAAAATCTTACACATTTGAAAAACCAAGGCTATTGTCGCTGCACCAAATATACATAACAAACATCATTTTGCTCCAGATTCCGTAGCTTAGTTAATCATTCACTTAATACAGCTGCCTCTTTTGGAACTTGTACGGTCAGTATATGTCCCTTCTTCTCCTTTTCTTTTTTTCAGTATCATTTTGATCCTTTTGCTCTATTTCCAAATAAAACTCTTTACAGTCTTGATGCAACTCTTTCCTACACACTTTTCCGAAAGAAATATTTGTCCAATTAGCTATTCCGTGCACCCACTTTGCATATTGATGGTGCTCCAATACAACAACTAACATACCTAATGCAACTTTAAGAGCAGTGAACATGTAACAAGAAACGCAAAATGGAAAATCTGTTGAACACAATTGTACCATCATTCAAGTTTGTTAAACTGTAAGATAACCTTGTTGGATGGAGCACTGTCAAATGACTCTCCCATTTTGAATTTGAACACAATCCATTAATGCAAAAGTGCAAATCAGAAACATGATGAAAAATGAAAACACTGTGGAACAAGCATCAGCACAAATTCTTTTTCAAGTTTATTTTTAATCTTACTAGATCATTGTTGGATCAAGATTCATAAAAATAATTCGTGAAAAAAAAAAAAAACAAAAGAAAAAGGGGGATTTAGTATGACCTGCTTCTTCTTGCGAGCCAAATTCCAAATCCTCCAAGACATATTCTCCAATCTAGTGTTCCTTTCTTCTGAATTTCGAATTGAGGAAGCCTGCAATCCAAGAGGATCAATTATTAATCAGGAAATCGTTGACTTAGATTATGATCTGTAAAGTAGAAAGGAAGAATAGGAGGAGGAGGAGGAGGAGGAGGGTAAATTACTGACTCGAGCCCAAGAGCGGTGGAGATCGGTCTCATCGAAACCGGTGATGACTTCCTCAACGAAGTAGCGAGCGGGACTGAATCGACCTCGCTCCCGGAGAAGCAAGGACGGCGGATGCTTGGAGTCGTTGATGCCGCCGGGATCGACATCCAGGATGGCGTTCAGGTAACTGTTAATCCAATCGTTTCCCGCCATTTTTCCGGCCCTGTTTCGGTTTTCCAGGTAACCTAATCAAGCAGCAATCGATGACTCAGTGTCTGATTCTACTAACTGTATTGTTGTTATATGCATGCATGGGAGGAGGAGGAGGAGGAGGAGGATGACGACGATGATGTCAGACAGTGTGTGAGTGCGTGTTTATTTTATTTTTATTTTTCAATTTTTTTTTTTTTTTTGGCTGCAGGCCGTGAAAAATGAGTTACAAGCTCGAAGAGAGTGAATGGTGGAAAGTGTAGTGTAGGGAGTGATTTGCTGCTCCGCAATTACAGTGTGTCACATTTCATTCTTCGTGTCACATTTATTTTGTAACATAAAATGAACAACATATATGATTATAATAATTCATAATTGTTATTTAAATCGATACCATTTATTAGTATATATTTCATATTATAATAATAATCGAATAAAAATTTGATATTTTTTATATATAAAGGGTGATCATTCTGCTAAAACAATTTCTTGACATTGAAAACAAATTTTAAATGAAATGACAATGAATTAGTCACGTTTCTTACTTATCATCGTCTTTTAACCCTCTCTCGCGAGGCTTCACAATGCCAACATCGACTATGACTCGAAAAACAAAAAAAAAAGCTTTTATTTTTTTCATGAAAATTATTTCACGAAATTTAGAATATTTTGGTGTTGAAGAAATCCGAAACAATTTGTTATTCAAGCTTTGGTTCAACGAATTGACGATGAAGAACACCTTGGTAAAGGAAAGAATGGGTTGATCCCAAACTAAGGGCTACAAATAATAGGCAGTTTGAAATTCAGTTGGATGGCCTTGACAGACGAGGGTCGTGGGTTTAGACTTTAGAGAGGGAGGGGTTGCCAGAAGTGAAGATGAAAATTTGTTTTGGATGCTAAAAAACTGTTTTGGCTGCCCATTATATGTCTAATAACGAGGGTTGGATTGTTTTGTTGGAGGAGTAATGAGAGTCCTAATCTCATCCAAAAGGTTAGTATTTGAAACTTATGTGGATAGTTGGTAATTTTCAAAAATTTTAGGGGGCATTGGTGGAATCGTGGAGATTGAGGGAGACCGGGGGAGAGAATGTTAAAAGCCAAAGGGGGAGAGATGTCGGCACCAGATAGATAGAGTGCGACTGTGTGACTGTGTGTGTGAGCAGACCAAGTAGTACTGTAGTAGTAGTATGTTGCTGGATATTGGATCGCGGGCCCCCACCAAGCTTCTCATTAAAGGAATTTATCAAATGAAAATTTATATATATTGAAACTAATACACATATTTAAGTCGAAGAAAAAAATATTGAGAAACAAAGGTTGCAGATCACCAAAGCAAAGAATACTCATCATCATCATCATCATCATAGATCAATCAATGATAGTATTAAAATGCTTCACTCCTTCCCTTTTGTGCATTTTGAATCATCAAACACGATTTCTTCTTCTTCATATTAAAAAAAAATAAAAAATCAATTATTATTATTATTAATTACTACTACTCGTTACTAGTACGTTCCACCTGGTTATATTTATTATGTAACACCATGGCAAGCAACTGGCAAGACCAAGAAAGAAGGTAAGATGTTGGATTTGGATGGGACCGACATCACTACCCACCAGAAGAACCAACATACTACTAGTACTGGTATTTATTTATTTATTTTTATACTGCTGCTATGCTGCTACTCCTAATAATAGTCTAATACCATGATGATTCAAGAAGGTGAAGGTTGCAGATGCACCCACACACACACACACACTGACACACATAAGAAAAGAATCTCAGATTCGATTTACAGAGACTGAGACTTCCCTCTTTCTTCCCTGTTTATTTCTTTCCTTCTGTCTCTGCAACATTTCATCAAACACCCCTTTGATTCTTGGACCACACTGAAACTCCCACAATTCCACTCCACCCTCTTCCTCTTCCATAACCCACATACACAACATATTAGTTTCCCTTCTCCTCCTTCCCATGCAAACATCATGCTCCCTTTTTATTATGTGTGGTCATCATCATAATCGTATCTGCCTCATCCTCACCTGACCAAACACTGCTGTTCCCACCTTCTTCTTTATTAGTCTCTATTTCAAACCGGTTGCTCCGCTCCCAATCTTTTTCTTTTTGTGTGTGTGTGTGTGTGTGTGTGAGAGGGGTAAAGAAAAAAAGATGGGATTTTTTCTCGGTTTCTTCGTTGGTGCAGCAGTTGGCCTTGGTTTGATTGTGGGTTTTGCTCGATGTCAAACTATCAGATCCAAGAATCGTCGTGATTTGGTATCTTTCTTTTTCTTCCTCTCCTTTTTAATCTTATGTTTACCAATATTGCTGTTGTGGCATGATGACTGGTTTTGGATTCATTTTAATCCTTATGTTTTACTGCTTTGAGCTGCCCAATGAAGTTCATTATCTCCCTGCTTTTGTGTTGGTATTCCACAATCAGCTTATTATTATTGCCTTGATTTCCCGGCACCCCCGCAATTTATGTCTGCTGAACGTTTGTTGCACATTAATTTAATCATGTTTTAGTGCTTTGAATGTACCTGGTACAAGTTTCATGTGTTTTTATGTGTGTGTTTTTGCAAACTGACTCAACCATTGCACTAATCAGCTTCTTTTTTTTTTTTTATTTTATTTTGGTCAATTTTCTTTTAACTTTTTTCCACTAATACTTGTCACGCCTGTAATCAACGTATCAGGCAGAAACTATTGCAGCTTTTGCACGGATGACAGTCCAGGATTCCAGAAAGCTTCTCGCACCCGAGGTTTATCCTTCTTGGGTTGCCTTTACTCATCGACAAAAGTTGAGTTAATTTGCTCCCAGCCTCTTGGTTTCGTTTCAATAACTTTGATGCATGTCGCGCCTCTCTGCATATGTAGGTAGTCATAGCTACCAGAAATCAATAATCACAGTGGCCCTTTTAATATTTTAAGAAATCTACAATGCAACAGGCATTTTATTGGTCTTTCTCATTATACTTCGTTTCTTGTTATCTGCTGCAGTTGACTTGGCTTAATCATCATCTTGACAAAATTTGGCCTTATGTTGATGAGGTAATATTTGGTTCCTTGGTTGCTTTTCCAAAGCACATTCGGGATTTTCTCGGTCTAAAATTATGTAGGGAGTTACAAATCTGATAATGTATCCCTGTTGATATCATGGCATAGGCAGCTTCTGAATTGATAAGAGAAAATGTAGAGCCAATTCTTGAGCAATATAGACCAGCTGTTTTGGCGTCTCTCAAGTTCTCGAAGCTGACACTTGGCACTGTAGCTCCTCAATTTACTGGCAAGTTTGATTCTATTTCCTTTGTCTTGGTCTGTTCCAGTGAGTGTTTTCTGGACTATTAATCTGTAACATTCTTTGTTTTGGTCTGTTCCGTTGAGTATGTGATAATTCTTGGATTAATATCTGTAGTATTGATCCTTGAAAAATCATACAAATGAGTAAAAGAGCTCCTTTTTTTTACACTAATGGGATGAAAATGATCCAAGATTTTTTAATTACTGTTTCTTTGGCATGAATTAGGTGTTTGAATTACAGTTTTTCCCTCCTTAGAGGATACTTAATCTCGTATTTCATATTTGTCCATAAAGTAATTCAATCCTGCTTGTGAATGCCGTTCAGGAGTTTCCATGGTCGATGGCGATGTTGGAGAAATTATCATGGAATTGGAGTTGCAATGGGATGGAAATCCTAGTATCATAATCGACATCGAAACAAGAGTAGGAGTTAAACTACCAATTCAGGTGCTTATGAATAAAGCTCCTTTATCAAAAAAATTTATATATTAGCTAAAGGAAACAATAGTCGTGATACCCAGTTTGCTCCGGTTTCCTGTTTTTCTTTGGTCGTCTATGAATTAAATCACCATATATTCATTTCTCTGTACCTGTCTCCAAAAAAGCAGATATGTATGATTATATAGTTACAAATGAGAAGTTTTGTTCACTTATAGATGTCACTGTAATCATTTGGTGTAGGTCAAGAACATTGGATTTACTGGAGTTTTCAGAATAATTTTCAAACCCCTGGTCGATGAATTACCTTGTTTTGGTGCTGTGTTATATTCCTTGAGGCAAAAGGTGAATATTTGATCCTTCATTACTACATTTACTCGAATGCACATATGTAACTAGAGACGCGTATTTTCTTGTCTGCGCACATGTTGAATTTGAGTAGAGTTTAAGGCACATGATTCATTGAGTGCATGTTAAAGCTGCTGCAGTTGGCACTTACAACTCTGCCTTCGGTTTTGCAGAAAAACTTGGACTTTACCCTCAAAGTTATAGGGGGCGAAATAACATCAATCCCAGGAATATCTGATGCCATCGAGGTTTGTTTCTTTCCTCCAAATGGGACAGTTTCCTTGTGTTGCGCAGGGATGTCATTGTGAAGAAATGTTTGTAATTTTTTGATTAGGGAATGATCCGAGATGCTATTGAAGATTCCATCACTTGGCCAGTCCGAAAAATTGTACCAATATTACCCGGAGACTACAGGTATAATCTCACTGTGGAATTCCCTTTTCGTTGGTCTGTTTGGTACAAGCAAGGGAACAGATGATTGATCATCTTCGGTCTGTAATTATTGAATCCAGTTTCATATTCTACTGAAAAGTCCCTTTACCATGTGACGAGTCCTGTGCATGCTAGTTATTTGTTTTATTTACCTACAATTTTTATATGACGGAGACCTGAAAGTAAGTATTATGCTGAAATTTTAGTCATCTGACTATCTCTTTGCAACAGTGACCTGGAGCTGAAACCTGTTGGGACGTTGGAGGTGAAGCTCATAGAAGCAAAAGAATTAACAAATAAGGACTTCATTGGCAAATCGGATCCATTTGCCGAGTTATATATACGCCCACTGCGTGACAGGACAAAAACTAGCAAGACGATAGTGAGTGCATTGATCTGTCCGCCTCTTATCTATTACCTGTTTCGTGTTGCCTTCTACTTATGCATCTTAACATCGTTTGTAGAACAACCAAGTAAATCCAATTTGGAATGAACATTTCGATTTTGTGGTCGAAGATGTATCCACTCAACACCTGACAGTCAAAGTTTATGATGACGAAGGAATTCAAGCTTCTGAATTCATTGGTTGTGCTCAAATTGCTTTGAAGGACCTTGAGCCCGGAAAAGTCAAGGATGTATGGCTGAAACTGGTGAAAGATCTTGAGATTCAAAGGGACACTAAGAACAGGGGTCAGGTATGCATTTGTGTTTTGCTTTTTGCCATTCTTCAGATGTGATTTTCATCTTATGTTATATTCTGTTTCCCCCATTTTCCACTAATTTATTTTCCTTCTAGGTCCACTTGGAGCTTTTATATTGTCCATTCGGGATGGAGAGTGCGTTTCTGAATCCTTTTAACCCGGATTTTCGATTGACTACTTTGGAGAAAGCCCTTAAACAAGGAAGTGTTGTGGACCACGAAAATGTAGCAAAATCAGTTGGACAGAGGAAAAAAGATGTCATCGTGAGAGGAGTTCTTTCAGTGACAGTTATATCAGCGGAAGATTTACCAGCTGTGGATCTTATGGGAAAATCTGATCCATACGTGGTTCTTACCATGAAGAAATCTGAACAGAAAAACAAAACCAGGGTAAGAATAATATTTTGAACGGTAATTTTACTTGATAGAGAAGAATGACAACATTTGATTCGTTTAAACCGACCCCGTATAGGGAGTAGATGCTTGGCTGTTGCTGTTGTATAAAAAGAAAACTTGTCTTAAAAAGCTATCATCAGGATCTTTGCTTCGTCTTCTTTCTTAATGTGTTATTTTAACAGTTGGAAAAGTGAGTGACTGAAACCCATATTTCCCCCATGGTAATAATAGGTATTAAATGACACGCTGAATCCGGTGTGGAATCAAACGTTTGACTTCGTGGTGGAGGATGCATTACATGATCTGTTGATGTTGGAAGTTTATGACCACGACACATTTGGGAAGGTAATGCTCCCTGGACTCCTCTGGTTTCTCATTTGCTTGGTTATCAGATCTCTAGTTTAAATTTTTTATGATAGCAAGACAAATGAGTACTTGCCTTGAAAGAAATTTCAATTTATTTGGAATTGAATGTCATTATGCTTTCAACACAAATAGAAGGATTGGGAGGATGGTTTCCATTCATGGATATCTGCAGTACCTAGCGTTGTAGGAGAGATGTCACTGTTCTTAAGCTGTACTACTGAGCCGTACTTTTGTTTCCAGGATAAAATGGGAAGGTGCATTATGACACTTACAAGAGCTATACTGGAAGGTGAATTTACGGACACATTTCCCCTAGACGATTCGCCAACAGGGAAGCTGACTCTGCATATCAAATGGACACCGCAGCCAATTACGAGGGATTGAGCACTGATTTTACACTTGGATTACAGATGCACCTGTCAATACTGTTTTGATTGTATAGCAATTTTTTTCTTGTTGAGTTGGGGAACTGGTTTTGATTTGGAACATATCACACAAAAGAAGAATCTCTTGCTTTTCCACGATCAAAATTGCACTTAAAAACCAGGGAATGAAATTGCTGGCCACGTTTGTAGACTTTTTGATTGTCTGTAAAATGCATAAATAGCTGCTGGACATGCATAAATAGCAGATTGTGCTTGAACATGAAGGTATCCAAATAATGATCATTGTGGGCTAAATAAATGTAAGAAAACCGTAAAGTCAGTGAAACACCATCTGACAGACAGAACGGAAAGGAAACATCCAGCAAAGCGCCAATCGACCAACCAGACAAAAATTCGCAAGCCAGCAATTTACTGGTATTTCTTTAGAACTATTTATTGCTGTACAAAACAAGAGACGTATGTCCCTCCTTCCATGAAGTACAAAACAAGCTTCTTCTTGAAGGAGGGAAACGTAGAATATAATGGCGAGAGAAGGTTCCTAGATTGAAAGCAACATTCTTTTGAGGCTATAACTTTGTATTCTAATTTGTGTTCCGATCATTACATACAGGAAAAAATTGCAAGACTAACAAACAAAGGTATACTCCACTTAATACACCAAAATTGCACATAGTATGATGATCTAGACCAGAGGAGAATTCCTTTGAACTAAATGTTATAGTCCAAGATTCCTAGTAAACCAATCTGAGAGATTAGCTATGATAAAACCTGCGAATACCTGCAAACCGATGCCGAAGAAACATTATGAGTATGACATCTTTCATTTTGTAAACCCATATAACAGTAGCAAGTGCATTCTTCATTCTTTTCCATCCAAAAGATACAAAGAACTAGGTGGGGATGTGAGAATTTAAATAGTTGTTTGACAAAAAAAAAAAAAAAGGTGGGGATGGCCTTTCAAAACAGAAAAAAGGAGTCTATTAAGCTTTCTCAAATGCAGCAATTCCATCTTATACAAACCATGGAGTTAGTGTTTTATTTTTCTAGAGGTCACCTTGTGTTATCGGGACTGATATGGGATATACGCAAATTGGTTAGCATGAAGTAAATATATCTAAAAGCTTCATAAATTTAGGATCCATCTTTTCAGAAAAGTAGGGATTCTCACCTGAATTGATCCCAGAATGTAAATGGCTGAATAATGGCGTCCGTGTATAACCATATCAGCAATCATTGCAAGTGGGATGGTGAGGGACATGCCCAAGGTGGCTACAAGGGGAGTTGTCCAGACAACACATAGTGCCCTGTGCAAAAACATAACCATCCTTCATCTTAAAGGAAAATCTAGGAAAACTTAAAAACGGGAGTTACCGTGATTCTCCTACACATACCAGAAATAGTCAGAGAGCACACTTCCAACAAGTCCATTTGCAATCACAACTTCATCCATCTTAGCAGAGTGGGGGATTGTAAATTTTGGTTCTATCCCTAAAGCAGTCAATGGCCACACTGAAAGCAACAACAATCATTCATATCAGCTTCATCCTATAAAAGAACTTCACAAGACGAAAAATGCATCCAGCCAACCGATAACGAGTTTTTCAATCAGTTTGAAAGGCTGCCAAAGGTCAACAGAAACTCAAAAGCTATTAAACTTCAATTCAGATGATGAACAGAAATTTAAGGCCCACGAGAGACTACAACTTTGGTAGCATAAATACTAAAAAGTGGTCTCAGCAGCACAAACCTTCAACCTTAACAGACTCTTTCGGCAAAACACAAATTTCCGCGCGGAATTGGCAATTTAACAAAATACAAACTTTGGCACCATAGTATCAAAAAGTGTGAGATTTCAATACCAATTGTTGATGAAAAGGACAGAAAGAAGCAACTCTTACCAAGCCACCATAAGGCAACAAGTGTAAACAGGCCGACATATCCAAACAACTTCTGGACATCTACCCGCTCGCCTTCGTCACCAGCAAACTTCTTGAGAAGAACTGAAGCATAGTCAGAGGTTAATTATTACTACTTCTTTGTTCCATGGATATTCGAGAACTTTTTGGCCGGTCTTAAATGAAAAGAAAATTGGAATGTTGACTCACCAGTAAATAGACCATATGAAATAGCAGACAGAAGGCCAAAAAGATCCCCCGCAAGAGTGCGTTCTCCATCTCTATTACACACAAAAAAATATGTCAAGGCCCAATTAAAGCCATGCAGAATAATACACAGAACGATTAGTGACACATTTGAGCCATCATGAAGAATGAAAGAAAATGGTACCATGCCACATTTGATATTACATAAAATTATTTTTGTGCAGTAATGTTATTATGATTAAGCCGAAATTATTCAGAGATTTTAGTTAGGAGAATTCAGTTCCCTTAACAATACGGAAACAGTGACAATGCTGATAACTACACAGGATGAAAAATAACAAACTCAAGACCTATAGCATCATAGACATTGGGAAAGTTCAAGTCGGTAGAGTCAGGAAAAATACGTACGATGAAGGATTAAGTTGTGCATCATCTGCAGCCCATGTTTTTCCTAGAGTTGTCATCGCAACACCAGCTATGCTGACAAAAACAGCAAGCACTTTTGATATACTTAAGGAATCTTGCCCCAAGAATGCACCAATGAAGAGAGTAAACAGTCCTGAGGTAGATGATAATACGGTTGTACTTGCGACGCTGGTGCGTGCAAGGGCAGCATTTGATAAGTACTGGAAGAGAGAAATAAACAGATGTACATAACATCAAAACAACACCCAAATTCAACCCTCTATGAAGATATTTTTAAGAATTCACATACAAAATAAGCTTCTGTCTTTCCTATTTCAAGATCTAAGTTAACAACAAAAATATAACTAAAGAGATCTTAATAATAACTATTCACTTCAAAACTAGTACCCAAAAATGCTATCGCTAAATCACATAACACAAAGTTTGGGATCTACCTCGGTAACAAACCAAATAGGGGCCAGATAGAGTCCGTACATGGCAATTTCCCTGGTAGAAACCTCCTTGCTTTGTTTACTATCCTTATTGACATCCACGAATCTAGCAACTAATGGCAACCCCTCTTCCTGATCAGAAAGGTCTGCTTCACTGTCCTTTCTAGTCAAAGCCCCCTTTATATCCATTTCAAACACTTCTTTCAAAGGAGAAGCGCTTCCCGCACAAGAATCGTCAGTTATCCCTATCACACTCTTGCAACTTTTACCAGAGCGTTTTCTTATCAGACTACTAATCCAATCCTTTAGAAATGCTACCGGGAGATAAATTACCATTAAAGAAGCCCCAAGATATGTCACTGCAAAGGGCTGTTTGTAGTTTTCAAAGATACCCTGTTGAAGAAACAACCAAACGTAGAGCCTATAAAAGTTGATATCTGAACTAAAGTTCACCACCAAAACATGAAACTACAACAGTAACCACATCAAATATATCCAACATTTGGTAAAGAAATTCAAGAAATGCATATGCAGTAAGGAAGTGGAAGTGCATTGCCAGCTAATTTGGCTTTGGAATCATGAAATGTCTGGGAAAAAAAGCAAGAATGGTGCAAAGAGAATAACTACATTACAAATGATTGCTAATATTGACATCTAAAGAACAACTAACTCATGTAGTTCCATCCTGGATGCTACAACTGCAACTTAACAACTTTGGAGGGACAGAGCTTATCTTTGCTCAGCCAAACAAGGCTGTTCAAGCTACAACAGAGATCCGAGGAAGTGTAGTCTTAAAAATGCATGTAAAGTCAAAATCCTTTCTTCTTTTTCAAGTGGGATTCCTAAAATCACAATTTTGTGTTCCTGTTCATTCATTGTACTTGTACTCCAAAAAAGTTTAAGCTCTACAGACAACCATAGCATGATGAAAGCACAGGCTCCAGCCAACATAAAACAAACCGAACTATATCAATGGCTCCTCAGAAATGAAAAAGCATTGGAAGAGAGGAAAAAGAAATCTAAATACCAAAAAACTTACCTGGGTGACTTCTGCAGAGGAAACCCAGATGACAACAACAGCAGCAATAAGAAACAGACCCGCCTTATATCTCCAACCCATTTAACACAAAATTCAACCAAAAAACAGATGCCAAGATCAATTTATGATCACCTTGGTCCTACACCAGCTCCTGAATCACCCAACAATTCTTCAATTGGAACCGAACAACAAAATAGTAACTAACCCAGATGGCTGGGAGAAGGCAGGATTCCTGAAGGCGGATACAAAATTTGAATCCGTTTATTGTCTTGCCTTGCAGCTGGATCAGCCCTGTTCTCCAAATTAGGCTTGCGATAATTTTATTATTGTTCCTTCACCACTGGCAACACAGACCCAGATAAATTTGACAATAAAAGCTCAAAACTTTGAGAAGGGAGAACCAACGAATAACAAACCGCAAATGGGTTGGTGAAAAATCAATTCTTGATGGTGTCAAATGGAACTGAAAAGATGCCTTTAATTTACTGTTTTCTCCTCCAATATTTAAAAACAACAACAACAAACCCTGAATGCCAGCAAAAGAGGGGAGAGAGGAAGACTAAAAGTTGAAATAATGAGGAAATAATATCAAAATGGGCTGCAAAATAAGGTTGGACTTGGAGTAAGGAGGGGGGAAAGAGAGGGAAAAATGGGTGTTAAATCTGAACAATAAATGGAGGTCAATTTATTAGTATTTTAAACCGCAATTCTCTCTTTCTGTATCTCTCTAGCTGTCGGTTTAGTAATTTTAGACCATCCACACGGAATTCCTTCGCAAGATAAGCAGTTAACAGCCCCTTTCCTTTTTTCTTTTCTTGGGTCTGATCGAGTTCCAAGATTTCCATTTTTGGTAACTTATCAAAGATTTTAACGAAGTGGAGTAATTACTTTCCCTCCATTCGGACTCAATTTTCAACGTGCGGGATATTGTGATTTCCCTTAATATTTTGCCGATTTTTTAGGAGCAATAACTTTTACCAGTAAGTAATCATTATTACCACCTTGTAAATAAGTGTAAAAATACAAAAGGAGATTCCATAATTGCCACTAAAACTTGTGTATGCAAAGAAAGATGGAAGAATTACTTTACTCTATTTGCAGACTGTAGTTATATTTATCAGATTTTGAAAAAAAAAAAAGTAATAATGTAATGACTATATTAACAGGAACACAAAAGTTGGAGCAAAAGAATCCGTAATTGCCTATATATAGTTCAGTTCTGTAAAAAAACGACATCTTGGAAGCGTCCAAATGGAGAAGATGATAAAATGATGTTCATCGACCAGAAAACACCCACTAAACCCAAAACCATAAAAAAGAATACAAAATGGCAGCCAGCAAATGCAGGCAGTTTGGTGGCCCATTTATGGTTAAACATTCCCCATACGTCAAATGGAACAACGGGGGTTTGGCCATTTGGGTGTCTCCTTCCCGCTTCCAAATGCATCCATCATCAATGGGGGGGTTTTTTTACAACAGCAACAACTACGTAATTTGGTTAGCCGGCCAGTCTTTTTCTTCATCACTTTTAATTGTTGGAGTTATAATTTCCCAAATGCGTGTGAGTATATATAGTGTAGGAAACTACCCAAGGATAAAACATCGCCCTCTGCATAACTCAAGTTTCCTAATCTATTTGGTTTGTCACACCGCAAATACGAAACACCATTTAAAAAAAAAAAAAGGGAAAGAAAACTTCTACAAGCTTGTTTTAATCTTCCTGTCTAACTATCATCTTGTTGGCAAACGATGGTGATATGTAACAAAAGAAAGATAAATGATTAAAATAGTTAAAATTTTTAATCGATGGTAAATTTACTCTGTGAGTAAAAAAATATTCGAACAGTTTGTTTCATTTTTTTATGGTTTTTTTAGAATAATATAATAATAACGGTCTCATTTCAACATATTTTTTTATATTTTTAATATATTTTTTTACATTGCTAATAAAAAAACATCTAAAGCACGCACTAAAAAACGAAAGAAACAAACATATGCATCACAATGTATTTACTAATGTATATCATGATTTAGAGGGGGTAAAGCGCACCCTACTTTTGGGCTAAATTTCCCAAAAGGCCCAAGTCCAATATGGTAAACATTCCCGAGACTGCACAGGACAGACTAATACTACTAATTTACAGCCAAATTGGAATCGGATCCGCAAGCTCGATCCGGCTCCGATCCGACTCCGGGCAATTCCCAACTTCTCATCGATTTCTTCAGCTTCACAATCCATTCCCTCTTTGTTTCTGCAAAGAAATTATCAAGGATGGAAGCGGGGAGTTGCAGCTCCGGAACAACACTTTTAACGAAACTGCTGCTTTTATTCATTTCCTTCTCATGTTTATGGACCTCCCTCGCATCCGGGTTGGTTGTTGTTTAGATTTTGTGATTCCTGCACATGTTGATGATGTATACTTTTTTTTTTTGGAAACATGTCCTTCGGATTGAGCTGCCCTTAGAGAATCTAGCTTCTAAATTGCATTATTTCTGGTGTTTTTGCTCTCTGAGTTGTGTACATATATGGGCTGATTTTACGTTTTCCTGGCAAGGGTTGTTAGGTTTGAGACCTCATGTTACTATCACCCCGAGCTTTTTTACTATTTATTTTGGCTCTACAATTTGTAGTTTTTACTGTTTTCTTGGAATCAACCTGACTGGATCCTGCAAATTTTTGCGAGAATTTTAGATAGGCTCCTTTTGTATTGAAAGTCTGTGGTGCCAAAAGACACGATTTGTTTTAGAATCTGTAATCTGAACATACAATTCTTTTTTCTTTTTTTCTTAAGCTTGTTTAACTTTCTAGTTTTTCTCGTTTCCTGATGATGGAGCAGGAATGGAGACGGTTATACCATTACTGGTAGAGTAAAAATCCCAGGTAAAAGTTTTCCTTTGTGGTTATATCTTTCTGTTTGATTATGTAATTCGTCACGTATGAAAGCTTAGTAAGAGTGATAGTTTCTAATTGAGACATGATTTTTGTTTACTCTCTTTTGGGATTAGTTTTAGAATGACTGCTTGTAGTTTATATTGTTGATTTCTTTGCCTATTCAGGATGTTGGCTTTTGTCTTCTCTACCTTCGCATCTGGCTGAGGGTTGTGTAATATGTTAGTGTTGTAGGGATGAAGGGTATTAGGAAGAGGTTCATCAAAGTCTGGGGTTAGTTATTATTTTGTCTAGAAGACTCAAATACTGTTTAGTTCTTTAGCATGATGATATTTATTTGCTGGAAATGGAATATGGAAACGATGATGGTTTAGTGCAGTCTGTGGTGCTAGAGACTATTGGATTCAAGCCTAATAATATTTAGGGTGGTTATGGCTTCTCGACTTAGAATGGAAGTCGTTAAAATCAACTTATGGAGTGGGACACTAAATTGCTCAGCAAAATGTATGTAGCTACTGTCTTGATTTTTATGTGATATGGTGCAGTACTCTTTCTCCCTGCATCTAATTTGTGACGAAATGTAAAATTCATTACTCTTTAAAATCAATTTAAGGAACCCGTTTGAATCAGTTTTAAGGGTAGTGATTTGGTTGTGGAGCCTAATAAAATATTGGCTTAGGGCGGTATTTTCCGGGATTCATTTATCTACTGATATAATCTCTTTGAAGTTTTATCCCTCGTATACACTTCCAAACTTAATGTCGCGTTTTATGGTTGCTGTTATGTTAAAATCTGAATGTTGTCTGCGATTTGTAGGCACCAGTTCTCTAGGAGTTGGTCTTCCTGCGAAAGTTTCAAATGTGAAAGTCATACTAAATGGTGGCAAAAGCGTCACTTTCCTCCGTCCCGATGGATATTTTTCTTTGTATCCTTCCACATGTTTCTTTTAATTGCTTTTGCATGTTCATTGAGATATGTATGACTTATTTTTTGATTGTCACATTTACGGCTAACTTGTATATATTCATTTGATCAATTAGGTTTCAGTATTCTGTAAAACCGATTATTTTCCATAGCTGCGCGTGATTCATTGTATTTTTCTCTTCCTTCTTTATGCATTCAATCTAATTCTGAACTGATATTACATTCTTCATATACAGCAAGCTTGTAAATGTTAAATTTAAATAAATGAGTTTAGTATTTGTTGTTGTTGCGGTTCCTTAATTCTTGTTCTGAAGCCATAATGTTCCGGCTGGGACTCATCTTATTGAGGTGGCTGCAATCGGCTACTTCTTTTCTCCAGTGAGTTTCTTCTTTTTGTGCTTTTTGTAGTTATTTTGTTTCAGCTGATAATAATATTTCCATAATGCTGTAACTTATAGGTTCGAGTCGATGTCAGCGCCCGAAATCCAGGGAAAGTTCAGGCTGCATTGACTGAGACTAGGAAAGGCTTGAGCGAGCTCGTATTGGAGCCTCTAAGTGAGGAACAGTACTACGAGGTAAGTGTAGAATACGTTTTGAGCATTGTCGCTGCATAAGATATAGTCTCTTGTTGACAAATTTGATGATTTTGTCTTTGTTCATTATATGATTTCTGCAGATAAGAGAACCTTTCTCCATAATGTCAGTCGTGAAGAGCCCCATGGGACTGATGATGGGATTTATGGCGTTCGTGATGTTAGTGATGCCAAAACTAGTGGAAAATATGGGTAAGATTCTGTCACTAGTTCCATCTTCCTCTTTGTGTTGTTTTTAGTTGAATAAGTTTATTATTTTGGCAATCTAAGTATGTCAATGGTTCGTTATGATAGCTTCTACTGCTAGATTGTGGATTTTGTTCATTGCAAAGTAAAATTTGTCTCTGGAGATGAATCTATAAATGAGTTCTGTGTCTGAATCGTATTCTTATTTTTTTGTCCTTTTAAAAATATTTGGGTCTGCCTAACTCAGTTACAGATAATGCCATTTGCGAAATTGCTTGTTTGTTTCAAATCTTCATCATTATCATGGAAACATTACAGCTTAATGCCGGAACCAAATGGCATTTCACGTCTAGTGAGATTGCTGCATGATATGTAATCTTGTCCCCACTATAGATGTGCCCAGTTTCCGGGACATCTTTTAAGCATTGATCTGAAACCTTTTCTGATGGAACAGATACCGAAGAAATGAAACGAGCCCAAGAGGAAATGAGGAACCAAGGGGTTCCATCATTTGCAAATCTGTTATCTGGAGGGCAAAGAAGCGACTAAAGACTCACAACTGGGAACGGAGAAGGCTTGGTTCGATAAAGTTCCAACTTTCAAGGATTATTTTCGTGTAAAAACAGATAACATAGATTTAAGATTGGGAACTGGTTTGTTTGACTCCCATATAGTATTTACTAGTAGGGTTGAGAAAGTTTCAAAGGGATTGTATTGAAACTCATTTGTTGTTGGAGTTGTTTTGGCACTGCACAATTCAGGATTCTACAATATTTCGGTCAAGTTATGCTTCTTCTCAAAGTACCATTATTATATTATTTGCTTTAATCAGCTAAGGCAAGGAGGATTAAAAATATAGTATGGCAGGCTTCTTGTTGCTGGTCTGCTAAGCAAACTTCAGAGTTTAGACAGCCAAAGTTAAGAGGGAACAGATCTTTATGACAAAAAGAAAATGAGCCAGTGATACGTATTTTTTTTACAACAAAACTTCAATGTCCCGTGATTGAAACTGATTGAAGGAAATTGCAAGAATGCCTTTCACTGTCACTCCAGGTCAAATATGAAACGGGTTTGTACATATGATAAATACAGCCAACTTCTCCTAGTAGTAGTATAGTACCACAGTTTTTCAATTCAATCGGTAAATTTTTTTTCTATTTTTGGCGAAACTAAAACGTTATCAAATGACCATCTAACGAATGTGAAATAACATTTGGCAACTTAACTAAAATGTAGGAAGTATGGATTTGTTACTAGAACACCAACTAAACATATCAAAAAACTCTTATTCCCAAAGCCGCAGTTAGGCAAAATGTTAGAATGTACTTTTTCCGTCTCATAATTATTGTCCAGTTTGAATTCTCATTTTTAGTTCAAATTGTACTAAAAGTGAAATCATCTCAAACTGGACAATAATTTTGGAACATAAGGAGTACTAAGTTGTACAAATACAATTTATACTTGCTTCATCACTCTATAAAATTGTGAGTTAGTGTTTTGATTGTAGTATTAAGCTGAGAAAAATAATGAAATTAAAAAGATCAAAGACTGCAATGAAATGGAAAGAAAGAAAGAAAAGATTCAGAATTACGCAGTCAGTGACAGAGATAGGTCATCATTAATTTTGGGGGATTAATAATAATAATAATGATGATGATTACTAGTAGTGTAGTATTAGAAACACAAGCTTAGACTTAACTAAGACCATTTCGCAAACACATTAATAGTTTCCTCGGAACATCAACGGCGGTCGAAATATTTTTAACTGAAGAACATCTTTCTTCTTCTTCTTCTTCTTCTTCTGTAACCGACGATCGAACCTCAATTCAATAGTTTTACACATCAGTTAAATTTGCTTCACAAGCAAAACCCCTCCACCCCACCAACCAGAGAGAAGGCAAAGAAGAAGAAAGAAGCTACCCAATTCAAAATCTCATCTTTTTAGCTAGTCCCCCCCAATCCAATTCGTCGATTTGCTTTCTTCCCCACCCTCCGTCTTAAAAATGGAGCAGCAGACGTTGCCAATTACCATGAAATCGGAGCAGCGCCGATCCAAATCGTCCAAGTCTTTTCAGACCTCAAAACCTTCGCTGGTTATGGCTTTCTTCTCTTGCCTTGCTTGGCTTTACGTGGCTGGCCGGTAATGTGTTCTCTTCTCCATCCAAGTATTTTTCTCATTATTTCGAATTTAGATCGATATAATGTGATCTGGATGTTGAGGTTTTTGTCTTTCTTTTAATGTGAACAACAATGAGTAACCAAGTTCCGCTGTTGTGTTCATTTTCGGTGTGCCAGATTGTGGCAAGATGCAGAGAATAGAACTTTATTGGCGTCGTTATTGAAGAAAAATTTAGCTCAGGTATTTCAATTTTCCTCTATTAATGCACTGGCACTTTCAAGGGTCTCTGTTCATTTGGTGAAACTGTAGTGTATCATGAAGATCGTTTTCCCGGAATTGTTGCCTTGACTCTTGATTATGTCCTTGTAAAGGTTTCTTTTTATATAGGAGTACATGCAGAGCCATTCATTGGTTGTTTCTGATTAAGCTTATGTTCGTTTAAACCTAAATGACAACATGCCTTGTGACCAAACACAATGGTCATGTGACCGGATATGATTCATGTGGTTGATCCACATGGTGGGATCATGATTTAGTTGCTCTATTAAGTCTTTTCTGTTTATTTTGGCAGAGACCCAAAATGCTGACAGTTGAGGACAAGCTAACAGTCTTAGGATGCAAGTACGGTATCTCATCACTCCTTTCAATTCTCTTTTGCACGAGTGTTGTCCATAGTATGCTTTTTGGCATGAAATAAAAGAAAATGTTACACATTGTGGATTAGGACTGTTAATGAATGTTTAATGGATGGATCAAGTGATTATATAGTAGTATTAGTCTATAAATGGCTTAATTTGTCAGGGATTTACAGAGGAGAATTGTTGAAGCTGAGATGGATTTGACATTAGCAAAGAGTCAAGGTTACCTAAAGAATCAATTGAAACAAAGTGGTTCTGATCCGGGGAAAAAGCTTCTCGCAGTCATTGGAGTTTATACTGGGTTTGGAAGTCGCTTGAAAAGGAACGTTTTCCGAGGGTCTTGGATGCCTAAAGGTGAGGCAACAACTTTCATTTTCCTTAAAGAATGCAAAGTGTTTTGGCATTGTCATTAAATGGGCTTTTGAAAACCCTTTCAAAATGTTGCACTGAGGGTCAGTGTTTGTTGATCTCTTGATATCTGATATTATGCTGAAATAGGTGACGCTTTGTCTAAACTTGAGGAAAGGGGAATTGTCATACGATTTGTGATTGGTCGGAGGTTATTTCTGCTCTCTTGTAACTTTTGATTCTGATGGATATGCTCTTTTCCACTCCTCAACGGCCATAACACTTACGGATATTTCATCTCTGTAAAATTTCAGTGCCAATCGAGGGGACAGCTTGGACCGGAACATAGATGAAGAAAGCAAAGTGACAAATGACTTCTTGATTCTTGTATGCGGTCACATTTTGCTCTTAAAATTGCCTAATATGCCTGTTTTCATGTACAGTCATGCATTTTTAATTTACTTTCCGAGGGTCTTTGGAGGTTTTAATTAACTGCCGTTTGTTCCTGAATCAGGATGGCCATGAGGAGGCGCAAGAGGAGTTGCCCAAGAAAGCAAAATTCTTCTTTAGCGCTGCCGTTCAAATGTGGGATGCAGATTTCTATGTTAAAGTTGATGACAATATTGACCTTGACCTTGGTAAACGTTTGAATTTTTTTTTTTTTTTTTTTTTGCCTTTTGTTTTCTTAGAACCGAAGTTTGAATGTAAGTTTTTGATCTTGGAATTCTATTAGTTTTTATTTATCTTCCTCATTTTCCCGCTGCAATTCTCTCTCCCCCTCCCGCCCCCTATTTTTCCTGGAAGATAAGCAGAACTGTTCTGTGATTGCAGAAGGACTGATTGAGCTTCTTCAGAGCAGACGTAATCAAGAAAGTGCTTATATAGGATGCATGAAGTCAGGAGAAGTAGTTTCTGAGGAGTAATATTGCTGACTCTTTTCCGTTTTTGCATTATGTATTTACCCCCCCTTTTTTTTCCCTGTTATGACATTTTGTTCCAGCATATTTTTTTTGAAGTAATGTTGGGAATAAGATCTTTATTGAACTTAAATCAATGCTCAGAAATTCTTGAATCTTGAATGCGTTTCTGGAGAAGACTCTAGAGTGCTTGTATCTTTCTCTAGTCTGATATATGTTTTAAAATCTGCACGCTTCTTAAAAGTTGAATACAATGCTCTGTTCAAATTATATTGTGAGTTGGAAGTATTCTAATGCAATGCTCGGTTATTCTGCATTTTGAGTACAGGGGAAAGCCATGGTATGAACCAGATTGGTGGAAATTTGGGGATGAGAAATCGTAAGTGTTTTTGTTTGATGTTTGGGGATACACCAACAGAACACTCATTTATATTTGATACTGTTTTGATTTTCGGGAATTTGGAATTGTTTCTTATACCTGGTAAGGCTGTCTCTTGACTTGAAATTTTTACCTTTTGGTATCGGTTTCAGGTACTTTCGGCATGCAGCCGGTTCACTTTTAGTGCTTTCCAAGAACTTGGCGCAGTATATATATGTAAACAGGTAAGTTCTTAAGGCAATGATTTGAAATTTTGGAAAATTTTGAGTTTTTGCTATGTTCATGGGCATTCCTTTATCAAAGTCTACTTAATCAAAATTTTGTTTAATTAGTTACTTTTCTAAAGCCTTTATCAGACTTGGGCTTCTGTACATAAACTTAATTACCTGATAAGTACTTCTTCGGTTCACTTATCGCTTAGCTCTATTTGAGGGAGATAAATTCAATAATTCTGTTTATTTGCAAAGTATAAACAAAATGTGCAAGATACCGGTCTGATCTAGTGACAACATTATGTAGTGCTTCTTTGAAAACCTATGCTCATGATGATACATCAGTGGGTTCATGGATGATGGGTCTGCAAGCAACATACATAGATGACAGTCGTTTATGCTGCAGTAACACCCGGCAAGGTATGTAGGCTTCCATGCCAATCATATAACTTCTCTATAGATGCAACACTAATTTTTGATTGAGTACAGCTAAACAGCACGCCTCCTGTGCACTTTGTTTTTTCGAATATGAGTGGAAAACATTAAAATTATTGATTCTAGGCTCTCCAAACGAGAGCAGTGGAGTAATTGATGCAGCAATTGCATCTCCTGGTCAATCAAGAAGGCAGTTGTTTAACTTTCCTCTTTACTCTAAACTCATTGTTGGTTGACATTCAAAATATTTCAGTGAAAGCAAATTAAATGGGGAGGGGGGAGGCTTGGAAAAGATTGGGAAGTTTCGAGAAAGGATTGATGTGTTTTACTTTAAACGAGAACATGTGTATTGAAAGTATACTCGACAACTGATCTCTGTATAGTCAACTGCACATAGTGGAGTGAAGGTTTAATTATTGTTGGTATTATTGAGATTTCAAAATATCTATAAAGTTTAAACCGATTGTGGCTTGCAACAGATAAGGTATGTTCGCTGGCTTGAGGGAAGAGGAAGCTGAGATTGCAGTGATAAACAATTTTCTGTTTTCACCTCCTGGTGCCCACCACGAACATGTAGGTTCAAACCAACCTCGAGAAAACATGAAGAAATTTCGAGCTATAGAGGGGCCAGTGGGTGATACTGATTTGGCTATGTAGGTGGTGAACGAGTTGGTGTTTTACATGACTTTGAAGATGACCATTCTTTTGGATGAGAGTTTGATTGATGGCGGCTATAGCATATACAGCATCTCCTATGAGGAGTTTGATTGTTATTTTCATAGGAAGAGTTTAGATAGAAATGGGGAGATTCATGGAGGATGTAACTGCGGGAACTGGATTGTTGATAAACCAGAGTTGTGATCGAGATATCCATTCTTGAGTTGAATAATATTCTATTTTAGTCCATTTTTTCAATCCAGATTTGAGTTCCATTAGACTTGGCAATATTTTACCGCTTTGTACAAATTTTAAAATTCAAGGTGGAATTTATGGGATAAAAGGTTTCAGAATTTTCATTTTGTCTTGCTGCAAATTCACTTTTGCACTTTATTACTTAACAATTTACGTGTTTTCAAACTTGTCATTCCAATTATTTTTAATAGGATCAACTGATCATTTATAGGTTACGATCAAAATGTAATAGAAATCACTCCCTCCGTCTCATAATTATTGTCTAGTTTGAGTTATCACTTTTAGTATAATTTATACTAGAAATGAAAACTTAAACTGGACAATAATTTTGGGACGGAGGGAGTATAAGTTAAGAACAAAAAAGAGAAAATGTGTTTGCAAAAATCAACTAGTTATTAATAAGTATATAAGTTGCAAAAATTACAATTTACTGAGAGGCACAAAGTAATCAATATTTTGTGACATATTCTCTCAATCTAAATTCATAATGAAAGACTATCTACATGTAGTTGAATAGAACATTGTTATAATAGCCAGTAATTAAAAATAATTTAAAAGGCAATTATTATTATGTACATCCTTAAACTAGTTCTTAGTATGAAAATGAAAACTTTTTTGAACTTATTATGATTATTAGTATAGGAGTAATAAAAAATAGTGGTAACTGGTAACTAACACAGTACTGTATATATATATCCTTGGACGAAAAGGCCTGGGTAGTGAAAAAGTTTTGAGGATAATGCTGCAGGAACCCAAAAACCTCCAAAACTGCAGCTTTCTCTTAAATGTCTAAGACGGAGGAGGGATTGCTCGGTGGATCCTAATAAGAAAGAATCAAAAAATGGCCACAACCCTGTTCAAGCTCCACCGCCCCTTACTCGTTCCCGCCTACATCTCTCGGGGAAGGGCATTCTGTGCTGCAGCACCACCCATCTCCTTTGCTTACAGGGCTTTTTTTTTCAACTCCAAGATTACAACTTTGGGGCGGAGGTTCCGTTGTTTCAGTTCAATGAACAGCGTTGGCAGTAATAACAATCATTCAAACCCACTCCCAATGATTAATAATAAGCAGGCAAAGGAGTTGTGGCTATTCAATACGATGAGCAGGCAGAAGGAGTTGTTCCAGCCTAAATTGCCTGGCAAAGTTGGGATGTATGTTTGTGGTGTCACTGCCTATGATCTCAGCCACATTGGTCATGCTCGCGTTTACGTTTGCTTTGATGTCCTTTACAGGTTATATATTTACTATTCAACTTTTTGTTTGCTTTTGTTTTTGTGATAGCCAACAAACTCTTAGTGCATCACGATCTCTCCTATTGTATTGTTTTCCTTTCTTTATGAGAGAGTTCGTGTGTTTTAAGTTGTTAGTTTGTTCTTTTCTTTCCGGCTCTCTGCATCTGTCAGTTTGAGAGATGATGCTACATAAAAGTGCAGTTGCAGTAAGCACTCATTGGATGGAGTGGCGACAGCCATCTGAAACCAGTTATCTTCTCTGTTTGGTTGCCATGGCTCTCCTCTGTGATTTGTTACCAGGAATATCTTTCCTCGGGTGTGTCTATTGTTAATTTGGTTGCTTGGGTGGTCTTTATGTATAAATCTTTGAATATAGAGATTATGGTGTGATTGCATTTAGTTTCCTTTTATTTTTTTATTGGGTTTGATTTTGAATTTTTAGGGATGCTTCCTTTGCTCTTTTGAGTAAGTCAGGAATGAATCTCATGTGGGATCAATAGGAGAGTTTCAAAGATATTGTTTTGGTTGGTATTTTTTACCTATTAGTCCTGACTTCTAAAGTAGTTAAATGAATGCTATAATTTATACTGATGATCTGGCTGTTTCTCAAGTTTTAGTCATTGATGATTGAAATTATAGTTGCTATTCTGTCTCTTTTGCCTTGCCGTGTTACTGGTTTGGATCATACTGTTTGTGGCTAGGCAAATTGCTATATTTGATGAAACTAATTGCAATTTTTTTGGCCCCTTTTTTTAAAATTAGGCAGATATCTCAAGTTTATGGGATATGAAGTGAACTACGTGCGGAACTTTACTGATGTTGATGATAAGGTTAGTTCTGTCCTTGCCATTGCTGCAGACGGCAGGATTGTGACACGTTTTTTAAATATTGGTTGGAAAAATTGTCATTACAACAACTTTTATAGTTTGCAGAATCATTAGCAGTAATTCGAGTTACACTTCTGCCCCAATTCGACACTGTTGCTTAGTTTTATGTCTTTATTGTCTTTTATTTGTGATGGAATTAAAAAATAATACACTTTGTGGAAGTAATCTCATCTCGAGAGTTGTAAAGAACAAGTCCTCAACAAGGCACCTTTCATTCTTTGGAGTACATGATAAACTGTTGATGTGATTTTTCTTTGAGAGAATATTGGAATAGCCTGCTGTTTTGATCCCATCTGAAAGTTAAGTATAAATAAAAGGTTTCCATGTGAGCCCTTAGAATGGTTGGCATAATCTTGGATTCTAAGATTGGGCGAGAGTAGTACTAGGATAGGTGACCCCCTAACCCCACCGCGCACACGAAGTGCTCATGTTTTTCCTCTCCCACAAAAGGATTCTAAGAGTACAAATGCATTACAAACATCATTTCTTTGTATATATGCATTAGATGCCACCTGAGTGATAATTTCATTTTCTTCAGATTATTGCCCGAGCAAAGCTGTTGGGGGAGGATCCTATTGGTTTGAGCAGGCGATACTGTGAAGAGTTTCATCGCGACATGGATGAGCTCCATTGCCTTCCTCCTTCTGCAGAGCCTCGTGTTTCTGACCATTTACCTCAAATTATAAGTATGATTGAGCAGGTACCTGTCTCTGTTCCTTCTGTCTTCTGTTGTAGCTTTCAAAATTCTTATCCTCTTGGATCTATATTAATAATTTATTATGTCCAGTTTATCCAGTGAATGCCATTGTTCAGATAATAGTTTAAAGTTCAAAATGTTTTCTCTTTATCTTCATATGGTCTTATAAATTAGTGAACAGTAACATGTCACCCTACTACTGGTTGAAATGCCGTCTATCTTTATGATCAGCTGAAACTGAAAAAGAAGAAAATATTGGGTACTGGCTGATGTTTGTCTGTGTTCTTTTTTATCACAACTCAGATTACGAAACTTATATCTAGTTTAATTATCTCGTTACTTATGTTTGCTGGTGACCACTTAGAATAGATAGGTTTAAACTTTATTGATTTGATATTGTTGCAGATTCTTGATAATGGGTATGCTTATAGGATCAATGGCGACGTTTACTTTTCTGTAGAGAAATTCCCTGAATATGGACGATTATCAGGTAGAAAGCTCGAAGATAATAGAGCAGGCGAAAGAGTAGCGGTGGATACTCGGAAGAATAACCCAGCTGATTTCGCCCTGTGGAAAGTAAGCAGTTTCACGCAACCTTTTCTTTCTAAAGAACTAAAGATTGTAATTTAATGATCTGTATGGAAATTCCTATATTTCTGATTTTTTCTTATGTTGAAGGCTGTCTGCAAGGGGTTGACAGCATTACATTTCTGTTTTATTCTTCTTTTTTTTCTTTTTTTTTTTTTCCCTTTCTTTATTTTTGATTTAAATACGGCACGAATGCTATTTCCCTGATCATGAATAATTGCTACTAAATGAAGCTTTGCCAAGTTGTTACTTCAAGGATGAGTTTGGAATGTTATTACCAAAGCTGACGTACCTTTGAAATGATTACTGTGCCATTCTTACTCTGATACATGCCTTTAAATATTGCTTGCAGAGTGCCAAGGAAGGAGAACCTTTTTGGGAGAGTCCTTGGGGTCGTGGAAGACCTGGATGGCATATTGAATGCAGCGCCATGAGTGCAGCGTATCTTGGTCATTCCTTTGACATACACGGTGGAGGGATGGACCTAGTTTTCCCACACCATGAGAATGAAATAGCACAAAGTTGTGCTGCTTGCGATAAAAGCAACATCAGCTACTGGATACACAATGGATTCGTAAATGTCGACTCCGAGAAAATGTCAAAATCGCTTGGGAATTTCTTTACCATTCGCCAGGTATAGGGTACTGATTCGTTGATCGATTTGTTATCTTAACGTCATTCTAAATTACTTGATAATCTTCTCTTAGGTTTTAGAAGTTTACCATCCATTGGCTTTACGCCTTTTCTTGATGATGACACACTACCGGTCTCCCATCAATTACTCGGATATACTACTTGAAAGTGCATCTGACCGCATCTACTACATATATCAGGTACTAAAGCATTAAATCTCTTTTTCACGTGGTGAACTCTATGTTTATGGGGTTCATAAATTTGTTATGGCTACTTTGTTGCATATTTCAACTTCTATTGTTTGAGAAACATCCTGATCTGCTCGCTTTTTTTGTTTTTTTTTTTAAATAAGTTTGTTATGGCTGCCTTGTTGCATATTTCAACTTCTATTATTTGAGAAACATCCTGATCTGCTCGCTTTTTTTGTTTTTTGTTTTTAAAAAAGAAAACTCAGGTATTGTGTTATTATATGGTCAATCCTGCTAGGTTGTTTATGCCTTTGTTCTCAGCCTCAATTTGGAGGAAGCCACAAGTAATAGTTTTATTTTTCCGTATGGAGACTAAGGCCCTGGGATTGATGTCTTTTTTTTCCTTTTAATGCAGACATTATATGACTGTCAAAATGTTATAATGCAAAACAGAACAAATGTGGGGGATTCCATTCCTTCAGGGACTTCAGCTTGCATCACTAAATTTCATGATGAATTTTTGATGTCAATGTCTGACGATCTTCACACTAATGTTGTTCTGGCTGCAATTTCCGACCCTCTCAAAGCTATCAACGATCTCATTCATACCCGCAAGGTATATTTAAGTTCAATACCGGTAATTGTCATGAGTTGAATGATAACACTGTTGGTACTCGCTGCCTCTAGTTTCTATTTTCAAATTTCTAGTTCTACACAATTTTGACAAAAGTATGATGGGGAGATTTGATCCATATACCTGAGCTCACACTGTGTGACAACGGGTAAGATATTGTTGCTGTCTTTGCTAAAGTAACAAGGGTTGGAGAAAAACTTTGGGCAACACTTCTCTATCCTATTGTGGCATCTTGTCAATGCTTGGGATTAATGAGAGTCTTCCAGATAGAATTCTCGAGTGACTCTTTGGCCCTTTGTTTATGATGTGTGCTAATTATAATAGCCCATTTGAAATTTTATTTTTTCAAACAACACTTTGATATCTTACTTTTCCTATGTGTTTGTCCTGCGATAGTTTTCCAAATGCCTCTTCTCGGTTTGTAAATTGGAATCGAAGCAAACTTCTCTTCACTCTTATAATTGAATTTTGTTGGCCTCAGGGAAAGAGACAAGAGTTACGAGTAGAGTCTCTCGTGGCTCTAGAGAAGGAAGTAAGAAATGTTCTTACTGTTTTGGGACTGATGCCAACTACTTATTTGGAGGTATTAAAATTATTTTCTTAAGGTCTTGTAATTCTAGCATTCATGCTGTTTTATAGATTTGTGATTTCTTCAGCTCTGAATTTTTCTGTGTAAATTTTCACCCTATAATAAATGATATCGTCTTGTTCCCATTTTTAGTGTCGTATGTGCTCTCTCTTTTTGGACCATGGAAAACCTTTTTCCTCTTTTTTTGTTCTTTGTGTAAATTTGCTCTGCATTATTGACCAGGCCCTGGAGCAATTGAAGGAGAAGGCACTGCAACGTGCCAATTTGACCGAGAATCAAGTTATGCAGAAAATTGGTGAAAGAAATATAGCTAGAATGAACAAAGAATATGAAAAATCCGATACCATACGGAAGGATCTGGCTGCTGTTGGTATTTCTCTGATGGACAACCCGGAGGGCACTACATGGAGACCGGCTATTCCATTGGCCTTGCAAGAAAAGCTGGTTGCAGCAACATCTTGAAACCGTTGATTTTCAAACAAGGGAAACTTGCCATGGTGACCCTTCGAAGTGTTTTCTTGTGCATGCATGCACTTTGGGCTGTAGATATTTTGTGAAGACAAGATTAAGGTTTCAAAAGAGCAGTATTAGGAACCAGCGTGTGTCAACAAAATATAACAACCTAGGATACTTGTGATTTGTAGCAAATGGAGTATATTACCGCAATGCTTTTATTTCCATGGGAGTGAGGGAAAAGAAGAGAACTAGGATGATCTTCAAAGAAGTTTTGGTTTGAGTTATTCTGTGATGTGTACATGGTGTTTTAAGTTCTTGATTTTTCCTTGTCTCACAGAAGGATGGTTTATTTACAGAGTAAAATGGTCTCCATAAACTTATCATTTGATTTATAGAAGCTAAATTTATTTGGAGAATACAATAGCCATGATGTATTTTCGTTCCTGCTACGTCTATTCTTCTGTGTTATTTGATTGTTGGCCCTTCTGTTATTTCCTTGCATTTGGCTGTGTTTTGAAGCACAATGGCGACATTAGTTGGATAAAGGCTATGTTGTTGTAAATCGTAATCAGGAGAGGTATGTATCATTTCGAAAAACCCAGTCTTGAGATTGTTGGAGAATTTACGTAACTTTGAATCTATACTATACTTTACAAGCAGGAACAAGAATGTTGGGGATGTGAGCAAACACAATGGAGAAAGGAGCAACTGTCACTAGGGACAATGGGTTTACTTTAACTGGTTTCAGAGGAGGGATGTTCCCAGAACGATCTATGGTAAGTACTTTTCCGTTGAGGAGCACAGTTTGGCTATGTATATCACCATCTTTTGGGGTAAGATGGTACTCTTCTCTCATGTTAGATTCCACTTTGAGCCTTGTGAAATTCCCATTGCGCCTTAAGATGGGTTTGTTTGTGATGGTTGCATTTTCAACTCTAAGTCCAATTTGGATAGTTGTACTGCCATCTAGATTGATGAAGAGCACAGTAATTCCAGGCTGCCATTTGAACATAATTACATTAGTTCTCCTAGATGTTGTGCTGATAAAAGCATAGGAACATGTTAACAGATGAAATGCTGGTTTTTTTTTTTTTTTTTCTTCCACTGAAGGAACTAATTGATCAACTCACAGAGAGTTTTGAGCAGTGTGCATAAGCTCGTAGATTCTTTATTGCAGTCAATTTGGTTGAGAGAACATTTATTCCCATCAAACGATGCCAGAGAAGAGCACTGATGTTGAAACAAAAAACCAATCATCAATAAAAATGCTGTTAATGTGTAATTCAGCATGACAGGCCTGTGCTAGTACCTGTAGTAGTCAGGATTTGGGACAAATGTAGTGGTATTGAGTAGACCATAGTTGCCTCCAATCAGTGTCTGCCGGCAATAAACTTTAGTATCATAAGATGAAGCCAGGCCAAGCTGGTCCAAGTACCTGGATACACAGTGTCAGAAAAGCCTCATTTCTTTTCTTTCTTTTTTTCCTTGAGGGCTGGGTGGTGGGGGTGGGGATGGGAAGGGAGTAACTACGAAGGACTGAATATGGAAGGAGAGAGTTAGTTACTCACCAGAAGCTGAAGACGAAAGTGTTCGTAACAAGATTACGCCCGCTGTTATAAGCTCCTCCAGCTTCACCAACCCATGCTTTTGTTTTAACTCCTGAACTTTGAAGAATCCCTTGAAGATCTATGAATGGCTGTGATCCACCATCCAGATATGATGGATCAAGTATCTTGTCCACTAGGCGATCGTCCACACCTGGGAAGCAGAATCTCCAAAATTGAAGGGCCCGCTGATACACTTTGAACCGAAACAAGAAGAATGGATGTGTACGCACGCTTATATACCTGGACCAAGATTGTAAATGTGATGTGTAACAACTTGGAGAGAGTTGGAGGTTTCACTGATGAACTTGGAAAACCATCCGGCATCGAAAAACCCTCCAGGACCAAGTACTAATGGCTTGAACTCCGAGCTGCTGTAGACATCTTGCACTATATTTTGAAGAGTACTCACATCTGATGCATATTGATCAACTGCTACACTTGCCCCGATTCCATTCCCACTCAATTCATTCCCTGAGGCAATTCCAGGGATATGCAGAGTTGTAAGTTTGTATTTTGTTCGAATAGTAATTAGATATGGTTACTGCTTCTTAAAAGCTGTGCTACAACTGCACTAATTTACCAAGTTCCCAGCCATAAACAGGATAATTCTTCTGTGCTGTGTATCTTATGAGAGATTCAGCATTGCTGGAGTTCCAAGGTCCCAAAGCATTGTTTCCTGAATCGATTGTTCTTCCATATAATGCATTTAGTCCGAAAATGACCTCAGCCCTGTTAGACCGTATAGTGGCATTATTAGACCAAAAATGTAAGAAATGCAAGATGAATGATAAAGCGGAGATTGGGTACCCTGCTGATTTGAAGAAGCTGTTGAGTTGGTCCCATCGGGACAAGGCTAAGCATCCTTCAGTGAAACCAAACATGTCCGTGCTCTTGCTAAACTGGTTGCACGGTCGCTGCTGAAGTAGATTAGCATCTTCTGCCGTGGTTTGATATATCACCTTATCTTGCAGTGTTCCGCCAAGTCTAATTTTCAAGGGAGAAAAAGCTGCAAAGTAGGAAAAAGGTGCACAATTGAGACCTGGCAGCCAAATCATGGCATCGATGGGATTTGATGAGCCCAAAGAGCATTGTGGGGCTGGGACAGGACAGGACCTGCAAGGCAATGAATAGTGAGATCATACCCCCCTCGGGGGGTTGACAATGATCTCACCATTTATGGCCTTGCGGGTTCTTTCCCAGCACCTAACGCGTGCCTTGTGGACTCACCAGAATTCTCGGATTAGCAACACAAATTAATGACTAAGTAGCATAGGTTGTGTGTGGCACCTTTGACGGCATTAAGAAGAATCTTATTGCTGAGATCCTGTCATGGGAATATGTAGATTACGCGTGAGAAAAGATGATGCAGATCATAAGAGCGCAGAATGAGAAGACGAATAATCAAGGAGAAAACAAAAAAACCAGATTGAGAAGAGAAGCATTTCCCCAACTGCAGGTGCCATAGTCACATTTCTGAGGAGGCCACCAATCCAATGTAGCACAGATGAAGTTGTCATCAGGGGTTGCAATTGAAACTGAACCATCAATGACCAAAGTGGTGAAAGTGGAGTTTGGGGAGACTACTGCTTTTCTGGAAGAGTGACATGCCGCCAAGAAAAGCCACAAAGACAGCCCCAAAATGTTGAGCAAAGAAGCCATCTCATACAGCAGGGAACAAGATTCAGTGTTTTTGGAAGAAGCCATCATATTGAATGGATTTTATATACAGGAGTCAGAGAGAAGTAAGTATGAATGTATGATTTAATGAATGGAAGAGTTGGTTAATATTGTTACATGTCATGATATCACTGAATGAAAAGAAAAGGACAAAGAAAACAAAACGTAATCAGAGTTGATCAGAGTTGGATCAGACTTGAGAAGAGAGTAGGAGGTGGGATTTTCTGGGGAACAGCAAAGGTGTAGTATACTTATGGAGAAATAGGTTGGGCCTCCCTCCCCAGATGGAGGAATTGGGGAGGAATTTTATGCAAGTTGGGATAGTTGATATCTGGTGCTCAACTGATCGATGATGATGATGATGATGATCAGCTTTTTAGGGAAAACATCAGTGGTGAGGGTGTTTTCTGTACTCCTTTTCGCATGCTCTTTCCAAATTGGATTACAAAATTCCATCCTATATATGTATGTATATACTATACTCTCTACTAGGAGAATGAGCCAACCAGCAATAAATAATTGCTCATTCCATTCAAATATAAAAAAAGTCAGCCTGGTTCTTACAGTTCCACACTCTAAATTGAGTTTAAACTAATCATGATCCACATTTTTTTAATTTTAATTTCTTTTTTTTTTTTTGGGTGGGGGGTGCCTGTTCTCCAGTCAACTCTAATCCTGCTATTTGTTATTGACAATTGAAAAGATTCCTGAAAGATAATGTAAAGAAACAATACTGCATCAACAGGAATAAGCCCGGGATGAGTTTTTTAAGTATATAACATAGAGAAGGGGTCGTCCAGTGTCAATATTTCATCAGGAAAATCTTCTGTTTTAAGTGTTGGGAGGGGAGGGGACCATATTTTGCAAGTAGTAGTACAAGTTTGGTAATCCCGTATTGTATTTGTGTACGTAGTACTGGTAAATAATACAGTTGTAATTCCGGTACTACCCGACCAACATTATTTTTGTTCATTCAGCCCCTTTCTTTCTCTTATACTTACTCAATTATTATAGGAAGACCAAGAGGAATGCTGGAATGAGAAATGAAGGTGGTGGAAATCATGACCGTGAAAACCCATCTAAACTGGACCAAAGACGTAGTAGATCAGAGAGTATTAGTACTACTTATATTAAAAAGAGATGGAGTGATATAATTACAAAATTCATTCATGTCCCAAACTCCCAAGCACAAACTCAAACAACCAACATTCAACTCTCAGCCTCTACTACTCTGCCCCCCTGTACTGCTTGCTCTGCTCTACTGTGTGACTGCGTGTTTTATTTTCTTCTTCTTTTTTTTTTTTATATGCTTTACTACTAGTAGTAACCCTTTTTCGGGTTCCCCCGTTATTCTTCTTCTTCTGTTGGCGGGGGCATATTAACTGTTTGCTACATTGCTCGCCTGGATCCATGGGGTCATCTCTCATCATTCCTATTTTCTCTCTTCAACTTTCCTTTTCCTTTTCCTTCTTCTTTTTGTTAAAAAAAAGAGTAAAAACTGCTACTTTATACCACATCATCCTCCTGCTTTTTGATTTTCTGGAATTTCAATCAATGATCATTCACCCACAAACATTCCTCACTTGCTTTCCCATTTGTTTCCGCCCTCAGACTTCTGTCTAGTTTCACAACAGTGGGTCTTTTCAGTTTTATGCAGAGATTTATTCCTCGCTTATAAAATTTTTTTTAAAAAGACTCCGACTTTCCCACATTTTTCCGTCTCATCAGTTTACCTGAACAGTGTGAGATTCTTTTAAGGTTTCGTTGTCTTGATGGAAGATATGTCCCTGTAATCTCTTAAAGTTGCTTCCAGATTCCGCCTAGTCCAAACAAATAAAGGTACCCTTTCACGCACAGGTAATGTGTGTATGCATTCTATATTAAGTATATATATATATGAATCTCATTCAAGTATCTGGTTTTATGAAGCTTTGGCATTTCGAGATTTCCAATCGAATTATACTCCTGTAATGCATTTCTCCTCTCTTCTGATCTAACTCTGTACTCGCTCGCAGGACGTCTTCTGCTAAGAGTCCAAAATGTCACTCGGTAAAGATCTTCTGTATTTGATCAGACAGTTTTGTTATGAGGAGAAGCTTCATAAAACTGCCCACATGTGAGGTTTTTTTTTTTTTTAATTTTTTTCCCCTGCTTCTTGCAATTTTGTTTTTCTAAAATTTCACGTTCTTTCTTTTTCCTTGTTTTATTCTACTTTATTTTGTTCAAAACAGAGAGCATTGAATAATTTGATTGTTTCGTGATGTAGGCTCGAGCAGGAGACTGGATTCTTTTTCGACATGGATCATTTTGATGAGATGGTGATGAGTGGTGAGTGGGATGAGGCTGAGAATTATCTGTCAGGATTCACTTCCATAGAAAATAATCAGCATTCGATGAAGACATTCTTTGAATTAAGAAAGCAGAAGTTCTACGAGGCTCTTGACAAGTAATTCCTCAAGTTGTTTCATATTTCAAGTTAAAATACTCAGTCCGAATAAGGAAAAAAAAATGCAAGAAAGTTATCTGCACGCGTGCTCATTGTTCTGCATGATGAACTTGTTGACAGGCATGACACTATGAACGCTTTAGATATCCTTTTAAAAGATCTTAAAGTGTTTGCCTCGACTAATGAACAACTGTACCGAGAACTGACTTCACTGCTCACCCTGGATGACTTCAGGTTTGTACCGAGTTTTAAGAAAATTCTGTTTTCAATTTGAACATCAGTTATGACAGGTGAGCTGTTCTAATGATTGTCAGAGAACATCCTTTGCTTTCCTCAACGTACGGGGATGTCATTTCGGCTCGAAGGCAAATGATGGATGAAATTAGGCCTATTATTAAAGAAAATCCACTCTTCCTTGGGAAAGTAGAGTTTCCACAGGTTGAGAAGTCAAGATTGCGCCGTCTCATCAATCAAAGGTGGTTTCTCCTCCTTTTCTTATTTCATTTTGTATCAAAGGTGGTTTCTCCTTCTTTTCTTATTTCATTTTGTTAGTTGTTATTCAAAACTCCTGTACCTAGTTTGTTATCGGAAATCCTTATCTCATAGCGACAAATAAGATTCAGAGCCACCTTTTGTCCTTTTAACATGAACAGCATTTCTATTTAAACAAGTAAGGTGAGTCAAAACTTTAAGGCTACTTATGTTAAGGATATATAAAAAATTGCTACATATCCTGTTTCTTGCCTGGCAAAGGACTCCCTGTCTTTTCTGAACTACTTTGGTCATCTAGTAGACTAAAGATGGATTTGTGTTGAGTATTGTATTGATCTGAGTTTCAAGATTCGCCGTTTCATTGAGGGTCTGTGTTTTTAAAAACCTACAGCTTAAATTGGCAGCACATTCAGTGTCCAAATCCTCAAGTAGTACCCCAAATCAAAACACTATTCTCTGATCACAAGTGTTTGGGAGACTCAAATGGACAGAATGCCTCGGTAACATCATCTCTGAGACTTTTTCTTATGTTTTCTGAAACCAACGTTTCATTTCTTCCTGTACATTTTCACTTTCAGTCATTCAAGGGAATGTCGAGTTCGTTGTCTCCATCTTTTTGCAAGCCGAAGGCTTATCTTCCTGAATTGAGAACTTCAGTTGGTGCTCTCAATCTTGGAAATCAGAAAAAGTTAGGTATGCCACCCTTTTAAATGGTGTTCTTGATATGCCTACTCATTTATTCGCTAGTTGAAGTTTTGGCATTTTCTAGCCACAATATTGGAGGATGCGGAGCAATCAGATACTGCTTCCCAAATAATCTCTAACATGCCTCTTGATAAGGTGACTAATCTATTAACTGTTGGCGTATCTCTTTCATATTCCCGTCAATCTGTCAAAGAAATCGTGATGCGCTTTCTTTTTGTCTTTGTTTTGTAACTCATTCTCACTCTTCTCATTCTGCATTTGCACTAGTGTAGATGGTGTCTCGAAACCATCTTTCAGTCGAGAACCACAACCTAAAATTCATTATTCTTGATGACTTCCCAAAGACAGTTGAACGCTGTCTGGAAATGAGCTCCTCCCAAACTAGCATGGAGTTTCACCCCACAGAAGATTCTCTGATCTTAGGTTCACTTTAGTATCACGAGTTTCAACTGTTGATGTGATAACTTTAGCCCTTAAAATTAGGTTCATCTTAAACTTATGAATTTCTCCCCTTGTGATTTTCCAGTTGGAAATATCATGGGCGAAGTAGAATTGTGGGACATCATTGCCGAAGTGAAGTTGTTCAGCAATGCATTTATGATTTGGAATAGAGAAGCCATCTCAGAGTCATTTTTGGTACTTAAAGACATTACCTTGACATTGCATTAATATTTCAGTTTGGAGTGCATTTTGTATGCATAATTTACAATCTTCTACTATTAGAATTCTCTACATACAGATCAACAGATATCAGTTAACTGCGTCTTATGGAGCCCAGATGGTTCAACCTTTGGTAAGTATCTATTCATTCAATGTATCCATATTTCAAGTATACATTCCTGGCAAACTCTTAACATTTGCTACCAAATCGAACCAGGTGTTGCCTTCTCAAAAAACATCGTGCAGTTGTATGCCTGTCGTGTTGATATAAACTACATCAAGAAACAACTTGAGGTACGCTTCCATTCGTTTTATTCTTTTGAACTTTGTTTCTCAGATCAATCCAACTGGCTATAAATGATAAACTTCAAAACTTCCAGATAGAAGCTCACTCCGGTAGTGTGAATGATCTTGCGTTCTCTTTGTGGAATGATCAACTTCTGATCATAACCTGTGGTGAGGACAAGTTGATCCAGGTTAATAATAGGCATCAACTACCTAAAAAACTGGCATTTTCCGGAATAGGAAATGGGACAAACTCTCTGTTAACTGTTTATGTAAGGTATGGGATTCGAAGAGTGGCTCCAAACAGTTCACTTTTGAAGGTCATGGCGCCTCAGTCTACTCATTGTGCCCTCATATCAACGAAGATAGCCATGTAATTGCTTCAAGACTCTATGTTTGCTTCTCCTTCTATTAGTCAATTTTTTGGCGGTTTGGTAATTTTCGTGTTTCCTGGTTCATGCTGCAGCTTCTTCTTTCCACTTCAACCAATGGTGAAATAAAAGCATGGTTATTCACGAACACTGAACCGATTGCTGAATATGATGCATCTGGTTGCTCTCATATGAAAATGGCTTATAGTGATGATGGCAAAAGGTGACTAAACTGTTAGCAATTTAGTTTGGCGGTGTTTCAGAGGGCTTTCCAATGGGGCGCTCTTGATTTTCTTTTCTATGAGGAGTTGCTCTTTTCACCATCATTTCCCTGCATTTCACTCATTTACTCTCCCTACCAAAAGTTTGAAATCCCGTAAAAGCGTGCACATTAGTCCTTAAAAGCAGTCTAAATGAGTCTCGCTCATGTATTTAAGAAATGAAATCACACAAGGAAACAATGATAATGTAATACCTGTCACAGTAGTTCAGAGTATCATTTTTATGGCGCGTCACGGCAGTGCGGTGCACATTTTTATGTCACTAACTGCTCTTTAATCTTGTCCAGGCTCTTTTCATGCGGGACAAATGAAGATGGAAACCCCTACATATTAGAATGGAATCAAACTGGAGGTTATATAACCAGGACTTACCATGGCCTCTGCAGCAAACATGCAGGTGGCAAAGTGCAATTTAGTACGATCAGGAACCGTTTTTTGGTTACTGGTGATGACCACCTAATCAAAGTTTGGGACATGGACAATGTTCAACCAGTAACTGCTCTTGATGGAGATGGAGGCCTACCAGTATGAGCTTAAAATTTTATTCGACTAGTGAAACTCTTTTAACTGTGTTTGTCGATGATTTAGTTATCAAAAACTTGTTTCATTTACTAACGAAATACTCTTCTTCTTTTTTGACTTTTGTTATTAAGGAAACCCCTTATGTTTGCTTCAACAAGGAAGGCACTCTTATGGCTACTTTTGCAAAAGATAAAAAGATCAAAATCTTGGCAAATGATGATGGACATAAATCGCTGCAACCTTCTAACTTATGCACTCCTGATGATTCACTTGGCTACCTTTCTGATTCATTGCAAAAGGTTGGAAAGTAAAGCTTCTGTTCTATCGAGAAGAAAATGATTTCCGCTTATTTTTCTTCTGCAAAATGTTTTGCAGGTCAGCATTAGAACTTCTATGGAGTCAGCAAGATTCGCGGTTGATCCTGAACCTGAAAGCTTCCTTGTGGTGTGTTGTTATTATTTGTTCGTTTTAGATCTTCATTTCTCACTGGATTTGGGAAGTAAATGAGCTTAAGTTTATTGGTTAGACTATTGTGCACTGCCAATGTTGATAGGAGAAGTTGAATGATCCAAAACAGGACGAGAGTATGAAACCTCAAGTTCACTTGACGCTAAACAATGTACCAAACAGCCAAAAATGTTCCAAAATTATACAAGTATCTGATTCCCATTCTTTGAGGCTCCAGTCTGAAGTGAAGACAAATAAGGTATGCTTTGATGACAGACAATATCCAAATTCGGATTACATACGGAAATCAACTAGTCAATCTTTGTTGAAGCACCCTATAAAATTGATGATTGCAATAATTGTTGCAGATATGCAGGTTAACATATACTAATGCCGGTAATGGGATTTTGGCATTAGCTGCAGATGGCATTCATCTGCTCTGGAAATGGTCAGGTTATGAATCTAACATCTCTGATAAGGTAAAAAGAAACAAAGAGATTGCAGAAATTGATTGTATAATTCTCAGAAACCAAATCTTTCTTTGACAGTGCTGCTGAATTATAGCTGTTCCATCGTTTAAAACTAATTATAATGACAAAAAAATATTTAAAAAAATTAAAAAGTTGTCAAACTTCAGTTATGTTATTATAAGAAACAAAAGATCAAAAGTTTTTTTTTTCATATTGTGCTTACTCAAGAAAATGAATCATTTGCTACAGGCAAACACAAGTCACGCACCGCGACTGTGGCAACCACGGAGTGGATTACTGATGATCAACCATCTCAGTGATGATCTTAACTCTGACAAAGTGTTCTCACCCTGCTTTGCATTGTCCAAGAATGACGCCTACCTCATAACGACTTCAGGAAAAAAGGTCTCTTTGTTCAACACTATGACATTCAAGGTAAAATATAACCTCTCTTTCAACTCTGTATAGTTTGAGGGTGTTCAAAAGTAGAACCTAAAAAGTAGATTCCCCTTCTGAGAACCATCGGATTAGAAATGCAGGAGTTGAGAAGCTGTTTGCCATCTCCACCTGTTGCCACCTGTATGGCCTTCTATCCTCCAGATAACAACATAGTTGCAATTGGCATGGATGATTCAACCATACTCATCTACAACATGCGTCTGGGTCAGGTATATGGTGTTGAATTTACTGGTGTAAATTAGGATGTCTTTCATGTTACTGAGTCGTCGATGGGCAGGCATTCTCATTCTGGATGCCATTTATATTTCTACGAGACGAACCTAACACGTTTAAGGATTGCAATTTTCATGGAATCACCCTCGAAATAAAGAGGTCCTCATGATTGTTTTTCATTCTGTGAACGAGTTGAGTTCGGTTCATGTTTGTATATTGGGTCATTGATTGGCACCACTAATTGAATATCGTTAAACATCATCTGAATGGGAACTACTGTGTTACGTTGGCCCCTTGTGGTTTTCAGGAAAGAAGCAGACTCATTGGACACTTGAAACAGATAACTGGATTAGCCTTCTCAAGTCCACTCAAAGTGCTGGTCTCTTCTGCAGTAGATAATCAGGTCAGTTAGATATTATCAGATTTGATTCTGGTTGTCCCTTGCATTGAGATTTATGTACAGGTATCAAAAATCCAACATCTGTTTGGAGAAATGAATATATAAAGTGCATCGTAGCTCAAAAAAGTACAACCTTAAATTTTTGAGGTTTAATTTGAGCTTCTTTTACACTTACTGGACTCAATGTAATGAGGGGGCTCTCGGTATTTATTTCCCTTGCCAATTCCCTAACTTGCCCATCAATGATGTTCTGTTTTTCTGAAGCTCATTGTTTGGGATACCACTGCTTGGAGGAAGACAAAAAGTGTTTCGCTTCAGCTTCCCCCTGGATGGTTGCCATTGGAAACAATATCAGAGACCAACATCCAGTTTCATCAAGATCAGAAACAGTTTCTTGCAGTCCACGAGACACAGCTTGCCATCTATGAAACAATAGACCTAAAACGAGTGAATCAGGTCAGCTTTTGTCCTCTTACGCATCACATTTTTCTATAGGTTTGTTTTTAATCCATCAATACATGATTATTCCTGTTCAGTGGATGATTGGAGAGTTCTGTGCGAGGCTTACTAATGCTATATTTTCAAGCGACAACGAGCTTGTTTATGCCATCATGCGAGGTGGTATTGTGGTAATACTGACCGCTAAGGATTTGTGCCCAAGACTTGAGATTGATCCTTCTGTATACCTTCCTTCAACTGTCAGGTAAGCTTAATCTGAATTTGAACTGTTATCAAGACATAAAACCTTGGATGAATCAACCGAGACCTAAGCTACATTGCATGTGCTGATATCAGAATTAGATTAGCTATGTGTCTCTGTTGGTTAGGCTAACTATAGCATATTGCGGTGAACATCTGATACTCAATGTTTGAAATCAGTGAGAATTCACTCGTTTTTCAGATATTTCCTGTCTCAAGTTTCAATCTTGCTCTTTGGTGAAATTGCAGCTATGGTGTGTATCCAAATGTGGTGGCAGCTCATCCTAAGAAGCCAAACCAGTTTGCATTAGGGCTAAGTGATGGTGGAGTAGTCATCTTAGACCCTAGTGGGCCTCAAGGAAACTGGATCATATCCCCACCTTCACTGAAAGATGATTATGATGAAGAATTTGAATTTTGCCAGCACAATGTAATCACAAACTAAAACTTTCCAATATCTGTGTTTTGTTCAGAAAATTTTTGTCATCTCCTTTTTCAGAACAGTGCATGTGAAACATTGTGAAATGTTCAGCATGGTGTAATTATAAAAGCAGAATGAGAAGTTAGCGAAATCTTATTCGAGCTGTGAAGTACAAGACGTGTAATTTTGGTAGCAAAATACATGTAATTGAATCCAACCCAGTACAATGAGATTTTCGATTTTTTGCAAAGTAAATGTGCACTAATTTGTTGAAATAATAGATAGAGTCATTTTTCAGCGCTATATAACTCACGGAGTATGATTAACCTTCATTACGAGAAACTTCAATATGCCTGTCAATTCAATGAAGTTGTGGGAAACTTTTTCACTGAAAAAAGAAAACCAAAAGCTATCCCAATGAGGACCATTTACATCATAATAACTGAAAGAAATGGTTAGTCGATAATAGAAAACATTACAAGATGCTGTTCACATCTTTACAAGGACAGATGCTAGAATGTTAAAGGGGAAAATATCAGCAAAATGAGTCGCAAATGTCAGGGTTCTAAATTGCGAAAGAAAATAGTCATTGAAATAATGGTACATTAACACAATAAAAAGTTAAAGATTATTAGGTTGAGTTGAAGTTCCATGGCGCATAATGAGAAAAGCTTAACCGTCATTGATGGTTGGCAGGTTACCAAAGAATCAAGCATCCACCCTTGCGGCTGCAGATGCATAACTTACACTGCTCTCCCTCATCGATTTGCACTGGCTCGATTGCTCATATCGGAGGAATTTGATCCTGATTTTTGTTGAACAGTTTTTCGTCATCTGTCACAAACAAACATTTCCAAGTTGGTTTAAGAGGAAGAACAGGCAAAACTGGGGGGTGAACAATTGCGTGTCAGTAACGAACACAAAGCTGACAAGTTTATTACCCGACACAGAAAATGAAACCCATTCATAATTAGATATCAAGAATTATGAGTAAAGGAAGTCGTCCTTACATGAAGGAAGACACTAATTGGATGTCGCCCACATATTGTATTGTCAGTCTCCAAAAGATAATTTTTAAATGCATCTGGATCCCCTGTTTCAATGATATCCATGCCCATTTTATCCAATGCTTCAATGGATTTGTAGATGGCACCATGTTTCTTGTCATAACGAGTATAGTTGAAACTGGGAGGACAAAGATGCTTCAAGATGCCTGATAAAGAAACCTACGGAACAAGCAAAGAAACCAAAGGAAGCAAGCAAATAAAAAATACCGTGAACCCCAATGGCAAAAATCTGAGGATACGGAAAAGAAATTACTGGGATCATCCAAATACTTCCCAAGCAACTGTCCGTATGCCGCTTCGTTTTCAGCATTAAGAGCACCAACCAGGATGGGTACGATTTTCACAGGATACCTGCATTAAGATCAATCCCTCAACAAATCATAAGACCTCAATGGTAGAAGTGACAAAAAAAATCAAAACTTCCTCCCAAAAACACCTACCCTTCAAATACTTTAGCAAGATACGGGAGGTGCATTTCCATGCTATGTTCAGCCTCATCAACCCGGAGATCCATCATTTCAAATTTTCCAGTTGCTTTGAGCTCTTCAATGACTGAAACCAAAAAAAAAACAATATATCATTGTTTTCTTCGAAGAAATAGGACATCAGGATTATTACAGAAAAAAAAGGTGTGCAATCAAACACAGAAAGGGAATCGGAAATAGAAGACAAAGACAGTCTTATTTTTGACAAGATTATCAAGTAACAGCCAGAATTTCATTCTACATTTCCCTAAAAAGATAGCTGAAAATTTGATGACACATAATGTAAAGCTGCAAAAAAAAAAAAAAACAAGACAATAAAATATGTTATATGCATACTTGCTGTTCCTCTATTTATTTACAAATGAGTTACCTCATACGACTCACCTAGCAGGAAAAGAAAAAGAAAAGATAATTCAAACATTAACAAAGTTTCAGAGACGACCACGAGCTGTGATCAAGATTACCTTCAAGGTCAATAGGTAAGTCGCCAACTGGGGTCTTGTATATGGTGGCTCTTGAAAGAGCACATTTTGGAGTATAATAGTGGTGAGATGGACCAAGAAGAAAAACCCGAGAACTGCAAGCAGGGGGAACGGTCCATGTAAAATGCTAGTCTATAGATAGAGAGCGTGAACTTTTATCCATAAAAGGGCAAGTTCACTTGAAAGAGCATCAACACATTGAGCATCACTACAAAAGAACAGAAACTCACAATTTTTCGGGGTCAATATTACCGAATGCAAAGGCTGCTGCACGGCCAGAATATGAATAACCCGCGTGACTGGTGAATTTCACATCAACAATGTCATAAAGTGAGGAATTCATAAAAAGAACGAGGAAACATTAAAGTAAGTTCAGCTACGGAAGTCACTTACGGAGCAATTACAGCTCTTACATCGGACGAATTGGTCAATCCAGACTCTTTGAGCCATTTGTCAAGATCCTGAGCTAACTTTGCAGCTGGCAAAAAAGCATAACAGATTGTTAACAACTAGCAGGTAAACCAAAAAAGGAAAGCCCCATCTTATAAAGAAATCACAAACAAGTTGCCCCGAGTTACGGAGAAAACCAAAGTGCAACCCCTGGTTTACTGATCGATGCATATAAATACACAAGAAGGATAAGCAATCATGGACATTAAAAGGATGAGGATTCAAGAAGGATTTTTTGGGGACTTCTACTTTTCCCCGAGCCTGGAACTTCGTCATCACTCATCATCCAACTGGAGGAAGAGAGATTAGCACACTCTGCCCATCAGATTAAAAAAAGAAAAATTTTGCGCAAAGACATTAACATCTAAACAAACAATCAGTGTAAAGAGGAAAAGCCTATGGATCACCCAAATAGACTGCAACCAAAGAGTAATACTCAAATATTTATTCATAATCTGATGGTACAATACACATACAAGCAACAAAATCAAGTCTTTTACTTCAAATTTAATTGCATGACAAAGGAAAAGTTAAAGTTATGAAATTTAGCTGCAGTTGTTGCAGATAATCAATTTCAATTCTCCCGACCAAACACAGTTGCTCTCACACCGATTTTTTTTTTTTTTTAAGGAAAGCAATCAAAAGGTCAGGAAATTCAGCACATAAATATATGACTTACGATCATCAGTGTACCAAGAACCAGCGTGAGATGCCCTCCTAATTATCTCCATCAATTCCCACCAGAAAAAAATTCAACCCCGGAATGAAGGGATTGCTTAAAAATCAAGTATTTATAAATTTTACAGAAAAACTCCTAAGCAGGAAAAGAATAGGTTGTAGATTCTGGGTTTTACAATGGAACAAGAAGGAGAAGTAAGAAGAAAAACGCAAGTCCCACTGTAAGTAGTACTAGTAGTGGCTTCTAATTCTAATACATCATTATTAATATTCTGGAAGAGGAGAAAGGTTCCGGTTTGGGTTTGGGTTTGGGTTTGCGTTTGCTGATGGAGGAGGGTACATTGTACTTTCGGTGCACTTGGGAATCTCTTTATCATACCCCATCACCTGGGACCCACTTCATGATTTGCCCCATCACCTGGGACCCCCTTCATGATTTGAAAATTTTTAACAATTATTTGGCAAATTAGCAAATCATTAGAAAGATTCTAACTCTAAGTGTGTAAAAGAAAATAATAATAATAATAATTCACTTCTCCATTGTTCTGGAGGGGGAGGATTCTTTGTTTCCTGGATGTTTGTTCAGAGTTTCCTTCCCAGCAAAAATGGCAGCAGTAATAGTTTTATTTTGTTTTCTTCTTAAATCTGATTGATATGATTATCAGATACTTAAGTGGACTCTTTGGTTAATGAATCAGAATTAACATAAAATGGATTGGTTGCAAATTGACTATCTTTTTTCTCAGAAGGGATTGGACCAATGCCATCCAGTCTGGCTCTGCCCAACAAATTATGAACAGAACAGAGGAGCTTACTAACAAACTCAAAGTAAACCGCTCATCAGGGTCATCAGTCATCAACCAAAGCAACAAAATACCATTGATACTTTGTATCTACACACACACACACTACAACAAGGTATACAAACTCAGCTTCCAACAACAACAAACCCCCAATTTTCATTCTTCTCTTTTCTCAACCAAAATTTTTTGCCAAAAGATTGAACAACAATTGAATGACATCCAAATCAATTTTGTATAGAAAAAATGAAAACAATGTATCTATTCTTCAAAATCTTCAACCAATAATCAACTTCTTCTTTCTTTTGAGCATCCAGAAAACCAATCCCAATTCACACAACAACAAGAATCCAGCAACCTGCAATTTCAACATAGAGAAAAAAGAGTAATCTGTCAAAAGTGCCAGCAAACACAAACAAACACGCGTGAACGCACGCACACACATTTTCTACACTCAAAAGAGATAGGAAGTAGTTACGTAAAAGCTTATTGACCAATCATCAATGTAAGGAGATGGGAGTTTACGTGATCCTATGAAAACTTTTTCTTCATCACTTCATCAATTCATGTTAAATGATGCGTGCATGCGCGCTTATAAACTAGTTCTTCATCAAACTGTTTCCACGCCCCACACATAGTACACTTCAAGCAAAATGTTAATGCACATCAACAAATTCAAGTACTCCCTCCGTCCCAAAATAAGGTCTTTGTTGTTGATTATTGGGATGGAGTAGACATATAGTGTACTTATTCTAGGTCTCAAGACAGTTGATAATATGTTAACCCCGTTGGTTTTAAAAAATGCAACTGTGTGACCTTTGCACGCTCAACCCAAGTCCCAAATGTTTTTCTCTTATTATTTTTGGAAGCTGAAACCTTTGCAGAAACTTCAATCTGCTGACATAGGTTTGGATATCATGCCTGTGCTTTTCACGTAAGAGAGAGCTATATTGTGGAAACTGGAAAGTGGTTTCTAACCTGAAATCTCACATCAATGAACCGATATTCCTGTGAACTAATCCCCCATCAATTTTTTACTTGTCCGAAGAAACATTTTCAATTCGATGAACTGCTATGACCTTAGTCTCGGACATGAAAAGATTCCAATAGCAACAGAGCTTTAGCTAATTAGGCTTATTAGGCTCCAAATTTGCAAGCTAAAACAGAGGTAGCCCTACTACACCAATGCACGTTTAACAACGAGTTTTCACTCTTCAAGTCATAACATACACACATACATGAAAAGATTCTTAGGGACTTTCCTTCTTATTGCGGCCTTTAGAATTTCTATTTGGACCATGGAAGAAAATTTCACACATGTAAAAGTAAGAATTAAATTTATTTGATCATCTTCCTTTTCCTGTTTTTCACCCAATCTCCTGTAACATCTTAGTTCACAATTAGTTTTGCAAGGCAGCACAGAAAGTATAGGAAGCAACAAACCAAGCAAGAGTTAAAACATAAGGATGCAAGCAAACAGGTCAGAGAAGCGAATCAAAAAGCAAGACATGCATTGCGACTCGAAAAAACAAAACTGAATTGAAGATACCAAATATTGGAAGGGGAAAAAAGTTGACGGTCATGCCCAAAAAGAAAGGTGAGCAACAAACAACCAAAACAATTAGATCTGAAGGTGGAAAATGTCAGAATCAAATTCAAAATGCAACTTTTAGGGTATAAACTACCTATAATTATATCATGCAATCCATCAAACAATGTGGTCAAATCAGCAACTTTGATCACGGTAATAACTCTGCAGCATAGAGTGAAGTTTTGGAGCTCGACGACGGAACAAGGGTTCCAAGCGAAAAGTTGATACGCCAGATAGCCACCTATCAGCATCGTACATCTCATTCCATGCCTGAACTATCTCATCAACTTCAAAGTCTAAAAAAAGTCATACAACAGAATGTGTCAGAACTTTTAGATTCTAAGCATTTCATTGGCAAGCCGATCACAAGAAATATGAATCGAGTAAAATAAATAAGCAAAACAATAGCGTGTACCTTCCAGAGCAGTTTCATTTGAACAATGGTTTTTTACCATAACAGCTACATCAGTTGGAGATGCTCCAGCAAGTTCGAATTTTTCGACAGCAACCTCCAAGCATTCTTCCCAAGTAGGTAAACTTAACTTAAATTCCACAACTGAACGCTCATACAGCAAGGTTCCCCACAATAGGTGTATATGAGATTTCATCTTAGTGACCTGCTCAGCGGCTTCTTCAGGTGTTAATTCTTTCATCAAACCATCCAGCCCTAGTTTTTGCAACTCGGATTTCTCCTTTTCGGCTTTGGAGAGCCCATTTAGTCGCTGCTCCTCCATCTCTTCCCACATCTGCACGCCTCTTTCCATGCTATCCTCCGCCTTGTTGAATAGCTCCAACACCTGCGCAGACAGCCCGTTCTCTAGATCAACCTTGCTCCCAGTTGCGTAATACCAGGACAGCTTCGCTTGTTCAAATTGCTGCTGCCCAAGAGCGAGAAGAGCTTCGTAGAAATCTGGCTTGATTTTAAGGGCTTCTTCGTACCTCATTCCTGCCTTTATGTATTCCTTTTTTGCCCATTCATAAGCAGATTGTATTGCGAATTCCTTAGAGCCACCATCTTCTTTGAGAAACACTTGCTTCCTAGCTTTTGACATGTGTACATTGCCCCAGTTAAACATGGCTAAGGCAGACATCTCTTGGAACTTTGCAGCTGCAATTTCAAAAAGGTCTTGAGCAGCTTGACTCGTAATAGTGTCTTCCATCGCCTCGGAATACAACTTCATCCCTATCTCGTGGAGATCCAAGTATGAATCACAGTCGAAGCCAACATGATTTCTGAATACCCGCGCAAACTGTACAATCCAGTCCTCAAGACACGTTTGGCCTTCCAGTTGATCAACACTTTTCTCCACAAATCCATTCTCCAAAGTCGTAAACGTTCTGCTGGTATTACTCTGAACTTCCACTTCATTACTTCCCTCATAAAATGGTTCCTTTTCGGGACTAATTTCCGATATGTATAGTCTCAAAAAGCCCTGAGGGTCACCCGATGCCTCAGCTAACCTCAGCTCATCAGACGTCGTGATAGTTACCAAATCACCTTCTTGATCTTTGTACTTAATAAGCACGCCATGCAGGCTCGGGAACCGATCCAGAACGACATTCCTAACGGTTCTGATATTGCAATTTACTGGTAACTGAGCCCATCTTATATCTTCGCCAAGGATCAACTTCACACTCTTGGTCACGACTTTTTCTTCCCTGACACTTAGTTTCTCCTCCACGACAACCTTGTCCTCAGCCTTATCAGGCTTCCTCTCTGTGTCAGGTTCCGGTATTTTTTCTGCCACGACTTCCTCGACCTTCTTCCTAGAATCATACTTGCCACTTTTCTTCTTTTTCACCCTATCTTTGTTAGTCCTACTTGAAATTGGTGTCCGAGGAGTGGGAGGAGGGGGTACGGGCTCGTCATACTCAGGAGGTAGAACAATTTCTTTATCCTCAAGGCCACCCTTTTCCCCAATTGCCTTTTTCACCTTATCCGCAATTTCTAAAGCAGTCAAATTGTTTGGCTCCATACTCAACACATTGTTAACATCCCTCAAGGCCAAATCCAGCCTGTTCAAAGCATCATAACACCTTGCCCTCTTCAACAGGGCTTTGCTGTACTTGGGGGCAACTTCAAGAGCCAGATTGCATTCGTTTATCGCTCTCGGGTACTCCCCAAGCCCCATCTGCATATAGCAAGCAGCCATATTGCTCCTCAAATAAGCCACATCAATGTGGTTCCGAGGCAATAACTTGAGAGCTTTTTCATATTTCAACATTGCTCCTTCATGATCACGTTTCTGAAACAATTTGTTCCCTTCTTCTTTCAATTCTTGGGACATATTGATAAACACAGCAGTGTCTTCATCAAATGCTTTGGAAGTACGTTCAGAAGAAGCTCTGCTATGCTTAGGATTTCCATCATTATTAGATGTTGGAGTCCCGGGACCTTTCTTCTTCCCTGTTGGCTTCCCCATGATCCCTAAATCCAGAAAAAAGCTTCAAACTTTCTAGCAACTTCCTTTAACCATACTAAAGATGTAATATCGAGGCCCCGCCACCACCTGCAAGAATTTTCCAAGCTCATTAGCAAAAGAATAAAGAACCTCAAAAATTATCATATGTCAGTATAAGAACCACCAGACATGGAGTTTTTCCATTTTCCCTAATCCCATGAATACCAAAGTCTTAAGCTTTAAGAAAGCTTTAATCTTTTACTGAATTACTTTTCATTCAAATTCCACAAACACCGGCGGCAAAAATTCTTAGAGCTTGAAATCACCGAACAATGAACGAATGGACACCTCAAGAACCACAAACAGGAAGGGATTCAATCTTACTGCAGAAAGAATCCACTAAGAGCGAACACAAACAAAGAGCAAACATGTGCAAATGAAGAAGGAACCAAAAAAAGGAGGAGAATTCGTGATAAGGAAACTTCTAAAGTTACATACTTTCCTCTTCAAAAGAGAATCCAGCTCAGAAAAGTAATTTGGGCTTCTCAGAAAAAACAAAATACTAATAAAGAAATTCAGAAGCAAAACTGAAAACACAAACATTCCAAGTAAAACTCAAAAACAATTACAGAAGAAATTCCAAAGAAGCCAACAACTTTTTCGATGAACTAATCATTCAAGCTAAGAGCAAATTCAAAACAAAAAAAAAATGAAATAAAAGTTTCATACCGGGGAGAAATCCTATCGAGGAAAAGGGGAGGGGAATGCCCCTTTAGCACCACCAACAACAATCAAGGCGTTGATGAATTATGATGACTAATGAGCGAATTCTTTTTTTTTCAAGGCAATAAATAAACCTTATTTTAAGTTCTTAAACGTGTGTGATTATACAGGTGGGGAAACGAATGATTGATGAGAAAGAAGAAGGCAGAAGAAAAAGAATCCAAATAATGACATGATTAATAAAAAAGTTTTGAAATAGAAGGCAGAAAAAGAAATACGAAAATTAAAGTATATTATTAATATTTTCTCAAGCTGAATAATTAATTATTAGGACAAAACTACTAGTAATATGGAAACTATTGGAAAGGGAGAAATGGTCAGTCAAAGGAATGTTTTCTGGGAGTTTGCCCCCCAACCCTAACTTATTTTAATGCAAAAATTCAATACTACCAAGTTGGACCATAATTTAAGCTAGTGGAGAATTGTTTATTTGATGATAGTACTTAAACAAGATTAATTAAAGTGAGTTTGGTAGGGTTTGGAGCTTGATATAGAACAGTAGCGTGGAATAAATCAAAATGTGGTTCTTCACTTCTTGTTCTTCACTTCTTCTTGCCATCTCATCTTGGAATGGCTATGGTGAATTTTGAATTCCCAATTTTTCAGGGCAGCACTGTCCGGTGGCCGGTGGGTTTTATTGGTGGGGCCGGCGGCAACTTATGGTATTTGCATTGCTCGAGTTTAAAAAAAAAAAGGAAAGAAAAAAAGATGTGTCTTTTCCTTCTAGTCGATTAATAGTAGCATACATACAAAAAGAGTAGCAGTTGGTAAAACAAAACTACAAATGGTCACTTTATGGTGATGAAGAGTGTCCATTCTCTATCTCTACTCACTCTCAGCCTCAGGTCAAAGCGATGATTTCTTCCTCTGCAGCTGCCTTTACGCAGAGAAACCAGGCACGCAGGAACCAAAAGGTCTTCTATGCTTACATGTCAGCTGAGACGCCTGAGACTAATCTTACACATACATTTACCTAGACAAGAGGCTCAGTGAGAACCCTTTTCAGTTTCTGACAGATGCATTATACTCGAAGAAAAGGCATATTCCTGCATGATCATGTCTGTCTGCAGCTCCAGGGCCCAAAAAAAACCCATTAAACCCTACCCTACAACTGGGCAGTAGGGTTTCGTGTTTACACTTTACAACCCAATCAACCAAAATGGTGTTCATATACGAGAGTAACGATACTACTTCAATGAGTTTGTACATAGGTGATTGTGGTACTGTGCGATACAAGTAAAGGCATAATGCATGATTATCATTTTTTTATGATTAAATTTCTGCGGTGCCGCCCTTTCCCACCATTATTAAGGAACAAAAACCCTAGTCCGCACTGGCCTGGACTCATTGTTTGATACTACCGCGTTGTATACTTTTCCTCGCTTCTCTACTTCTCTGACCAATCATTTTCATAAATAATGCGCCCATTCAAACGATCCAAATCCACCCCACACCCCCACAACAAAGGAAAAATTGAAAAAATCCTAACCAAAAAAAAAAGGAAACGAATAATAAACGAACCAAACATCTGAAGGAGAACAACAAAAGTTGGCCAAAAGTTTGCCACGTTGTATAATAATTAACAGTTTGTCACATCTTTTAGCTTACATGAAATTAAGTTCAGCAGATGCTACTCGGTCCTATCTATGTTGTTGCAGCTTTTCTGGACCAGTATATACAGCAACTACGAAAAAGCAGCCAGTCCCAAACCCAAAACAATAAGGTAATGTTAGATTTATAGTAACCACAAAAATTTGTGACACTTTGTAAAACAAATAGAACCCTATCGAGAGATATGATTAACAACGGCTTAGTTGGCTGTGTCATTGTTGATTTTGTTGATCAGGAAAGTAAACGAGACATGCCACGTTTCTCTGCACATTTCCAACAGCAGGACAGAAAGCTGAAGATACCTGCTTCTGTTGGTTGACCAATGTCCTTCTCCCTTTTCTCCATAACCCTAATAAATTCATCAGCACTCAAGTTCTCATCGCGATTCGCATCAAAAATGTGGAATATTATCTCGACAACATTGTCAGAGAGGGAAACACCGCAAACCTGGAACAAGAAAGCCATTCAGTTTATAGGATACATCAAATAGCAACAAAAAGAGAAACAAATTACTAACTCTAAACCGTACTTGATATGCAGCCCGTTTAAAGTCTCTCTTTGTTAAGAGGCCGTTCACTTTGCCGAAACTGAAAAGTGCTAGCGAAAAAGGCTGCAACTTCTTCCGAAGCTCGGCAAAGCTTTTAAAATCATCAAACGTAAAATGAATATTGCTTAGACGTGGAACTTTATCCAAATCATCAGCCCTGTCAAGCAACTTGCTTAGGTGCTTCAAATCAGCAGAGGCAACCATTGACAAAGCAAAGTCCTTGGCTGATATAGTCCCTCTGCATTTGTAGTCATAGTGGGCAAATTCCAATCTTAGCATCTGGCAGAATGAATCAGTTAGCATTTATGTATGCGGCGTCCTCTATAGCATCTAAACAAAAAACACGCATACCTATGTACATCATGTGAATTCTCAGAATAAAGTTGAGCAAAAGGGTTAGACATATTAAACTGCCAATCCTGCAACATAGAGACAGACGCATACACCTAACCTAACATCTGACGGTGATTTGTAAATTGACAACAGTACAGTAAATCATGTCCTATGAGTTTGTCCAAACTTTCAGTATTGCTAAAAACATTCCACAAGACTACTCCTCTATCCTGGGCCAAGGTTTCGAGCTGTAATTTCAGAGTCAATTAAGATCCCGCATGTTAACTTGCAAAACTTATAACAACATTTGAGAGATGGCAACTAAAATGGCGATGATCATGTGGAAATAAACCATCCAAAAGTAACAAGACTTCATGCATAGTAAGAAGTAGAGTCCATACTTCATCGTGAAGGTCCCTGAGAAATTGGATAAATTTGTCATGATGAAGACACTTTTTGCCATCTTTACCAAAGAAGTACTCCACTAGGCCACCGTTTTCTACTGAACCTCCAACAAGACTATGCCCTGCTCGAACCCCATCACAATGGACAGCACCCTGTCGATTATGCGCTCGCATCAGAGCCATTACTTTCTTGAATTCCTCCCTATCAATTTCCCTACAATAAAAGATACATGTCATGAGTATGCAGGAGGATGAAATTTATTAATAAGTTCTTGCTGTGGGGCCTCCATTAGACTATAAAATTACACAACAAAGATGATAAATAATACAAGAGAAAGATTAAATAAATGAGTAGAACAAAATACTGAGGAAAATCTATGGCCCTTTAGACTATACTACGGACTTGAAACAAATAAATCTCTTTGTAACCTTTCACTGCCGCAGTTCCAATCAATGAAGCACAGAATTCGACAACCTTAACTTAGTCCTTTCTAAATGCGATAGATTAATGTTGGTGCACTACACATAAAAATATAGATTCTCGTGCTTTCTGGTCAATTTTAGAGTTCTATAGGCAAACAATAACTTTGATGTACTACTCTTCCTCGGCACCAGGACTAGAAAATGAATAGAACAATGGCATACAACTACAACTAAAGGAAAAAATAAATAAAATGTTCTAAGTCAAGGAAACATTCCAACTTGAATAAGTTCCCCAATATTAGAAAAATAAATATAAAAACATTTGAACCTAGTACTCACTTGTTACAATCAAGATCAAACATCTTAAAGGCCACTGAAAAGCTTGATTCCGGGATACTTAGCAATGTCACAAAAAATATGTACCTGCGAGACATAAAAGATGACAAGTTATCAGTGTTCACTAGCAGCACAGGCAACCAGGAAATGCAACAGGTAAAAGACAGGACAAAACTGACGTGCAGAGTACATACAACATTCCCCATATATTATTCCCAACGAAGGAGTCAACGAAGATACAATGAACAAAAGTAACAAGGTGAAACTCACTCTTTAAAGGATATGAGACCATCATTGTCCATGTCAAAGAGCATAAAGAACTTTGACGGGGCACAACGCAGATGACCTGGACTCCGTTCCCCTCTTAGGTATCCATCTCGTACAAGATGCGACTCAGATGGGGGGAAAACAGGTACAACTGCTCGCATCAAGTCTGCTGGAGTCATGAATTCTTCTCCATCATCAGCACGAAAAGAAGCAAAATACTCAAATACCTTTAGGACAAAGAGAGCAAGTTATTATCAGTTCAATAGATTCTCAGCTTCACGAAACTAAAGGATAGCTAGAAAAGCATGGGATCAGAGAAGATTAACCAGAAAATTTTAAGATACACATAAGTTAACAAGGTGCCTCCTTTTCCAGCATAAAACAATTTATAGCCTAGTCTTGTTTCATCTGCCAACATTTTACAGGAACTCCTTAACCACATGCATTTTCTTAAAGTTTTCTATTTTTTACTTCTTTTTTGTTAGTCTTTAAAATTAATGTCAAGTTGCAACCCACACATCAACACGGATCACACAAACATCCAGTAGACGCAAAATTTATGTCCTAAAAATATAGACATCCACGGCAAACCTAATTCTCAGAAGAGCATTTTAGTCTTCCTTTTCTAGTTGATTTTACATTGATATGCAAAGCACAAACTTATGATGATCTTCTCTCCCTCACTCAGCTACTCTTTATGTTATTGCCAGGCGCCATCTGAAGCACATCATTGCCACTGAACAAAAACACTATGGGCAACTGAAACTTGTCTATCTCTTACAACAAATGCTAATTAAAACTTAATACAGCTTCAACCAGAGAAAATCACTAAATCAAACTTCCAAATTTATTCAATACTAAACACATAGTAAACCAGGCGAAAATCAACCATCCTCTCCCCAAGTATGCAGATATGATAAAAAAACAACAGAAGGATGTTTTAACTTTTCCATTTTGAAATATGAGATTGGTAAATTACCTTCTCCGGAGGACTTCGCATTCGTATCCGTTTCTCATAATTGAAGAAGACTTTTCTCCTATAAGCCTCTGCAAACAAACACATTTCAAACCTCGGATCCAGTATACCCAATATAAACACACAAACAACCATTTCTATCTTATGCAAGAAAAATCAACCGTTACTAGCGGAAAAAATGGTAATTAAAAAAAAAAATTCTTTTCATCAAACACCAAACCAATTACCTCGAAAACAAATCTTAGTGGAAAAAATGCCGAGTGGAAAGAAACCCTTTTAATGTAATAAAGAATTAAATCATATATCACCTCCAAAAATAAATCTTGACTGACTATCCGAGACATCAGAGTTAAGAGCAGGTGCAGCTCCCGCTGATGATGAATTGATGATAGAGGCATCAGCGAAGGATAAAGAATAACCACCATAAAGAGCGACCCCAATTACTGCGGAGCTTGTAATGATTCCGGCGATCCATCTGCCGGACGAAGCTTTATCGCCATTGAAGTGGGGAAATTTTCGGGGCGGAGGCAATGGCGGTGATGGTAGGGAAGAGTGGTAACGGATGTGGATGGAGAAAGTGCGGAAGAGTTGAGATCGCCGGAGAGTTGACCAAGCGGACATAGTCGGAAGAGGAAACAGGTGAAGATGGCGGGGAACTGTGGGGTTACTGTGAATTTGTCAAATTTCACCGAACGGATCAGGGATAGAGGACCAACTTTTTATTTTTTTCAATTTCTACTGGGATAATTTTTTCATTAATTTTAATAATAATAATAATAAGATAGAAGTTATAAAAAAGTATGTCTAACAAAAGACCACTCTCTAAAGACAAATCAAGTTCTTCTTTTTTTTTTTAATTAATCTGCTATTCAATTACATTCATTCACGGTAAATAAGAAACAATATTAACGTTCCAGCCTCTACCGCATGTTCAGCCTCTAGTAGCATTAATTTGTATTTTACCTAAACCACGTGTTGTAACTAATTTATTAATTAACACTGTCAAAATTTTGATATTTATTACTCATTTTTTGAAATATAAAAGAAAAATTCCAATTTAAGTACCATGAGAATAAGGGATCTCCACATTATTTACTGTAATGATTGGTTCCCAAATCATGTTACTTATATTTATGCGCGGGGGAGAGTCGTAATCTGGTTCGGGCTTCCTGTCAGTAGGAATCCCTCTCTCCAATCCGCTCTAAGAGACTTATCTATATCTTGTTAAAAAATAGCGTAGCGACACGAGGAGCAAGGCGAATTGAGGAGCGAAGCAAAGAGATTAAGAGCAAAGTGCATGTCGCAGATCGAAGCGAAGTTTGTTCTTCATAAATACTGGGAAATTAACAATATTTTATTCCAAATTTCGAATTTTGTCCTCGAAATTGTAAAAAAAAAAAAAGAAGAAGCAAATTGCACTTTAAATTTAATTAATTTTACAAAAATTTGTCTTTAGTCAAATTTGAGAAATTGCATATTGACTTTCAATATACATATTGCATTAATTTTTATTTTTTTAAAAAATATTAAACCAATAAAGAGAAAGAGGGGGTGCCTGGTATGAGAATCATTCCAAACCCCGTCGGGTAACACGCGGGAAAGTTTTTTGGGTGGTGCCTTGCGGGGAGGAGATTAAAAGGGTTAACCAATCCGAATAATAAAGTATAGTTTGAAGGTATATTTTAATTTAATAATAATCAGTTTTAGAAGCAAAGCACTCTGATATAGTTCTCCCTTCGATCCAAGTTGATTAAAATTGTTTTATTCGTATTTTTATTTTTAAAAAAGAAAAGAAAAAAAAAAAGAAGGAGGTGTTGATTGAAAAAGGTAGCCAACCTAAAAGCATCATCATATCCAGTGAAGTGCTGTTATTAACATCCCCACTTATATATTTACTTCAAGTCCAAGAATGGATGTAGTAGTACCCATTTATTCCGCCATCATCATCTCCGGACTCTGGAGAGGGTGTTTCAGTTTCAGTGGTTAGACCCCCATCCACTTCCAAGTTGCAATATAACAATGGAGAACCTGGCCCAACCCATTTTCAACTCCGTCCCACCATTCCAAGTCTTTGTCCCCTCAGTTCTCCATTTTCTAATACTGGCCCATTCACTCCACTTTCTTCATACACGTTTACAGCCTGGTTCCAAAATGCATTCTACACTTTGTCAACATTTTGCTTTATTATTATTGATTTTTATAAACTGTCTGTACCTCTTTCTCTTAGTGATTTTCTTCAATTAATAATGGGTTCTTCTTCTTTTTTTTTTTGTTTGGGAAATAAAAAGCCCGTTATTCAATTAGTGGTGCTGGTGGTAGTAGTAGTGGTAATATTTTTTGTTTCAAAGTTTTCTCTGTAATTTATTCTTCTCCTTTTTTTTTTCTTTTTCTTTTAAAGTTTTCTTTGATGGTTCCAAATTCCAGCGAAAAGCCAATTGGTCCAAGCGTCCAACTGTCAGTCACTCGAATCTCCGGTTTCGGTGGTTTGTCCCACCCCCCCCCACAGGCCCACAGAGAGACTGCACAACTTTTTCTTCCAAAAATTTTCCCACGAAATTTCCAGATCACAAACATCTCCTTCTTTGAATTCTTTCGTCATCTTCCACGCCAAGCCTCAATGCCTTTGTTCCTGCCTGCAATTCCACATTCCACTCTCCCCACCCCCCAAAAAGTCAGTTCTCACAACAACATTATAATAATCAAATCATTTCCTACTTTCATTCATACCCAAATCATTTCTGTTTCCAAATACTAATAAATCTAAATTGCAACGATACCACACGCAATAATACCAAACAAATTAAAAATTACCAACAAAAAAAAAATACGTAATACGTAACGTACCTTTAACACGAAGCTGAACGCACGGACCCCGACCAGATACAACCAATGGACGGACGGCGAACGGGTCAAACAGAATACGTCAACACGTGATGGTGATGTAATCAGTGGATCAATACAGGAAATGAAGAACTAGATCAAATTTGTGAAAATCCCCAATTTCACGAATGAAAATGAATTTAAAACTCTCGTTTAATGTTTCTTCTGTTTAGTGTTTTGCCTACTACTAGTAGTATAATAATTACTTTGATTCTTTTCTTCTTTTTTTTTTTTTGTTTAGAGTGTGTGTGTTCAGATGAGGGGGAGGGTAAAATCGTCATATAGTTCCTTCATTTCCCATTCAACTATGTACACAAAAATCTTCTGCCCCTGTGTTTCTGTGTGCTTGTTCCAACATCTTTTGCTACTGTTTTGGGGGTGAGGGTTTCACATCGCCGGAGTACAATACAAAAAGGGAACCGCCGGTCTCTGAGATCTGTCTGCCCGCCGCCGAGCTGTAAAGTAACAATTTCTCATATTCAAAATCGTCAAACCAAAACCGTGTACCTACAAAAAAATTCAATACTTCCTCTGCCCGTTCCTTTCACGGATCTTCGGCGGCGGCTTTGGACATCACTGACAGCCGGCTAGGTCTCCTCTGGAAATCGCCTCGGCGCCGAATCTGATGCGATGACGGTCTAATCAACGCCGCCAGCGCTCGCTTCACCAGATCGCCTTCCACCGTGCCGATCCGCACCAGCGAATTCTTCATGGCCGATCTCTGAATAGTCAGGTTCTTCAAGGAGTAGGACGGCGACTGATTCCCCGACGGCGCCGGCGAACTGGCACAGTTCTTGTGCAAGCTACACCGGAAGGATCCGGGATGGGTGGTGGGAGAACAGAGGCAGGTGCGCTTGATGCAGCTGCTCGGCTTACGGACCACCGGATGGGAGGAGGAGATGGCGACGGAGCGCCGCGGGGAGCTAGATCTCTCGATGGACATGCGGACGGAGGGGGTGGGGGAGATAGGAGCGAATCCATGGAGATTGACGCGCGTGGGGGACGCGGAACGGTGGAAGAAACTGGAGGAGGTGGAGGAACAGAAGCTGGAGGTGGAGGATGAATTGAAGGAAGACAGGTCGGAGGAAAAACGGCCGGAGGGGGAGCGGGAGCGGCGGAAGGGGGAAGAGATGGGGAGAACGGGCCCACTGCTGGAACGTTTAGAAGATGAGGTTCGGCAGGCCATGGCTGATGGGAATTAATTTGATTAAATTAAACGAGGAGAGAAGGGAGAAGGAGGAGGAAATGGGGGAAGAGGAGAGGGGTAATTTTTAAAAAGGGCCCTAAGGCTCTTCAGTTTGGCAAACCTAGCTGATCTCAAAGCCTGGCTTTATAGGAAAGGCGGAGCAAGGAAGGAGAGAGGGGCAGTAAGTGGTAAATAAGGGGAGTTAGAGAGGGGTAGATTTGGTAATGTAGAAAAGGCGTTGTTAGGTCAATGGGTTGGGTGGGGTTAACAGTTAAATAAACTATGTACATCTCCGACTTTGGATTGGGTCCTCCCCCCTCTCAAAGGGCTGAGTTGTCTTGTATTACTCTCTTATACTTATAGATTTTTCAAAATATAAGTTATTTTAGTATTTTAAAATAAATTAATAATTATTTTTTCAATTTTACTATTAATAAATAATGTCAATTCAATTTTATTTAGTTTTATTTATTGTTCTAATGTAATTAATGAGAGGTAAAATAAATATTTAACACATAAATTAATAATTGAATGATTATTTCTTTAATTTATATTTTGAAATAGAGGGAGTAGTATTTTACCATTTCTACACCCAAGACTAATGGTTCTCTACTAGTACTATATTATATAATTTTCAGAGAGAATGGAAGGATGAAGTTATAATAATGGTCATGTGTTTTGTCTCGGTAAAACGTCAAAAGTGTCTTTTGATTTATCTTCTCAATACTTTTAGATTTGAGGTAAAAATATTGTAATAAATATACAACACAGATGTTACGCCATTAATCATGCAAGAATCTCTCTGTCTCTTTATCGGCACATATTTGTTACTCTTTTCATTTTTATTTATATGTCTTTTTAGAGAAATTATCAAAACCAAGAATATATTAATTAATATAATTAAAATATAAAATGTACTTATTTATTGTCTATATAATTAATCACAAACCAATAGAAATTCATTATAAATACAATTTTATTTTCAATGTAAGAGTAATATTAGTAAAAAGTGGTCAAATATGCCTCGATTAGTGAAAACGACATATATTTAAAAAAAATTCATCAAATTCTAAAACGACATATATTTCAAAACGGAGTAAATACCAATTTTTCTGTTAGATTGGTATATACGGCGGTAATTTTAAATTGCAAAGATGCAAGAGATGGGTAAAACGTTATTGAATTGATGAAATGAGCAAGAAGGGAATAAACAAGCTATTATTACGACAAGATTTTTGTTGATTATTTTCCAGTTAAAAAAAACACAGCTCCAATATTTGTAAATTACATTGTACTCTTTTCGGTCCTTAATATAAAACATTTTGATTTTTTCTATGTTTCACTTATTATGCATTTTTAATTGATAAAAAAACTTAAAAATATATTTTTACATTCGTTATTATGTTCTCTTGATTGTTCTGAAATATTTTTTAAAAAATTTTGTTAATTAAAAATGTGTTATAGATGAAACATGAGACAAACCAAAATGCCTTGTATTAAGAATTGGAGAGAATATGTAATGCAACCGATTCGTGAAATATTTACTCATACTAATACCTTTTTAAGATCATATTTATGGGTATTCTAGATTTACCTAAACTGTAACGGAGATAGAGCCTACTTAAAAATAAAATAGTACTACAAAGAGAGAACTCTAATCACAGTATACTTTTTACTCGGTGTGTCCAATTCTTTGTGGTCGATGATGACAAGTCTTCTGTGTCTATTAGGTTGTTTGCTGGATAGTTACTTTCTTTCTCCTCCAATTGTATATATCCTGTGTTTGCAGTAGGAATCGAACATGGGAAAAAAGAGAAAAAAAAGAAAAAAAAAAAAGAAAAAAAAAAAAGAAAGAAAAATGGATGACGGGTGGGGCTAATTAATTTGGTCACAGGAACAGGGAAGAAAACTCAAAAAAAGAGAGAGGGGGGCGGGCCGAACAGGTCCCGACATCATCACATTCACCCAGTTGTACTTGTATGTTAGTATATCTATATCATGTATGTATGTGTGTCGTAGTTACAACTAACGACTTCTTTTTTAATTTTTTTTCTTCTCCGAAACATATATAGGAGGAATATGGGACTATATGACAAAGCATATGTATAATGATTCAAACCTAGTTGTTACAACTTACTACAGTTAGGAATCTTCTAATCTTTTAATTTATTTTTAAAAATAAAAACTATATTGTATCTATCTCGAAAAAAATTACATTTTATAATTTATGCATTAATATGTATAACTTTTTTATTACATTATAATATAAATTATTTTTCTCAGATTGGGACTGAATATGTTTTGTCTCCACACCTCCTCACCAAATCTCATCACCATTTTCGTATTCTTCCAGCTGTCCTCTCCCTTTCTTTTATATTATTTTTTATTTTTATTATTATTCGTATTTCCTTCATTGCATATAGCATTCTCTTTGAAAATATCGTTCCAAACCCACGCAAAAAAAAAAAAAAAAAAAAATCTAACCCCCCTTTCTGGCCAATTTGCTAGCTATCTGGCGTTAGTAATAAGACATAGTAACGTTATTTTAAAAAAACTATAGCGGTAGTATAATAATTGTGGAACTATTATAATTATTATTTATTTTGTCTATAAATTATTATTTATAAAAAAATCAAACTGGATAATAAATTACAAATAAATAAAATATCATACATAAGAATATAAAAGTGGTTTTAACTTTTAATACTGAACTAATATCTCATTCTGTAAAATAAAAATTTAAATTAGATAATTATTTAGATCAAATAAAGTATATGTACATAGTTTTAAATCTTAACTTGCTTGTGCTGTATTTTATGGATTACTGTATATATGGATTCGTGTTGGTAACAATAACATAATCAAAACTCCTTTGTGTTTGGTGGGAAAAAAAAGGGGAAAAAAACTCCTTTGTGGCCTGTTTATAAACCACTTAATGCTTAAAATTATTGCATTAAGTATTTTTTTTTTATTTCATCATATTTGATAACAAAAAATGAACTTCTTAATGAATTAAGTGGTGTTGAAACTGTAATACAAAATATAAGTAATAAAAGTTAGCTTATTGTTTATTCCATAATTATTTAATGAATTTAATATTTCTAATTCAACATTAAACATTCAAAATTAATCACTAATTTTTATCAAACAAGCCATGTTTAGAATTCATCCTCCTCCAATTCTCAGTCCAGATTATTTGGAACTACAACCTTATTTTTCTCAATGTTTTTTTTTCTTTGTATTTAAGAGGATTAATAGTGGTTCTCCATCGAACTCGTGAGCTATTGGTCAAAGATGTGACGTCTTACCCATTAGGCTGCACCTCGTTGTCTCTTATTTTTCTCAGTATGTGTTATAGTATTTTATATACTTTCTCTTATTATTGTATTGTGTTTTGAAATTATTGTCTAATTTGAATTTTCAATTTTAATACAAATTAAATTAATAGTAAATATCCAAACTGGACAATAATTATGGGACAAAGTAATATTACTAACCAGAAAAGATCCAACTACATTTATTTTACCAAAACTCGGAGTAGTACGTACATTTTACATCACTTCTCTCAACAAAGACCAAAACATAAAAGAAGAAAAACAAAATAAACACGATATACAACAATTTGGGTCAATTAAATTGTTTAATGAATTGTGCTGTTCTAGATGACGGCTTCAATACATGTCCACACTCGGTCTATATCTCCTTCCGGGTCATCATACATTTCCATACTTCCCCACCTTACCGATCTGTATAAGTAATTGTTTTCGGCCTTGAATCACATTTTGAGTTTGAGGCGCTGCTATTGGAATCGTTTTCATACATTATTAGTATTGTTATTATTAACAACAATATAGCAAGCTAAAATATAATTGAATCAAAATATTGTGTATGTGAAAACAAGGGAGAAGTAAAGAATGATATGAACAATCAAGCCATTCATCGTTGAGTTGTGCTAGTATGTTAGAACAAGATGAAAAGGGCAAGTGTTAATATGAAATGTTTATATGATTGCGAGATGCTACCGCCACTTCCAACTGTCAACAAATTGACGCATTCGTTGGTTTTAATTCACATTTCCGAATTCCTAATCCGACGGCTAAGGGTAACCCAACCTTACTTGTACTAGTACATTACGTGCCCATCGCAGACTTATTAATTAGTCAAGGTGAAGTTACTTGCGCGTTAATATATCAGAGATAGTTGTAGCACCATTAGTTTGGTCATCTATACAAGAAAATAATAATAATAATAATGCAAAATTGGTCAAGTTGTGTACTTACGAGAAAAGAGAAGACTTATCAACAATGTTGGCCTTTGGCATCCCTGTGGAGGTGTCTTCTTCAACCACGCCGCCCCCGCTCCTAATAAGGCAAGGCAGCTGATTCATTTGGACTGCAGATCGTCGTCTTTCCTTCATTTCTTTTCAAGTCCCCTGCAGTTTCTTTTCAAGCCTTGTGAATGTATATATAATGATCCCCTGGACCCTCCCTACTGGAGTTTAGAATAATGCACACTACAATGATGATTTTTTTAAATAAAATTTATTAGTTTTTTTATTACGTTTGACAGTATATATACACATTGACACACACTTTCAAATCACCATGCCCAAAACACACATTTCAACTTTAAAATTAGTACCGCATTACAACTGAAACCTGCCACCATTTTTGGCTGAACATTAAGGAAACTGGAAAATGCCATACTCAAAAGTGCTTAGCATCCTCAACCCACCCCACAAATTTGGTTACAATGCACATGCACATGTTCAGCCCGGTTCAACAGCTAAAAGCTTCCCCTAAGCTACCATAACTGCCGTACACCCCCTATACCTGAAACTTATCAGTAACACATCACAAATTTCTGAGCATTTACATTATTATGGTGATCACGTACAGCTTGTATCACCACCAAATGATGTATACCACCACATCACCGTCTCCTGCAGCTCCCGTTTTAGTAAGCAGGTTTATCTCCTTCGTAAACTTCTCCTTCGGTTGGTTTTGGGGTATGCTCTTTCGTGTAAACACGGTGCCGTCTTTCTCTTCCATATATAACCCAGAATAGTAACGACAGCATTACTGCGACCGCAACCATCACAAGCCCGATGTACACCCATTTGCTGTACCGCAGCAAACCAGGGCAGTAAGTTGTGTATATGTCATTAAATGTTTGTCTAACGAAAGAGCAATCTTGCAGGCTAACCAAGTACGGCCCATAATGGTATAAACCAAAGCTCACATTTATACCGGCCGCCATCTGGCCATACAGTGACGGAGTCAGCCTACCCGGCGTCACGCATACCCCATTTGGTGAAACTTGACAGACGTAGTTACTCCAAACCTGTATCATTCAGATGATCACGATGAGCTTAACTTAGCCATACCACTGAAAGCCATATCTCTCTGTCCATTTTTGTTGTTTGGACACAACTCAAGAAACAAAACTACAGCATAAAAAGTCTTGTGTAATATAGTGTTGAAATGGTAGACAGTAGCTCCGGAAGCTAATATTTGATCTGGGAATAACATCATCCTTAACTTTTTACTGCTAATCCAAAGTTAACGATGTCAAGCACCAAATTATTCACCATATTCCTCCTTTAATTACGGGTGTGGCAGTTATAAATAAGACCAGAAAGTGCTAGGATCAGATTTGAGTAAAAAGTACCTGGGTTGCATTGTCCAGGTCCACCTCCCCAGATGAACATGTCCGATTACTCAAGTCACCATTGAATGGATTGCAAAGCAATGGCAGTGGAGGACCAGATTGATTGTAATAAAAGGGCACGAAAGCAGGTGCGAAATTTATATTAGATACATTAGTGATGACCTCATTAATTACTTCAACTAATTGGGAGGTTACTTCTTTGCTTCTACTCAAGGTCTCTTGTGCTGTGGCATTGTCAACACAAGGCAGAATGTCATCCAACGACGTATAAGCAGTAGGGTTTTGGACCCATTGATTCATTGATACACATGTGTCTCCTGTTACACTGCATTAAGAGATAATTGAAGCTCCGGGGATCAGCCTTTTTGAACAGATTGATACTCCCTCTGTCCCAAAATTATTGTCCACTTTGAAATTTCACTTTTAGTACAATTTGAACTAGAAATGAAAACTCAAACTGGACAATAATTATGGGACGGAGGGAGTATTACATTATGACAAGGCATGGCAAGTGCACTAGCACTAGACGGAAAAACATAGAAGCATTACAACCAAACCAATCAAACAGCCCTTTTCCACAATGTGGGCATGCCCATTGATACTTACTTGTGGAGAAGAAGAAAAATTCCACATAATATGAAGGTTCCAGTCACCAGAATCCATCCAGCTATCACCAAACTGCAACAATCAATAATCAAAAGCATCATTTTGAATTTGTAAGATACCATCATTAGTCCATTAAAAAGGATGATAGGAGAATATTCAAGCACCAAACAGTAAAATATGTGCATATGGAAGTAGCTATCTCACTCACGTGTAAACAAGAAGCTGCATGCCGAATAATGAAAACACTGGAAAGAACGTGCACCAGGTCAGCACAGTAGAAGCGATTTAATCATTGTGATTGGTTGTCTAAATACTAAAACAAGCAAAATAATCTTACCGAATCCCAGGAATGTCAAGAAAAGCATAATAGCCGAAAGAAGGATGAGAGCCAACCTCCTGCATGATTGGTATGCAAAGTTTTTAGCTCCCGAGATTCATGGATTTATTTATATGCTAAAAATATAATAATACGAATCTGATCACCCACACAGAAGCTATGACATCTCTGATATCTTTTGAATTTTTTTCCGTTCGTGTAGAAAGAGTGGTGGCAGAAGAGTTGAGCTTGTTCTGAATCTCATCTATGTCGGATTGCACATTTGCAGGAAGGAAAACTTGAGCAACCCCAACCTGCTTTGCTGCGGAAAGATAACCAGACACATTCTTAATATTGCTAACTGTGCCATCGGCCTGATCCACAACATACTGGAGTGTACGTGTTGTACTGGTGTGGAATTTATCCTGGCCAACATACAATGTAATACATCCTACACTGAAAATGCAGGTTCCAAATTAGCCCAGAAATGAGATTATAATTACAGAGTTAAGCAATTGGGAGAGGGATGAGTACATTGCTACAACAGTGAAGAATATGAGCAAGATTAGCGAGAGGGCGTAAGCAGTTCGAGAATATCCATAAGGTTCCTTTCGACAGCAAGAGAAGTAAAGGCACATGAGGAGTAAGCACAGCCCGAACACCAGAAACCAAATCCCAGCAACAAGGAAAAAAGGAACAGCTGTATAACCCACGGACTGCAAACAATTTAAGCACAGAAGAAATTAAATTATCAAAGGACTGCAAAAATAAAGCTAACTCTTCAAATGTACATAAAATAGTTGAGCAAGCAAACCATATCAAACACAACAAGATTTAGGAGCGCAATAGATCCTAGTTTCTTACTCCAAACCCACAAGTACTATAAGGTTAAACAATGCAACTAATGAAGACGAAAGGCAGTAAACAGAAGCAATTTTTTTCCCTGTTTTTGGCTGAGTTCTTCAGAACTGCAATGCTAACAGCCTGGACTACAATGCTCTTGGTAACAATTGAAGTCTTTTACGAAAATTTCAGATACAGTAGTGAGACTTTTACAAACCAATAAACATAAAGCTGGCACAACGGTAGCATACTAAAAGCCGAAAACTTGGAGAAGATCCCCATTTTTTTTATAAAGCTCTCTTATAATTACTATAAAAGAAAAACCTAAGTCCCTTGTAAGAGAACTGCAACTGCAGGAACAGGCTAAAAGTAGCGAGTGAAAAACTGAGGTGGTGTTAAAATTGCATGGAACTTTTCTGATACTAGATACCAACAAGTGCTCGCTAAAGGCATTAGATATTTCGTTAAGCACTCCATTAATCGAGGTAAAGGAAACCCTTACACAACAGGCCAGGGCCTGAGTTTTCCATCAGCTTAATGCACAAGGTCAGGTTTGAGGCCATGGTGAACCCCATTTTAGTTGTAGGTTTCAAAAAGTTAATAGGCCAGTAACACAGATCAAAAGAACAGGCACTGGCAAGTCATCATTTCTAGGGCAGATACTCCCAAATTCTTACACTTTCCATAGCTTGAAGTAAGAATTTTTTGCAGGCTTTCAGCATTGTTAGTCAAGACAAAAGCTAAACGGTATCCCAGGTGTAATGCATTAGAAAAAAATATCTAAATAGTTCAGGGAACTCATGCCTCATCCCAGACGATTGATCCACTTAAGTTTAGAAAAAGACAGTGAGCAAGAAAGCATCTGTTACTGTGATGGCCGGGGACAATGATTCAAGCTATTCAGGTTAGAATGGGAAGGAAAGAAAAACCAAATCCTGTTTCAAGTAAGGACATTCAATAGTCAAAAGAAACAGAAAAGGTAACATAATCAGTCTGCACCTCTCGAGAATATGAACACTTTTTTGACTTCCAACCAGCATTGCAATCGAGGAATATCAAACTTTATGAGTGGGTGCTGTCCAGCTCCTAAATGTTGCTCTTTAATTATAAAATACTAATTACAAAAAAAGGTCACACATCTCCGTTGATTCCTGCAAGCAACTATCCCCAAATAGCCAAGCTGGGAATCATTTTCACATAGTACTATATAGTTTCTAAACATTGTAATCTTTTTCAAACTTTTTTACTTTCATTGATCTGAAAAACTTCATATACTAATTACGGAGGGAGTTTACATATCAAGTGAGGCTATAAAAGGACAATTAAGGCAAAAACACTGGCTTATATAGTAAATTAAAGAGTTTCTGTTATAGGGAAATGGTCTCTCCGACAATCCCTTTTCTCCAGGAATCTCACAACAAATAATAATGTAACCGAAACCAAAAACTGATTGCATTCACATTACCAATGTTGACTCAGTGACTGTCTATAGCAAGGGAAATGGAAAAAATCAGCAAGAAGTTATTTTCTACTATTTTTCTAGCCTTGTTTATTAAATAAAATAAAAAAAAAAGACTTACAGCCCAGTAATGTTCATTGCTGATGTTCCATCCGCCAGTATATTTGTTGAATCCATCCAGGGGATCTTTTCTATAAGTCCTCTTTGCAGCCAATGTGAGATATGTGGAGTTCAAAGGAGGCTCCTCGTCACCTTCAGGAGTGGTATTAGCAGTATAAGGAGTAATGTTGTTGTCATCAGCAAGAACCCTCCTTTGTGTTGTCCTCAAAGAAGAAACCAACACCCCATAATTCTGCTTGCCAAAACCCCCTGAAAAATTTCCGGGCCCCAAAATAACAATCAAAGTCCAGAAAAAATCCCCAGCCAATAGGACCACATCAATTTAAAAAGCAATAATAATAATAATAATAATAATATGCCGGGTTTTCCAGTTACATAATTACAGTAACAGTCAAACAAAGAAAAGACCTTTCGTGCCAAAAAAAAAAAAAACAAAAGAGAGCAGAGGAAGATGTGCTCTGTTTTTTAACCTAAAACCCAGTTACAAAAAACGACAATGATCAAACTAACAAAGACGCTTTTACAAGAAGATGCCAGAAAAGTTTAAAAAAAAAAAGAAAAAAAAAAGAAGAAAATTTCTTTATAGAAAAATTCCGTCAAAAAAAAATAAAAAGAGTAGATTTTTATTTCACCTGAAACGGCAGTCGGAAAATGAGAGGAGTCGGCTCCATCAGCTCCAAAAACGAAGGAAAAGGAAGTGGCAAAGAGAAATGTTAGAATGGATAGTGGTAGCAGTGGCCCCTTGATGATGACTTTATTTTTGTTGTTGAAGGCTAACATTGTAAAATAGAGAGCAACTAATGGAGCTGGCTATCAGCTAGAGCTGCCTAATTAAACTAAACCAGGAGGTGGAAGAAGAAACAGGGATGGTACATATGCTATGGTAATCAAAGCCCACTGCCACTCCAAAGTCCAAGCTCTATAAAGCTTCACTTGGGCTAAAAGTTCACAGAGGAAAAAGGAGAGCTTTTTTACAGTTCAAATTCTGAAAGGAAAAAAGAAGGGAAAAAAAAAAAAAAAAGTTGAAGAGAAAAAGCAAAGAATGTGTTATGCAATACAGAGAGATGTCAATGCGGTGACGTGAAAGAAGAAACTGCAGAAGATGATGTCGTGCGGAGGAGATGGAGAGGGACAGTGTAAGTCTGTTTGGTTTTTGCTTTGTGTATTTTTCTGGGAATTTTGTTGTCTGTTTGAAGTTAAAACTCAAAAGAGTGTGGGAGTTGGAAATAAAGTTTTGGTTTGGTAAACTTCTTTTTATAGCAGCAATTTTTTTTTTGAAGACACAACAACACAATATTCAACACTGGGGGAGGGCGGGGGTGTGTTAAAGGACAAGTGTCTTTTCGCAGTTTGCATATAATATACATACATATCTCTAGTTCTCTACTTCGTTTACCCATACACATGTATTTATGTCCTGCCACACAACACAAATCTAACCACAATTTCTTTTACCTGATTTTTTTCTTTTCTTTTTTTTTTTAAAAAAAAAACCCCATTTTTAGAGGTGTCCTGAACTGTTAATTGATCATCATCAAAAAAAGAAAAGAAAAGGAGTAATGTCATGAAGTTATATCATGATGATATTAAGAATACATGATGAAAGATGAAGGCATCAACGTACTATTTTGGTTGATCAAAAATATCTCGGAATACAGGTCTTAATCAACATCGGTATTGAATTGAGATCTGCAAAGATAACTTTGTTTTATTAAAAGATTCAATGCGTTAATTATTATATTTGCAAAGATATTATTACGTACGTATCAAATGAGGAGGATTTGAGTGCTCTCCAAATGTGCCACCCGGTAATGCCCTTAATCCTCCTCTTTCTTTTTGGATTCAGAATGCCTTCTTCTTCACTCTCCCACCTATTACAACAGACTGTACTTCTTCTGTACAGGAAAAATAAAAGACTCCATCCATCCGTCCAAAGATTATTATTCATTTTGGATTTTTAATTTTAGTATAATAATTTTAGGACTAAGGAAGTATATTCATTTTACTTGTAGTACGTTCAAGTAGTGAGTGGAGTAATTAGTATTACTAATACAAATTTCTGTAATATCCTACATATATAAATAGATAGATCGTAGAAACAAAAATTTAAAGGAAAAACGAAGTTAAACTCCTTCCACGCTGTTGTGTAGCTTTATTCTGAATTATGAATGATGCGCCTAGTTATCTATTTTACATTTATCATTTAACTAAAGCGTAACCAATCTGTAATAATTTTGATCAAGTATTAGTAATCTGACTCCAAGTTTTCTCTTCTCTTAAAAAAAACAAGTGAGAGAGAGTGAAGAAAAAAGGGGATGGTGTCATGGTGATGGAAAAATTAATCAAAGGCAACCTGTCGCTTCGTCGTTGTTTTTGAATTGTTATATATATATATATATATATATAAGTGCTTTCTTTGAGGGGGAAAAATAATTTTTTGAATGTCGGTCGGGCATCTGCTAATAAGTCCAGACTCCAGATCATATTATTATCTGTATTATTATTAGGTAGATAGAGAAAACAGATATCCTGGACTAACCTGGATCGCATCGCACAATTATGATGTCTTTTTTGGGATATTATCTCTATATACTAGAGTACTAATTAAAAAGTAATTAAATACTGTAATTTATTTTCGTAGTTTCACTACTTGGGTTAACTACTACTATATCGATACTTTGATTAATAATAATAATTGGCACCTCGGACATAGTGTTCAGGCCTCGCCTAATAATAACTTTAAAGTGAGTGGTTTTCATTAATAAATACTTGGGGGATGGGTATGAAAAAAGGTGAAAAAAGGTAAATTAATTCATGAAATTTAGTAATTATATTAGTATCAACATATATAAGTTAGAAAGTATAAAAAGAGAATTTTTTAAAAAATATATATATATAAAATGATAAAATTACCCATAAAACTAACTAACATGTTTTATATGAGAAAAATAGATTTCCGTTATGATTTAACGGCTAAAAGTAACATAACGAACTCATATGAATTTTTTGCTTAGTAAAGGATCTTGTTTTATAAATGATATTGATTGATGACCTATGGTGAAATTATGCAATAGTTCGACTGACTTGTTTTGTGGTTCACTCTTTAAATAATAGTATAAGTTGGGAGTTGATTAAAACTTTTCATTTCTGTTATGACTTAGCGGCTAAAAGTAACATAATGAACTCATATGAATTTTTTGCTCAGTAAAGGATCTTGTTTTATAAATGAATTTGATTGATGACCTGTGATGATATTATACAATAGTTCGACGACCTATTTTGTGGTTCACTATTTAAATAATAGTATCAGTTAGGAGATGATTAAAACTTTTCATTTATGTGCATTATAGTACTCCCTCTGTCCCCAACATTATTGTCTAATTTGAGATTCTATTTTTAATACATTTTGAATTAAAAATAAAATCTCAAATTGGAGAATAATTATGGGATGAAGGGAGTATTATACTGTATCGATTTCCTTAGTTTAGTGAATTTAGTCCGGTCCAGCAGCCTCAAACCATATGACATATTTTGGAAATCTACCGTTTATCGAATAATGCTCATTGGATTGGGTTCTCAATTACTTTTGTTTCCTATCGCAATTATTCCTCAGGGACAATGGTCCAATAAGCCCGTTTGACCATAGCATTTATTCGAGTAGTATAATGATCTAGATTTAATACAAAGCTTGATACTACAAGAGTTTATACTCTAATAATTCTTTGCACCTTATATTATAGGTCCATGGCTCCACTCTGTTTTTTTAGACCTGTCTATGCTTGATTGGCATTTATTATATATGCTATTTTTTTAATTTTAAATTGAAAAAGGACTTAATTTTAATTAATTACATGTGATTACTATTCTAATTAATGCCAATCAAGGAGTGTTCATGGCCAATCTCATCAAATTTTTAATCTTAAAATGGAATGACTTTAGTGATGAGATTAATACTTGTAATGATTTATTAAATTTATGAAAAACTGAAAAGAAAGGAAGCGTTTTGTTGCAAATTTATTGATAGATTTTTCTTTAAATAAGCGCAGGAAGTGCAATGCCGAAGAGGTAGCTCATGCATTGGCCACTACTCTATTTTCTTTCTCCCACTTTCACCCCAAGTGATCCTTCCTCTTCCTACTGTGAAAGGTATAATAGTTGATTAATTTATATTTCACAAATTTTTTATGTTTTTATAGGGTTATCTTTAGAATGATGAAATTAACTTTATTGTATTTTAAATTACTAATGTCCAAGTGTACAATGTCTTTTTGGTTGGCATTTTGCATGACTTTCGTAATTATGAATAATATGATTTAGTGGGTAATTTTGTGTTTATATTAACTTTTATAAATATGAGTTGTACATGGTTTCTAATGAAACTAATATGATTTCATTTTCTGCTTCATGTAAATTTGTTTTTGTTAATGTGTAATTCTACACTTGCCTATGAATTGGTTATTGAGTTTCATTGTCCGTGGTTATTGAGTTTCATGATCATGATTTATAACATTTGAAAACTTTTTCTATGATTTATTTTTATCTTTTTTATATTATAAACTCCTTCAATTACGTCATGGAGCTCGCAAGAAGCGCGTAATATCTAAACTAGTCATTAATAAATAATAACATAAATGACTACTAGATTCTCAGCCCGGCCGAATGTCCGGCCGGCTACTAAATTAAATTTCTATAAATACCTTGAATTGCACCACATTCACAACTTTATCAACTACTATTATCGAACAATTTAAATGGTTGGAGCAATAAAATAAAACTTACCTTGAAATGGGTCGTGAAATATCGCTTGCTACGTGTGAAACAAAACAGTAATAGCATCCACAATTTCATGTGAAGATATTCAAAACAACAATCAAAATGACAACTAAGATATAGAACTATAAAGAATTTACACTTTCTAACCGACAACAACACCTCCTAATTCGAGCAATTTCGGAGAGGCTCTACATAAATTTCTTTTAAGTTTTGAGTCGTCACATTTTTTCTTTGAATCAATAAAAAGAAGAAAAAAATTGATAAAACGAACCATCAAAATTGGTACTGCCGCCGCAACTTATGAATTTTCGGACACTTGCTGGTAGTCAAAAATTTTTTGCTTTTGACTGGGATTTGAAACAAACACTAATATCCATTCCTTCGGGGGTCTCATCCCACATCTTAAAAGTAAACTCATCCTTGTCCACACACGAGACATCTTATTTTCCCATCTTACTATATATATGGCGTCGGGGCAATGGATTAAAATCCCTTTCCTCATTTCCAATAATTCATCACCACTTTCCTCAAAATCACTTTCTGTAGAGAACTCAGTCTTCTTTACTTTCGCTTGGAGCTATGTAGTTGGGATCCGACTCTTCCATGTAGTCATCTTGTGCAAATAAAGGTGTCTCCTCTTCATCACGGTTTCTAGAAGTACTAACACGTTCCCCCCTTAGAAAACCACCAAATAACATGTTGTTTTCCAAACTCGCTTCTCTTTCTTCGCGAGTGATATCTTCCAAATCTATGTATAAATCCAAACATGACATTGGAGCTACGCGGTTCACGAACTCTACATGCAAATCATTCTTGATTTTCACTACACGCTTACCCCGGGACTATCGAAAATTACAGAAAGGTGGAGTTTCACGTGTGCTGGATTCCAACCATGTGTCATACAAATCTCACTAATCAATTCCACATATGACAACCTTTCCTCAACAAACAAATCATCATCCGGCATATTCGAAAAAGTGTTGATGATACCATTCTCTATCACATACTTGCTTGTATGAAACAAATTAAGTATGCATGATACATTACATGCCATTGATAACTGGTTTTTAAAAAAATCAATATCTAATTATTTCTTAATAACGAAATCAACAAATATACCATACATACTCAATTCATAATTCAAAAAATCTATAAAATCCTAAAATACTTTGAAATCAACTTCCATATCTCATTAACAACTGTGATTTATCATCAATAACCTCAAAATCAACACCTAAAACATCCAAATAATCAACAAACAAAAACCCTAATCTATCATACATCATTCTAACAATCAAAATAACACAACAATAAACTAAATAACATGGTTTTGCAATCTAACCTCTTTTAAATAACAATCCCTACGCATTTAGCAGCAAGGTTGCATCAAAAACTCCAATTCGCTAAACAAGAGCCATAGAAATAGAAACTCCAATTCAGTTCTCAAATGAGAATTGTCTGTTTTTTTTTTTTATATCACGCTAAACTCGAATTTCAAAAATTTCGAATAAGTAAGAAATCTGGATTTGCAAAATCCGAATCATACTAAGCTCGGATTTCAAAAATCCGACTTTAGTCAATTACGAATTTTTAATTCCATTTTTTGGTCCTTCAATTTATGACAAATGCCTATTTTCACCAACTAAAATTTAATATATTCGGAGTTCTGAAATTCGAATACATTAATCCGGATCACAAAATTTCGAAGTTGAAATTCAAAAATTTCACATCACAAATTTCCTTCAGTATTTTTTTATTTTATTGAATTCAGATTTTACAATTCTGAAGTTCACTGTTCATTTTCTGATATTTTTTAATTGTATTTTTCACAAAATGTAAATACTTATTATTTTAATATTATTTGATTATTCTGATTTGTGAAATCCGAAGGTTTTATTTTAATTGACCTTCGGATTTGAGAAATTGGGAGGATATATATATATATGTCCACGTATATTTTAAAAAAATTAAATTTGTCCACCTTTATTTTAAAGAATTTTTTTAAGGGAAAAACTCGTCGGTACATAACATCACAGACTCGTCGAGGGAGGAACACGTGACGTCAGCAGAAGCCATCAAAAGATCATTCAGTCTCTCTCTCGCTCTATCATCTTCCCTGCTGACTGCTCTTCTCCATTTCGCCACCCCGAAGATCCCAGTTTCAGTTCGGTTTGCCCTCTCTCTCTCTCTCCATTATTTCTTTTTTCCTTCTCTTTTGTTCGATCAAGGAAATTCCTTGCTTTTCTCTCTCGGGTTAGTACAATTTAGGGTTGCTTCGTCTTAACTCTGCAGCATGCCCTATTGAATTGTGAATTCCTGTATTTTAGTATTGGTTTCCTACAATCGGGTTCTACCAAAATTTTAGCTTTTCCCCCTCCTTCTTTTCCATTTTTTTTTTTTTGGGTTGCTGATACGATTTCAGTGTATGATGTGCGTATTTTAAAAAGATTTTGGGCGAAAAGATGAGTAATTTATCTTTCTTTCGTGCTGTAGTTCGTTTTTCGTCAGTATGAACTGTTGGTTTTTCCTTAATCTCTGTTATGGAATGAAGAATGTGCCTTTTTCTTTTTTGTACTAGTAAATGCATGGTTCAGCTGAAACTCGTCAGTATTGTTGGAGTTTGAATTTCGATTTCTTTTTTTTTCTTTTTCTTTTTTTTCTTTTCTGAATGTGTATTGAGTTTGGGAATTTTACTTTTGGGCATTGTTTTAGCTTGGATGTTAATTGGGTCATGTCTTGTTTGTGAGGGTTGAAGGTTATAAACTTTTTTGCTGATATAATTACTGATTAATTGGGATGAACCAACAAATTTTAATGGGTCCATTCGCCGTACTGCAAAATAAACTCGTCATGTTTGTGACAATTACTATAAACACGTTGTTTATAGGCTTCATGGCGTGTCACAAATTGCAACCGTTAGCCGTAGTGGGTGCGTGTGTGTTGGGGGTATCCATGGTTTTTTGACTCTCTCACCGATGGTCATTACACTTGCAACGTGCATTCCTGTAGTAGTGTGCTCTTGATTTTCCTTGGAATCTAAACGCTCGTGTGTTGATTTCAGGAGGCCAATAGAATTGGGGGAACGGAAATGGCTAATAATGGAGCTAGCAATGACAGGTTGTGTTCCGGAAAAGATGAAATGGACTGTGCCGAGACGACCATGGTCGAGATAAAGATAAAGACGTTGGATTCTCAAACGTATACAATGCGAGTCGATAAATGTGTAAGCAAAGTTTCCCTTTTCAACCTTTGATGGTCTTTGCTGCTTGTTTTAATACTGTAATTCACTTCATGCTTTGATTATCATTGTGAATCTGCTCAAATTTCAGAATCTATATCCCCTTGTTACTAATCTGTATGTGTTATCGCATCAGCATTTAGACAACGCATTGCAAACTACCCCTTTTCCTGTTTGCTAAAACTTTGTTTAATGATTGGCGGTCGATAAAGGTTGTATAAATCTATTGCAGGTCCCTGTGCCTGCATTGAAAGAACAAATTGCTTCGGTTACTGGTGTCTTGTCAGAGCAGCAGCGCCTTATATGTCGCGGAAAAGTTTTGAAGGATGACCAGCTTCTTTCGGCTTATCGTATCCTCTTTTTGTTACTAGTCTATTTTTGGATTCCCCTCCAATTCTTTATAACGTCTTTTTTTCTTTTGGGTGGAAATGGGGACCCCCACACTGTCCGCATTCACTATGGTATATTTCATTTCTTTTCGTGCTGATGAAATAAATTTGAGTATATAATTGTCATGTCACCTTCGTGTTTTACTTGCTGTACTTATTTCAGCTTATTGCTGTGGTTGAAGGAACAAAATTTATTTCAAACAATTGCGGCAACCCATCAGTTGTTGTAATCCTGTTCTGGTTCAAACTATAGTTCACTTTTGGGAAAAACTGGAAAAAGATATTGTCTTTGAGGGATTCTCATGTTTTCTTTTATCTATGCTGGGTTCAATTTGGCATTTGGCCTGAGACGTAACCTGATGTTTCACAGCTTATAGCTTTTATAATGTGCTAAACCATGGATAAGTTTGATATTTTCAATTCATTATATGGATTTGGGGTTCCTTCATAAACTGTTCCACAGATGTTGAAGATGGACATACTCTACACTTGGTTGTAAGACAACCCATTGCTCCCTCATCAGAGGGAACTCCTAATCCAGGTCTGGTTCATTTACATGCATTTTTCTGCGAACTTGACTTCATTAGATGACTGATATAGAGGGTCGAACTTTATGTTTAGGATTTTAATCAAGATGGCTACAACTCATTTTATTTGGCTTATAATATGTTATTTTTGTTCGTTAATTCATACCAACTTTATTTGCAGTAAATAATGGCTTGCAAATTCTTGCATGAAACTCATAATGGGGAAGGAAGTGTAGCTGTCTAAACGAAAACCGCAAATTGTTGAGGGAATATAGTATATGCTGGGTAAATTATTGTGATTAAAGATAAGAAATTTAAGAAAAAGGAAGGGAATGTTGGAATTATTGTCTTTAGTTTTCTTTTTCTTTTTATTTTTTGGGCCATTGTGAACATGTCATTCTAGGCTATCTATGCTTGATTCGATATTGCTTTATGAATCTACAAATCATTATCAATTGACTTAGCCGTTTAAAGCCACATTGATATTTTAGCGGCTCCATCTGATTTGGGTTTTCTTAACCTAATCTTTGATATTTACTTTATGCGGTTAGACATTCACACGCAACACAACTTTACCGTATCAGATGGAAAAGTTGAAGGCTGATGCGATTCTTTGAAGGCTATTTCTCTTTTTGGTGTTTGAATCATTGATCGTCAATGTTTTTACATCTTTCTCTGATTGTCAAACACCACCATTTGCAGATAGGGATCCTACAACGACTAGTGGCCGTGTTCAAGGCAGTGGAGGTCCTACTGTTTTAGTTAGCAGCTTTAATATCTCCGAGCAAGATGGAGAGCTTTCAACTAGTCGTGTAAGTGTTCTGGAAGTATGAATGATATTCAAGGAAGATTTTCCCCTTTCTCTTTCTCTTCTCTTTTGATTCCTTCCCATCTTTGTAGTTTCTCTCCGCTTTGCTTGGCTCTCTTGGAATGGCAAATTTTGGAAGTGGCCCCGAAGGGGTCGATCTTAACGTAAGTTTTCTTCACATCTTGTTAGGGATCTTTGAAGGAGTTATCATATTTCACTTAATTGTTTTTTACAGTTAACCTGGCCTCATGATGGCAAAAAGTAAGAAAAGCTATCGGCTATTGAATAAAATGAAAATGTATTTCATGGCTTTTGAACCATACGAAGTTCTATTTTGCTTAGTAGTGGTAATTTCTACTCGGATGGAACAAGGAGATATGGCCTTTTGTATGAGCAGCTTTCCTGTTCAACATTTTTTTGCAGGAAACTCCATCTGAAAGGATTTCAAACGCAACTGGCCAAAGAAATATTAGCAGACAACCTCCGGAAGTAAGTGTTTCAGGACAACCATTTATCAGTTCTGGGGCTTTCTCCTTTCCCGCTGTTGATCCAATGGAATCCCTACAGGCACCTGTAAGTTAAATTTTTTTCTAAAGCTTGTTCTGTCATTTTTGTGTTCCAAAGCAAATAAAAAATCATATCAGGCCATTTTTATATATTTGTTGCGCTGAAGTAGCTGAGATTTCATACAACATAGAGTTATTCAATTTGGTATTATTGACTTGTTATTCTGCTGCTTAAACTTCCGTGTTTCAAACCCAAATTTGCAAATAACAAGAAAAGGTAAATCAGTGGAGGGTGAAAGAGTTAAGAAAACCCATCTAAGGTTCTCGTTTATCTTGGGGTATTTGTTTTGATGTCTTAACTTTCCTGCTAGGATTACTTTAGCATTGCTTATTGACATAGACATTTCTTGCAGGTTATCCCTGATTCCTTAACAACTTTGACCCAGAATTTAAGTCGTTTGAGGCAGGAATTCGTAGCTAATGGTGAGGCAAACTTCTCTTCTCGAGAAATTTCAGTTGTGCATTCGCCATTGTAGCCGACAAATTTCTCTTGGTCTTTTGCAGTTGAAGCACAAAGTAGCTCCATTCATCAGGGTGCTGGTTTCCAAGGAACAGCTGGACAAAATATAGATGCATCATCATTTTCTGCTCCACAAAGAGGTGGCCTTCCGACTCCAGCTTCCTTAGCAGATGTTCTGCTGACTACTAGACAACTCCTTAATGAACACGTTGCAGAGAGCTTATCGGTATGTACTCATAACTAATACTTTTGGTTCTTATGAGGGTTTCTGAGCGTCTTGGCCGAGCTTGTTTTAGAGCTTAACAGTCATGCACAGATGAATTATATGAAGCCTAACGAATGATACAAGTGATTTCATGGCGAGGACTTCTGTCCTTCCTAAATGGCTAATATGCCATCTTGTTTTTGTTTTCCAGTTACTTGCTAGACAACTCCAAGGTCATGCGAACATAACTGATGCATCTGAACGAGCCAGGATTCAAAATAATACGTTAAGATCAGGAGCACTTATCCACAACTTAGGGGCTTTGCTACTTGAGCTTGCCAGAACAACAATCACTATGCGAATGGGGCAAACACCGGTTTGTTTCTGTACTTGTGGAACAATTTCGCAGTTTGAATGAGATATTCTGCGTGGTCTTGGTGAATGATTTTAGTAGAAAGGATGTTACCTTGATAAATGTTCTATATCATGGCTTTTTGTTCTTGTTTATTTGCAGGCTGATGGTATCGTAAATGCTGGTCCCGCTGTATTTATATCACCAACTGGTCCCAATCCGATAATGGTTCAGGTGATACTGTTGTATAGATGCTATCTTTACTGTGATCCACAGGGTGGTCTGGTGCTGATTTTCTTTTTTCTTAAACATGGAATGTGCAGCCTCTTTCATTCCAACCCGGTATTGGATTTGGTTCCACTGGTGGAACGGTACAACATAATTTGGGAATTTCTCCTGGATCCAGTAGAACGATTGATATCAGAATACGAAGAGGTGACTGCAAAAATAGTCATTTCTGTCTGTTTGATGTGTTTATCGTCCGTTTTTTAACTTATGTTTGCTGAAGCATTGCTCTCGGAGTCCTCCTTATAGTCGGATTAGAAAGTAGGCCTGCGAAATTTTTTTGGTTATTTACCCATAAATATCCTTATTGTGTACACTTTAGACTCACTAGGTTAGATGCGAAATAGATAGAATGTTGCTCTACACTGTAATTCTTGCTCTGGTGTTATAGATTGCCCTTCCCGTTTCGTTCTCTTTGTTGATGTGTTTTTAGTTTTAAAGATGCTTGCAGACACTTTGTGTCTGTTTTCTTTGGATTCCCGTCTTCTTTGTATTTTCTCATGCTGATGCATTTCTGCTTCATTGTTTTTATTGGTGTCTGCTCAGTTTTGCCAACAGATGCAAATCGAAGAGATTCCAACCGCTCAAGGAATACTGGGCAGACTGATCCTGCAGGCCCAAATAACGCTGCTAGTTCTGCCCAAGCAGGTGCCCGTGATCCTCGAGTGCCGTCTTCTGCTGGTGAGAATTAAATGTGACTTTCCTTTTTGTACGTATTTACTGCTATTACTAACGCTAACGGTTGAGTAGCAGCAGCTCCTGAACCCTCATCGCGGGGCTCAGTGGGTATACTATTCCCTGTTTTAGCTCGGGTGCAGCGCTTTAATACCAGGACAGTTGCTGCTCAAGCGTCTGATCAACCTCCTCATGCTTCCCCTCCTTCTGTTGACGGCGGAAGGGGCCAATCTGTGCCAGCTTCGCCAGCTGTTGAATTTCAAAACCTTGGCACTTTTCGGGTGGATGGCAGCGGTGGATTGGTTAATGAACAGGTGGAAGACGGTTTAGGTTCAGGATTGCCTTCTCAGCTTCTGAGTCGAATCGAACAGTGGCTTAGGGTTGTATTACCGAGTGAGCATCACAATGCCGAGGTTGGTACTACTCCCCCACCGCAGACTCGCGGTACACAGGCACAGCCTGTCTCAGGGCGCGATGGAAGTGCACAGCACGAGAATTCTGGTACGGTGAGTGAAGAGGGAGTCTTCTTGTCTAGTATTCTACAACACCTGATGCCCTTGATATCAGAAAGTGGAGGATCTGGATCCGGATCCGATAATTCATTGGCAGATGCACGAGATTCAACAACGCGGGATCAAGGTAATGGAGGGGACAGGGGCTCCTCATCACATCGTCCAGAGGACGGTGATGCTTCTTTGATGGAGGAGCCTGAAGCAAAACGGCAAAAGAGGGAGTGAGCAATGGTGGTTGATCTTTTGGGTTGGTGGTTGCAGGAAGAGAAACTGTTCTTTGTTTCTTGTTCTTTTGAAGAACAGGGTATGGCAGGAACTTATCCCCCTACCATACCTCAAATACATACTCCAACAGTACTCTCGCGCTATATATAAAAATATATTTTGTTGGATGTTTCATATGTTTGTTCTTTGGAAGATGTTGATGGCTACAGCTTCTGTGTTCTTATATGATTGACGTACTAGTTAGTTATTTTAATGAACTGTGAACTGTTGGTTTCCTGCAGTTTACAAAGAGTATTGTTTGTGTAGGGTAGAAATTCGGGTGTCAGATTGAACCGGGTGGGTTTGGTAAGGAGCAACCATGGTGTATATATATTTGTGGTGATGAAATAGTAAGGAAGAAAAGCTGAGCAAGTGAAATAGAGTGAAATTTTTTCTTGGGCGAGGAAGAAACATGATGATACATTACGGGAGGGAGATGGATCGTGACTTGGGATCAAGAATAAATCAATCATGCAAGTATCTAATTCTAATGGGATTGATTGATTGATTGATGATGATGAAAATGGTACATTAATGAATCTCCTACACAATAATACAGTAAATACAAAAAGCTCATCTGATAAATACATAATCCAAATCATACAAAAAGCTTATCGCTGAATCGTTGTAGGCTTCAAAAACGAAAGAAAGAGGTGCATGCATTATATTATATAATAAAGGGGCCTGTGTCTTCCAATCCCACAGAACAGAAGCAGTAGGAAACTACAATACCGAGAATCCCAAAGTGTAACCATTCCAAACACAAATAATGAAATGTAGAATCAATAATGTAAAGACCCTACTAAATATCTTTTAGAAAATCCGAACTGGACAATAATTATGGGACGGAAGGAGTAATAAATAATATACCATCCCCCAAAAAAAAGGAAAGAAAAAGAAAAGAAATTAGAGTATGTGGATTTTTTTTAGGAAAAAAACGAACAAATGGAGCAAGACTGGAAAACGGGCCGAAGGTTGGAAACAGTAATGGGCTCCCATTTAGTAATATATCTCAAAAGCCTTTTTCACTTTGACCACGTATATAAACCAAGAGAAGCCCTAATCTGTAAAACCCTTGAGACACCCATCATATTAATAACCCTAGCAGCAGCAGAGCTCCAGTCTTTCCTTTGTGCCTCCTTTGGGTTTTTTTTTTTATCAGCAGCAGCCGGCAAAAGAAGCATCCACAGCCTCTCAGATCGCCATGGCTGAACAGGTGATTCCCCCATCATCAAATACTACTCCCAAGATTTGAGCTTTTGATTTCCTAACCTTTCCGATTTGTTTTGTGATTGTTTTTTTTCTTTCTTTTGCCAGACGGAGAAAGCTTTCTTGAAGCAGCCTAAGGTCTTCCTTTGGTATGATTTTTACACTCACGAAACTTTTAAGACCATTGCATTTTCGTAGATAATATTTGACATTTTATTTTATTTTATTTTAATTGGGACCTTTGAACTTCATTACAGCTCGAAGAAGGCTGGGAAGACCAACAAGCCTGGGAAGGGAGGCAAGCGTTTCTGGAAGAGCGTTGGCTTGGGTTTTAAGACCCCTCGTGAAGCCATTGAAGGTATTTATATATTCATTCAAAAACCCTCTTCTTTTCCTACTGTGTTCTAGGGTTTACGGACATTGATGTTTCTAGTTTTGTTAAGTTTACAATGAAATGATGCTCGGATTATGATTAAGTTCTTTGAAACAATATGATATAAGTCAGGATTGGGAAATAAGAATGTATAGTATTATATATTTCAGTAGAGACGATATCCTGTGAATGGTAAGGTGTTGATATCCTATGAATGGTAAGGTGTTGATATCCTGTAAATGATATGGTGTTGATATTGTCCATTTGTTAAAATAGGTGAATGAAATTGTTTCTGTGAAACCTATGTTATGCTTGGTTTTAACTGTGACACCATCCTGTTAGAATTTGAGAACTGTGTTAGGCTTTTTACTTTGAAGTGTGTTGTGGCGGACTTTGTTTGTTGTTGTTTATGCTCTCTGTAATTTGTAAAATTTAATTGCTTTGAAGTATATACACTATTGTTTTCTGTGCCAAACTATTTTAGTTTCCAAAAAAAAAAGCCCAACCATTTGATTGGGGTATAAAACTTGAAATCATGGTCTTAAGCTTGGTTTGTTACTTTGTTCCAGAAGTGATTTGAAATTTTTTCTTTTTGGGGTTGGTCTGTGCACGTAGTTTATCTCTCTGTGGACTTCTTTTGCAGTTTTATTTGAACTTAACCTTTGGTTGTAGATGATAGATTGTTCTGCTTGCCTAATAATGCCCTTGGTGGTTGTTTATCTCTTCCCTAGAGAGTATCAATAATTGGTGGTTGTTTTGTTTGAAGCCTTCAATCTATGAATATTGTCTTGCTGTGTATTTTGTCCGTGATTGTTCCCCACCTTGTGCGGTACCCTACACACTAGTATGATATGTATACCTCCTTCATCCTCACTTTCCTTTGTTCTCCTTGTCATTATGCTCTTCCCTCTCCTTTCTTTCACCTAATTTTCCAGCCCTACTGTGCTTTGTTTTCAGGTACTTATATTGACAAAAAATGCCCATTTACCGGCACAGTGTCAATCAGAGGCCGTATAATTGCTGGTACCTGCCACAGTGCTAAGATGGATAAAACCATCATTGTTAGGCGTAACTACCTGCACTTTGTGAAGAAATACCAGAGGTTTGCTACGATGCCCTTTAGGTGTTGTTTTCATTGTCCCTAATGAGTTGTAAACGAGGCTCATAATTGTGTAATCATGTTCTTACTTTTCAGATATGAAAAAAGGCACTCTAATATCCCAGCTCACATCTCTCCTTGCTTCCGTGTGAAAGAAGGAGACCATGTCATTATTGGGCAGTGCAGGTGAGGCGTCAGTTTATCTTGTTTGCTTCATCTAATGGTCTGATATTCTTTTCGGTTTTGACTAACGATAGGCTGGTTTTTCTTGTTTTGGTGTTTGATTCAGGCCATTGTCGAAAACAGTACGATTCAATGTGTTGAAGGTGATTCCAGCAGGATCCTCTGGTACTGGAAAGAAGGCTTTCACTGGAGCTTAAGCTTACTGTATTATGCGTCTACCAGTTATGGGATAGTTTGTTGAGATTTTGGCACCATTAGCTGTGAACTCCTTTTAATATTAAAATGTTTCGTCTCTTTCGTTTTGTTCACAAAAGATTATCATTCTCAGCTAAACTATTGGGTTCGAATAGAATTTTTGAAGCTTTAGTGCGATAATATTATTTTTCTATATCTTGTGCTTCTGCCCTTGGTTTGTTAATATAATGATGGCCTCTACCTTTTGGCAACGCGAACATTGCGCATTCGAAGGTGTTTTTTTTTTTTTTTTTTTTTTGTCTTCTATTGTGAAAGTAGATGTGGATTAAGCATAATATGTTGCCATTTGGTTGGGTATGACTTTAATCAAAGATTGGATCACCGAAAGAAACTCGATAGAGCTAAAAAGCTAGAGCGTGAGTTATGCGGTTCCTTGAATGGGAGCTTGATGTATGGATTTGGTTGGTATATCCAATGCTAACATGTACTCCTAAAAAAACCAACCCCAAAGGGAATATATAGTTTTCAGTAGTCAAGCTATAGGCTAATCATAGTTGTGACTTGATAAATACTCTCCCCGTCCCATAAAAATAGTCAACATTTGAGTTTTTGAGTTTCGTACTGTTTTTAGTACAAATTTAAAAACTCAATCTGAAATATTTTTTTGGGGACGGAGGTAGTATGTTTTTGTTACGGAGGAAGAATTCGTGTAATAACTGACATAATTACAAGAAGCAATCAACAATAACAAGATATATATATATATATACTAGTGATGTCTGATCGTGTAGTGCGCGACCGTGGCCCAGTATATCTGTAGATCTTATAAATGTTTTTATTTGAAAAAAAAAAAAATTTTGCATTTGGCCCAATATATTTTAGAAATATTTGAAGAATTTAAAAATGTTTTATAAGTGTGATCATAGAAATGTTTGTATTTGGCAAAAAAAAAATGTATTTGGCCCAGTATGTTTTAGAAATGTTTGAATATTTTAGAAATGTTTTATAAGTGTTACTTATTAAATATAAATAAACTTGATCAAGTATATCTCTTGAAATAAATGTTAGACAAAATATAAAAGCATCCTTATAAGTTTAAATATTAGTAAGATTATTTATTGATGTTCTCCATTTGTCGTGCCAAATCAATACTTGGTTTTGGATATTTATAATAGCTTTGTAGTAAGCTTCCTTCGAAGGGTATACGTTTAATTGTTGGAACTGTTTCTTCCAAATGCTTATAGCTAGTAAAATATCAAAAATATGATTTTGAAACTGATTAATTGTTGAAACTGGTTGATCACAAATATGAGAATGAAAATTAATGTAAATTTGCATAGGTTTCAAGTTATAGTAAAAAAGAACTTACCTCACCATGGCAAATAAAAAAAATAAGTAAAAGAGTCCATTAAAAATTGAGAAATTTTTTTTTTTCTTGTAGGTAAAAATGATGTATAAAAACACAAATAAACGTAGAAACATCATTCCTTCCCTCTCCACCTCAAATTCATAAAAGGCTTCCTCATAAATTAGCTAGAAGAAGCGACCTGAACTATTTATATGATGAGTAATTTAATAAAGTCAAAAAACCAAATCCAAAAAAGTATATTCTTGAAAGTTCGAACACAAAAAAAAAAAACGCGCTTCATTTATAATAATAATAATAATAATAATAATAATAATAATAATTGGTCAACTGAGAGTATGAAACAAAATTAAAAGTAATTAAACAAAGAAAAAACACAATTCATAACTGACCATATACAAAAAAAAACTAAGACACCATAATTAAAAAACGGAAAACCACTCTAAATGAATAAAATATAAAAATAAATTAAAAAAATCACACTTTGTCACAAAAACCCAATTGATCAATTCAATTCAAACAGAACTAAAATCATACAAAAATTCTAAGCTGACTAACCATATAAGAAGTCACATCATATTACTTGGCAACGGCTACGATAGCTGTAATAGGTGGACGCGTAAAAATAATATAAATAACACTATTCTTGAACGGGAAAAACAAAAAATAATAAAAACCGTACAAATGATGTGTGGATATAAAATCATTTAAATTTTAATATCTGTAACGGCACCAACACAACGGCCGAAAGCAACACCAATGATAATTTTTTTTTCTTTTGTGTTTATAAAGAGGTAAAGAGAATATTTTTTGAAGTCGAAATTTTATCTGATTAGGATGTAGTTGATCATCACTAATGAAAAGATGGAACATGCTAATAGAAAAGAAGTATATTTCACCACGTATTCTCAAGTAAGGGTATGTTGCAATAATTGTTTTAATTGAGTTGTAATAATTATTTTTTCCGTGATACTTAAATTATGGGAAAAAAATATTTTAAAAAATTAGGCCAATTTTTTTTAAAAAAACTAATTAGCACGACAGAAAAGTAGTGTAACAAAATGATATAGGTGATCTTTATTCTTTAGGCCTCTTCGAGTGCATGCAAGGTATCAAAGTAATCACGGGAGTAATCTGCAACAACTTGATAATTGATTTTAGTCAACATATGATGTAGTCGGAATTTGTTTTTGTTTTGTTTTTTTTTTTTTGAGAATAAATTGATTAGGGAGTCGATTGTCGTGGAGATGGAGATGAGGATTTATGTTTTTTATGAAGTCGTGTTTTTTTTTTGTTTTGGTGAAAATAGGAAGTAGTGATGGATTTGGACTGAATTTACCTTTTAAATCTAGGAAACTGATGTGTAAATAAAAATTTATTTTAAAAATATGATGTGAAAATGTCACATGGCAAATGATGGTGTTTTATCTTAAGTGTGGTTTTTGTTTCTAATATAGTAAGATATATATGTTTATTTGGAAGCAGTGTTGTTGAAGCGAGCCCTGTTTGTTCATGGACAGCGCTCAACAGTGGTGGCAACATCCGGTAAACTGGTGCAACTTCCTTCCTTCATTGAACCAGACAAGAAGAAATGGAGAGCCGTAAGAGCAGAGAAATGAAAGTGGTTTGATTTTAATTTGGGTTGAGGTTCAAAGGAAAAAACTCACTTTTAATTGAAAAATGTAAATAAGGACAATTAGTTTGGGTTGGGCCTTAAAAATGTTTTTATGTGATCTGCTTGGATTGAGGCTCAAATAAAACTGCATTTTCCCATAATAATAATAATAATAATAATTATGCAGCAAAAATGAAAAACTGTAAAATGGGGGGACCAAATGGCATCCCACTACTTTCCCGCCAATTCGACCCTACAGAATAGTTGCGTTGCACACCACATCCCCCAAATAATCAACTGACAATTTTTAATCTGACGGTCGCACTTATTCTAATCCAACGGCATTCCTGTAATCTGGGTCAAACATTTTTGAACACCCGTCAAACTTATCACCCTTCCCAGCGTTGAGTCGCCAACTTCTCTTCCTTTCTCTCTCATCAGAACTTTACAGTTCCACACACACACACACTCACACACTTCCATTTTTTTCCTTTCCGATATTTTTTTCGTGTTTTTCTACTAATCGAGTAAGAAGTTAATGATTTCTCTGTATGGAAAATGAAAAATTGACAAAAAAAGGTACTTGAATTTTGGATTTTTTTTTTTTGAATTGAGGGTTTCTTTTCGCTTTGTCATTATGGAGTTGGATATGGACGAACAAGGCTAAGGCGGCTTTTGTGGTTTGATTTTGTTGTTTTTGTTGTAATGGAGAACTCTTGGCACATAAAATGTGGTGCTTCGGTTCCCCAATCGTCGCAGGAACACCAGCATCAGGTCTGTTTCTTTTGGTTTCATTTTTTCACTCTGGAATTTTATGGTTTTATCATAGTAGTTTCCTTTAGCCTTTGAATTTTTTGTTCTCCTCTTAAGGTTTTTTTTTGGGGGTTCTGGAAGTGCGAAATGTTCAATTTCTTTTTTTTTTTTGAAGTTTGTTTAACCGTTTGTAACCTTTTCCTAAGGGTGTGATTTATGGGGTCCAATTCAGGTGTGCATGTGTGTTTTATTTTTGTTTATTTCTGTGTTTTTCCCCCCCTTTTTCTTGGTATTGAAGATTTTTTTTTGGGTCAATGTTCAAATTCTTTTTTAAACTATTACTCCTGAAGTTTGAATTTTGCTAACCAATGTTATTAATTACCATTAGAAATTGTTAGAATTTCAGGAACCCATTAATGTTGTTGTTGTTGAAGTAGTTGCTGACATTAGGCACTATGGCAATGTACGAAGACATCGTTTCATTTAAACAAGTTGCCAAGCCATCAGTTTACGTGAATTAGCTCTCGCATTTTTCATTATTTGAGCAACTTGGGACTATTCTTGCTTTTATGTACCCTTCTAGTGGGTACCCATTTCTCCTTCATGTGGTACTGATGAATACATCTCTATTCGTGTGTTTTCTCCATGTGCACGTAGATTCTGAGCCGGAATTTGTATCTTCAGTCCTCTGCCGGAGCCAATTCAACTTCACTTGTTCATAGACTAGCCCCAGAGACTGTGAACCACTGGAGTAGTAACTTAAGTCCTAATAATATGACTGTCACTGAAAAGAATTTGTCCTTCTTATCACTTCTATCTGGTACTCCACGCACCTGTCCTGATGAAGTGCTTTTAGGCGGAAGTCATGTTAGTGGCTCTGCAGCCGGAAGTGAAGTTTCACTTTTGTCTTCTCAACCTTTTGGTCCTAGATTTAGCGGCCAACGCACAGAGGCTTTTTCAGACCTGGCTTGGTTTGTATCGTCAACGACTGGAGTGGTTACAAACCAAGGTAGCAATTTTGGTCCGAAGTTGCTGGTTCAGGGTTGTCCTAGAGACCTTCAGCAATTGGATGTTCCTCAGGCTGACACTCACTCAAATTCTATAAATCAGACTCGTACAAATTTGTCATACCTGAGAATGGGATGCTTGGATTCTGCTACCTCTCTGGATCTTGGAAAGATCCATGTTGGGAAAACTGTTGCAGTGTCACAAAGGGTCCCTGATTCTTCAGTTTCCTGCTCGTCATCTTCTCTGTTAACTGGTGTTCCTCGAGTGTTCTGTTTGGGTCTTAGTAAGTTCTCTAATATTTATCTCTTTTAAAAGTTCTTTTTACTCATTTGTACCACTATTCTAACCAGCTTTTTGACTATCAAGCAAAGGTGGAATCTTGCTTATCAGCAATCCTGGACATCTTGGAGTAGTTTGCTCTTGCCATGGTTGGCACATGTCACTCTCCAAATTTGCCCAGGTAATTACTTTTGATAGGTGATCACTTCTGCTACTAACTTTTAATTCATTGCTAGATTTAAGGTTTTTTCTCTACTGTGGGTTGTTGAAGACTATTTAATCCTTGTCTATTGTTCAGCATTCAGGCTCTTGCAATGTTAATCCTGGCATTGCTATTCATGTGGATGGCGGTGAGACCATTGCTAATTGGCGAAAGGCTTACTTCCATAAATCTGGGGTAAGGACCCCATCATTTTAAGTTTCTTGGGTACACCTGTATTTGTTGGTTATTAGCTTGTCAAAGACGTGTCCTCTTTGATTCACTCAAACCCTTTATCCCTGCTGTGGCAGCCTCAGAAAACACATAGGTGAACAATGAAAACATGATTATGAATGTTGTAAGGTGGAGAAGGGTACCACCTTAACTGTTGTTTCTGTTTGAATGTATGGAAATTAATATAAGAAAGCAAGAACCCTATTGTTCTGTTATATAATTGCATGACTTTGGGATTCTCAATAGCAGGGGAGGCAAGGGTAGGAACCTCTTGTCCCCAAGATGAACCATATTGAATTATTAAGACATGTTTACTGCTTTCCTCATTAGGATATGTGTGGAGGAGGCATCAATAGTTCTGAAACTCGGTAAAACAACTCAGTTATTTGGGTGAGTTACCTGGAGATAATTTAGGCTAAGGGAAGGGGTTCTTTACAGATTATCTTAGGTTGCTTCCTATTGGGCTTGTTATTATCTTTTTATATGGTTGCTGAAAATTGATGTTAGAGACTTATAATTGCCTTGTATTTGAAGCATTCCGACTGGATGGTGATATTTTTATCATGCTTTAGATTAGGGTTCCGGAAGATTATACAGGATGGGACTGGCCTCAAGAGAGTTCTGCTGCCACTGGTTTGTTGCAGCCAGATCTAACCCGTCCCAACTTCCCTGCTGATTCTCCCTTGTATAACCAAGCTAATGATTCCTTAGGAGCTTGTCTGCATTCTCTTAGTCAATTGAACCACATCTTGCCGACTCTGAAGAATACTCGAACTGATAAGAAGGTGGATGAATTTGTTCATCGGGATGAACAGAAGAGCTGTTGGGAGGACAGCAACAGTATTAAATTTCACGGTTCAGGTAGCTCAACAAAGAATGGCTTGCATTTTGTGGCAGATGATCAGATTGTGGGGTATACAAGGTCTGTTAGTTCTATGATGCCGCCAAATGTTCTTGGTGTAAGGAACCCTTATAATGTACTTCCTGTCATATCATCGTGTAAAGACTCAGTTTTTGGGAGTGGGAATTCTCTCCATTCAGACATGCCAAAGCTACTTTCTCTTGGTAAAGATGTTTCTGTTGGGCGGATCGTTGAATCTTCCTACGAGGATACAACTTCTTCAAATATTGAGTTGAAGCTTGGGCAACCTTCTCAACAGAATCGAGCAACAGCTTCAGGAAGCTCAGTTACGGCAGTTCCTGCATCTAATTTAGTTTTCCACAGCCAGCCCAGGGGATCAGTCTTCATGGATCAGCATTTGCATCAAAGTACGTTGACTTTTTAATCCCACAAAAAAATGTTTTTAATCAGCGGATGTTCATTTTTAATTGGTTAAATGGCATGAATAGTCCACAGCTTGGAGTTGCGTCCCAATTCAGTCCCTAAATTGTTTCACTTAATCTTTGATGATGGACCAATTAGAACTGAATGACGGGGTTGAAGTGCAAAAATTAGACAATTTGAATATTAGAGACTGAACGGACATGCTTCTCTGAGTTGAGGGACGATGGGTGTCGTCTAACTTTTTAAACTTTTCTAATGATTTATATTGGGATCTCCTTATGCAGCTAGCACTTCAAGGTCAATTGATAGAAGTGGGGAATATCACTTGGCTGGTACTATGACAAGTTCCATTGTCAGAACAGAAAAGAACAAGATGAAAGATCTGAATCATGTATATGGAGCTTTTGGGGTGTCAAATTCTTCGCAACTTAAAGTCTTTAACAAAAATGCTGCATCCAATAATGCGGTAACATCAGAATCGTCCCCAAGCTTGAGAAGTTCTGAAGAAAAACATCGATTCAAATTAAGTATGGACAGCCAATCCGGACCTTCACTTTCCAATGCTGACCGGTTTGGGTTTCCTTTTCTCAACGAGACGATTAGAGACCAATTCAGCATTAATCTGTTGGATAGTCAGAAACGCCAGAAAGATGATCTATGGTGCACAGCTGAGCCGAATAGGGGAACACATACTAAACCAGTGGCTGAAATGTTGAGTTTTGGTGGAGTTGATTGTCACTGGGATCTTTGTCACAATCCAGTTTTGCGGGATAAAGTCTCCAGCATGTGCCAGAATACTTCGACAATGGCTAACGCACATGATATGAGGAATAACTTAAAACATTCAGGGCAAGTTTCCTACCCTGTACAGATTGGTCAACACAATCCAATTTCTTCTAGAACAAGTGCTTCTGGCCCGGCTCATTCCCTCTGGAATTCTGCAAAAAAACCGACCTCTGCGAAAAGCTTTGCTGACTTAACTGGTAATGGCGTAGGCGATGGAAGATCAAGAATTTTCCCTTTCCAGTCTATTTCTGCATTGTCTAGTGATATAGTTGGTACTGCTGGTAGTTTCAAAACCATCCCAGACCAAAGAGAGTCCCAAGATTATTGTGAGAAAATACAATTTACCATTCCACAATTGCCATTGAGCACACGAAAGAATGATTTAAATTTAACCGATATACTAAGTGCTGCTGCAATTGCAACACCTTCATGCGTCACTACTAATGTGGCTATTGAAGAGAGTGAAAAGCTGCCTTCAGTCACAGGTTATGGTTCTTTCTTCTCTTGTTACTTTAATTAATAATCGCAAGTATACAGAAATATGTTGCTCCCTATTCTTAGTTGTACTTAATTAAACTGAGTAATTCTTACAGAAAACTAAGTTGTTCCTGTACAGATGATCACTGTGACTTTCAAGCATCAGCTGCATCACAAAGATGTTATTCCATAGGCAAAGATGCTGAACCCCAATTTCGATTCCATACTGACCCGGAGCAAACGACGCAATGGTTTATGAGGTGACTTTTCAGTTCTGTAATAGTGAACTTAACTTGTTTTTGGGGAGATGAAAGTATTCCCGTTTTTACTGTTAATTTCTTTTACATGATTGGGTTTATGATGGTTGAGTTAAATCTTCAAAACAAATTAAGGAAGAAACTTCTGATTTTTTTTTACAGTAGGGTTTGGATGCATCGTCTAATGTATCCAGTTATTCATAGTTGTATGGAATTAGTTTGCTTGATAACTTTTTCAAGATGATATCGTGCTGAATGTCACTTCCAATCGAAGTTTTTGATTGCTCAAGGTTCTTTTTGTTCAGCTGGGGTTATAAATTTGTGATTACAGGTTGGAGACCTTTTACACCTTATTTGCTGTACTCAGTAATGAAAACGTTGGATATTTCCATTTAAGTTGCATCTATGCAGTGACCCTTGACCACTTCTGTTTTGTTATTATTTTCATTTTGTGCTACTTTGTATTTTCTTGGGTTGGGCTGATAGCTTTAGAAAATTTGGATTTCTTGCACATGTTGTGCATACATTATATGAGGATAGCCAACAACACAAAATTGGTTGCTACTGGTCCAGAATCCCTGAATTCCACTATATGATACAGTTCTTTGCTTGATTTTCTTATTTCCAATGATTTTCAGAGTTGGTTGCGATACAAATCTTGCTTCATCGAGTAAGGGGGAGAAGTGTTATACTGAGTTGATGAGTCGATATTTTCCTCAAAAATTTGATTGCCTGCCAGGAAGGCCTGATTTGTTGCGAAATCCTTCCCTTGGTGAGTTTGAAGATAAAGAAGCAAATGCAGTTGGTTTGGTGGCACCTTTGCTTGGCCCAAAACTCAGTGGAACATTACCATTTTCAGATATGAGTAATTCTTTTGCAGCCACCAAGAAGGCTAAGTTCAGCACTTTTGAATGGAGAGATGTTCCGAGGAAGGTGGTCAAATACACCGATGAGGCTGATACCAAATGCTCTGAAAAATCTGCTCATCATGTACTGAAGGAGCTAGAAATATCCAATCTTTCCTCTGGATGTTCTGCTCCTGCTGTTAGTCAGGCGTCCATCAAGGCCAACAACAAAGATTCATTTACAGTTAATGGTGCAGTTACAGCTAACAATCTTGTTGTGGATGAGGGCTCAAGGATAGAAAGATGTGACTCCACTGATGATGATGACAGTGGAAGAAGTGCTGCATTTAGCGACTTTCCTTCCAAGAGCAACTTGATGGACAAACGATCATCTAAAGCTATCTTCAGTAAATTTTATCATGATCTTAAGGGTGATACTCTGTCCGGAGGCTCCCTAAAGTTGAGAAAGATGCAAAGTCAAACTGCTAGCAGCTCTCCCGTTCAGACTAGGGATGTATTTCAGAATGTTGAGGACGAATCCAGGAGCGGAGAGAGAAGTCAAATGAAAGCGAAACAAGCAGATCCATTGGTTCCGGCTTTTGCTCTGCATGCTACGCAAAGTGAAGTGTTAAATTGTGAAACTAAAGTTAAGCAGCCAAAGAACCTGGCCATTCTTTCTCAAGGTGATCAACAAAGTTTTACAGGTTGTCCTTATTCAGTGGCCCAAAACTCAACTAGGGTATCTAAGCTGTCTAGTTCTGGTGCAGTTTCCTGGAAAAGAGATTTGAATGATCAAATTTGTGCTGAAGCTTCTGAAGAAACACCAAAAAAACGATTGAGACTGGTCGGTGGTACTGATTATCTGGAGCAAGAAAAACATTCTACTTGTACTGTATCAGAATTAGCTTCTAAGGGTGCAGTGGTAGATTGCAATGTCACTTCTGGTGACCTTGCTAATGTTTCTTGTAAGAGGAGACCTATTGCTTGTGGAAAATACGGCGTTTTATGCAATGCTAACTCCCAAAAGCCTGCGAAAATTGTTTCTCTGAGCACCGTCTTGAAAGCAGCAAGAAGATGTAGCTTTGCTGAGAGTGGAAAACTGGGATTGGGCGATGCAAAGGAATCTAATAAAAAGGCAAATTTGAAAGCCAATAAGGCTGTGCAAAATGGGCTTACTTCCATGAATGAAAAATCACTTTTCCCTTGCCGTAAAAATTCTGGTGATCCATCACACACTATGAAAAACAGAAGGAATGATGGAAAAAGGAGTCAAGCTATTTTTAACAATAATATGAACACTCATCGTAGGCGAAAGTTTAAGCATGTTCGTAAACGCAGCATCAACGAACTCTCGGTTAAAGGTATTCATAAATTCTAGGTTCATCTGTGATAAAGGTCAATTTTCCTTTATAATAACGATCTGTTTGTCTAGAAGCTTTCTCTGTGCAACAAGTCCTGTCACCCATGAAAAATCATTGCTCGAATTCACCCAATTGTTTTTTTGGTTCTTTTGGAATTGCCACTGTTCTGCCCTTTGGGATATTTTATTTCTATTTTGATGAATAAGTTAAGCTTGTATAAAATCATTCCTTAAAAAAGAGCCTCAAGTATTCTTTCTTTTGAATACCTGAGTTCATATTCAGAAGCTCTTGCAGTTTTCTATACAAATGAAGTGCACAAATTGTTATATCAGGTGCCATTAAGTGCTTTGAAAAGTACCAAAAATGTTAATGATTAGGCCATGCATGCTTGTCTTTCTTGGTAGCATCTTCTTCTCTGTTACTTTTGGGCGTGATAATATGAAGTTTTAGTTGCACTTACAGTTTTATTTGGTCACCTTATATTATAAACATTTGGAACTGCTTATTTTATGCTTTTTTTTTGCATTTTCTGTGAGCAGGTAGTGATTCCAACTGCGAGCCTGCTGTATTGAAGTGTGGAAAATCTGTGCAGTCTATAAACGGCAGCTTCAGTCAAATGTCTGCAGATGAGTAAGTGGTTACTTGTTTGTTTCAAGACTTCTTCTGCATGTGGTTGTACTAGAAGTTTGAGATGCAATAATAAATTCAAATGGACTTTGTGTAGACCGGCTAAGAAGAGTAACATCGAAAGAAGTCGGGATTTGGGAGAATCTTGCTGTGTTTGTGGGAGCTCGAACGAGGACGATTGCAATTGCTTATTAGAATGCGATCATTGCTTGATTAAAGTATCTTTACTCATCTCTTGTCCTTTATAGATGTGTCAAACGTCATACCTGATTCACTTTCTAATTTCCTGTGATGCGTGTAATTAAATTATGTAGGTTCATCAGGCCTGCTATGGTGTTTCCGTTGCTCCAAAAGCCCGGTGGTATTGCAGGCCTTGCAAAACAAATTCAAGAAATACTGTGAGATGCTCTTGTTGATTCCAACTTTTATGTTAATTTAGCTCTTGTGACAGTTTAATCCGGGGAACACATAAGGCAAAAATCAACAGAAAATGAGAGAATTCAAAGAAGAAAGGTTTCACTTATAATTGGTCAGACTTCGTTCAGAGTATGGGGATTGATGTTTAGCAGGACAGAAGATCATACTTACTATCCTAATTTGTATATCTTTACTTTAGTAGAAAAAAAGCATTTTGCTTTAGTTTTTCTAATCACTGCTACTTTCTTGTTAATCAGGTTTGTGTTCTCTGTGGTTATGGAGGAGGAGCCATGACTCGAGCGCTTCGTACTCATAATACTGTAAAGAGCCTGTTGAAAGCTTGGGGCATCATGACAGAAACCGATTATATCAACCTTGGGATTTCTGAACCTGTGGGAAACTCGTATAAAATCTTACCTTCAACAAAAATGGTGGGCGGGAGTGACCCATTTCTTATAATGAGACCGGCAATGATGGAGTCAAATCTTTTGGCTTCAGGGAGCAATGACCTCTCTAAGCATGGGGATGCTGTTGACATCCCATCGTCTGCATCAAATGCCACAGTTTTGTGTAATAGCATTGTGGCTGGAGTTTTTGATGCATCCGTGAAGCAGTGGGTTCATATGGTTTGTGGGCTCTGGACTCCCGGTACACGTTGTCCAAATGTTGGAACAATGAGTTCTTTTGATGTTTCTGGAACTCGTCATCCTAAGCCAAATGGGGTAATAAATTGCAAATGTATCAATGGTTCTAGTTGGACTCCATTGTGGTCCTTTTATTTTGCCATTTTTTGAACGTCTGTTGTTTCACAAGGGTGTTTCCTCGAGAAAGAAAAGTCTTTCTTCTGATATGGTAATATCTCAATTTTATTTTTTATGCTAGGTTTGTTCAATATGTCAACGATCAGGTGGTACATGCATACAGTGCAGAGTTGCAGACTGCCATATTCAATTCCATCCTTGGTGTGCCCATCAGAAGGTTATATTACTTGTAACATGCCTTTTGTACTGTTTTGCATGTCTGTTTTCTTATTTGTCCGTTTACTTGTAACATGGTTGTGAGGCTTGAAATAGACATGAAAATTTTGAAGATTTGTAGCTAGTCAAGCACTAAGCCATTTGTAGAACTGTAAGTATGGAACAGTATGAGTAGGATCTTGTAGTGGCCATTTGCTAAAAATAATCAACATTATTATTCAATACCACGAAGGTAATGAGTTAAAGTAAAGTGGTAGGAAGTTTGTGCCAGCTGTTTCTTTGTTTTTTCTCTTTTTCCCTGAAAATGTCTGAGGATGTATTTGCTTTGTTTTATAGTAACCATTGGTAAGCAATACCTAACATTATATGCTTGTTGATTGTTGGTCCTCCAGTGCATATCCATCAAACCAAACCCAAGATGTACTAAGTCATTGTGGTTTTAAACTATTGCAATTGACTTGAATCCTGAAAAATTGGCATTTGATGAATGTTGAAGGAATCTATTTTCTCTAGGTTGTGTTTAGCTAGATATTTTATGTTGATGGGTACAGAAGCATAGCCGTATACAGAAGGGCATCAAATGTAGCCAGTCGTCATAGCAATAGTTCTGATAGACCATACGTGGTTGTGCAATTAAAAAACTGTTGAAAAGACGCATAAGATTATTACAAAAGCTGTGATCATGTGATGTTAATTCTAATTGCACTGTGCTAACGATTTTGGTTCACTGTGTGGTAGGGTCTACTTCAAAGTGAGGTTGAAGGTGCTGACAATGAAAGTGTTGGTTTCTATGGAAGATGTATGGTCCATGAAATACATCATCATCAGGGTGATGATTCTGACAATTATCACAATAGTAATGCTAATCATGGAGAACGGGAGCCAACCTGTGCTCGAACAGAGGTTTGCAACTTGAACCAAACTTTAAAAGCATTATCACCTTTTTGTACAAATTGCTGTTTCCTCATATGGCACTCTTCACCTTGAGTAGGGTTACAAGGGTCGCAAGCAGGATATTTCATATGATAATCACTACCACAAGTCTGATACGGGTAGTGGATGTCTTGTTTCACAAGAGCAGCTAAATGCTTGGATTCACATACATGGTCAGAAATCAAGCACGAGGGGAGGGCCTCTAAAGGCACCTACTTCAGCCATTGAGCCTGACTGTCGGGTATGTTTTTTATAGCTTTCTTTCTCTATGGTTGTGAAATGAACTCCCTTATTATCTAAAATACTCAAGATTGTTAGAGCACCATTTTTTCATGCGGTGAACACGATGAATGTTTTGATGACAAAAGTAGTGATCTAAAGTGACGAAAGACTGGCTTGTGATTACATTTTTCACTATTTGAGATATGATTTCGACAAGTCTTTATAAATCTATAATACAGTGATGAGTTCATAGCTCACGTGGAAATTGTTATTCATTCCCTGATAGTATATATGCTTTAGAGTTTGGAAGTTTCTTTTTCTACTAATTTAGCTTTATTTCAGAAAGAATATGCCCGCTATAAGCAACTCAGAGGTTGGAAGCATTTGGTGGTTTACAAATCCGGGATCCATGGACATGGTCTTTACACTTCTCAGTTCATTTCTCGTGGTGCAATGGTTTGATTCAGCTTCCTTCCATAATAAAAGTTCAGTGTTCTGTCATATGAAAATTTTGACTCCATTACTATGTTTTTCTTTGTAGGTTGTTGAGTATGTGGGCGAGATAGTGGGGGTTCACGTGGCTGATAAACGAGAAACTGAATATCAGGCCGGAAAGAAATTGCAATACAAGAGTGCTTGCTATTTTTTCAAGATAGACAAGGAACACATAATTGATGCCACCCGTAAGGGTGGGATAGCTCGCTTCGTGAACCATTCATGCAGTGTAAGCATTTTTCTTATTGGAAAATTATTCTTCAAAAAAGTCAATGCTCAAATCTGAAATTTTAGCTCTGTTATGGGTTCTTAATATAACAAATAATTTTGCAGTTCCTGTTGGGTTTCTTAATGTATTGGCAATTTTATTTGGCTGGTTTTTACTAATATAATTGAACATAAAGAAGAAATTTTAGGAAAAAGTTTTACTTTTATTTTTACTAAATCTATGTTGTGATTAGCTATTGTCTGGCATCATTTTCAACTTTGCTCACTTTCTTGTTATTATCTTTTTCTTGCCAGCCAAATTGCGTTGCCAAAGTAATTTCTGTGAGGAATGAAAAGAAGGTATGTGCCTACATTTGTTTTCTGTGCAAGCTTTCGGTTCCTCAGACATTTGAGGAACCACGTGAGAATGGTTTTAAGTGCATATTTTTCTTTTGTCTGATCATCCTTGAAACAACTTTTCCAATGAAATATGATTATGTATTTTTGTTGGCGCTAATATCTTTCCATTGGAAAGTAAATGGAAAAGCTAGTTAAGAAAATGAGAAAATATTGGGGTAGTGATCTATTTGGGTTTCTGCACTTTTTATTCCAAACTAGACATAACAGCGTTGGTGAGGTATGATTTGCATTTAAAATTTACGTATCAATGGAAAGGGCAGGCGGGGAAATGCAGGAAGTGAGTAGCGACTTGCGTTGGGACTTGCTTTGCGTGGCCCGAGATGATTCGTATCACAGATAAAAGTTTTCCGGATAGTTAGTTGTTTTGAGTTGAATAAATATATCTTTCGTCCTAAGGATTTATGAATGAGTTCAGGGTTTTTGTCCATATTCCCATGTCCAAAGAAGTCAGTATTTATAACACAATAATAAATTTTTTTTAAAACTAATTTGCAGAATTTGCTAAATCCCCATTTAAGAGTGTTGAACATGGCCTTAAGAGAAGTCTTTCTTTTCATCATACTTGCAGGTTGTATTTTTTGCTGAAAGAGATATATATCCTGGTGAAGAGGTAACGTATGACTACCATTTTAACCATGAAGATGACGGTAAAAAGCTTCCTTGTTTTTGTAAGTCTAAGAATTGTAGACTATATTTAAACTAAGTCTCGAATGTAAAACAAGAAAAACATTCATATTTTTATTTGTCTATAGAAGTTCTATGTACATATGAACAACGACTAACATTTCCTTGGGGTTTTTAACGGTGTGAATTCCTTTTTACCTACATATATAGACTATATAGAAGGGGTTTGATAGGTTAGGGTCGTTGTCTTATAATAACATGGTAAAGAAAATGAAATTCCTAAATAGTTGTGAAGAGAAGAGTTGGACGTAAAGAGAAGCATGAGCTTCAGCCTTCAGTTTTGTGTATCACTATAAGGAATAAAAAGAATCTTGCCCATTATGTGATGGAAAGTTTTTTTTTTTTTTGGCAAGTGACTGATATAAATCAGGTATTGTATGGTGACTATACATTGTAGCATGAGAAACAGAGCACTTTCATCCTCCTTGAAAGTTGAATGGGGTCGTGTATCACAAAGCTAATAGAACTTTGTGTATTGTCCACATTCTTTAAAAAACTTTCTCCTTGTACAATGAACTAGGGTCAAATTCACCCCTGCCTTCCTTCCATAGCTACTGCAGAATTGGCATGTCGAAGCATCGCTAACTTGCTCATAGAACCATTGTCCTGATGAGCAGATGCATTAATTTTCTTTTCAAGCTTCCACAACAAGTACATGGTGCTCCATGCCTCTATTTTCTTCGCCAATGCAAAAGAAAAAAACACAATTCCTACGGCATTGAAAAAACTCAATCACTGATCTACAGTTCTACATTCAACTATTTTAGTTTCGGAAATGGTCTCTTTACACCACAAAAAATATACAGACACACACACACACACATTAAAGCACTAATAACCGTGAGTTTCCTCATTAAATCAAAAAGAGGATGAAAAAAAAATTGTACAAGAGGAGAAATGGAATTCCAAACTCATGTTCCAACTATATTTCTGGAAAAGCCCAATGGTTGGTCAAGCATACAAATACACTATGATTAATACAAAAAGGAAGAGCAAATCAAACCCCATAATTACATGTATGGAAAGCCTACTCATATCTATGTCCCTGGCATTCATCTAATACATTGTTATTTTTCCATTCTGGTCAGTAAGGGAACCCCAGCATTATTTATGTTGATATAGTCAGGAACCCCAATTTGGTATATTAGCTGTTGCTTCATTCACCATTTTCACCAAAGTAACCTGTCATTATCGATCGAAGTTCCGTCACATTATTTTTAATCACTAAATTGAAAAGGAAAGAAAAAAAATGTCCATACTCAAAGAGCAGTTTTGAAGATCCTAATAAAAGTTTCATGTGACCTGATATGCTATTATTACTCAACAACTGTGGAACTCACTAACAATTTTCAATTTACCTAGTAAGCAAACAAACGGTCAAACTTAACATAAACTTTCTTTCTGTTGACATATCTTTATAAACTTTTTCATGTTTTTGAACAAGGACCACAATCAATTGAAATGCAACTAAAAGCATATCAGGATCCCTAGATGAACCACGCTTGTGGACTGTAGAATTTCAGACAATATTATGCACAAGACTTACCACACTATCTGGCACACCAGGAGGAGGCAATGAGAGGTTTCTTGGAGGCCAGATACTGTCATATGATCGCTTGTCAAATCTCCATTCTCCAATCTTCCCATAGGTCAATTTACCCTAATAGATGAATAAGAACATATGATACAGTGTGAGGTGCAATACAAAACAACAACCTTCTAAAGACATCTTTTTATGGGTGGAAGAGAAAGCGTTGCCCAGAAGAAACTTCAACAATGTAATTGCAAACTAAGGAAATTAAACTGGTAACATCAAATACCTCTAGATCATAGTCGCATCCATATGTGTAGTGGATAATGAAGGCTTTGCCTATTTCCGTATCCCATGGAGGCTGCAAAGGTTGGGCGAGAAATGGAAAACCGAGAGAGAAGAAAACAAAGTTTTAGACCATAGAGTCGCACATTTTAATACTTGCTGGAAGTAGCATGTCAGAGAGTGAAAAGCATATATCATGCAACTATTTGTTGATCAAATTACATAAACACTGAGCAAAAAAAAAAACATTAATGCTTGATTTCTGAGCTTTAAATACCAGATTTCGAATAGCTTATTTTATATCGCCTAGAAATCAGGACTGCATGCAACGCATTCAATAAGATAGTACTTTAGTATTTTGCATGAGAAGATCTAATCTGTGAAGCTTTTAGGGTAAAGTTCGAATGAAGGACATTTTCTCAAGTTAACCAGAAGCAGGACAGCAAATATATCCAATGAAAATTCTGACCTAGATTATAATCATTTCTAAGAAAGGAAATCTCAGAGAAAATAGTAAATGGAAAAGTTGTCACCGACCTGAATCATGAACTCTTTGTGTAGTATATTACCCACACCATGAAAGGCCGATGCAACAGCATAAGCATACCTGTACGTACACAAAAATTAGAGGGCAAAATAAAAGATCGGCATGAAATCAGTACGGGTCTGTGTTGCTCACATCTCAAGAACCCAGCCAAAAGCTTTATCTGTTTCAGGATCCTTCTTCATTGCCAAAGAAACATTCATCCAAGTAGGAGCTATCTTCTTCAGTGCCTCCTACAATGTTTTCATATACACACTATCAACTGGACAAAAAGACTTGAGTTTTATCATCATGGAGCAAGGACTAAGCGAATGAATTACCTTTCCCACAATGACAGGGGAGTTCCCAATAGGATCAATATTAGTTATGGGTCCTTTCTGTTCGGGAAAGAAGCGCCGAAGAAGAGACTCGTACTTTTTAGGTTCGATATAGAAGAATGGAAAAGCAGCTCCAAGACCATCTCTAGATAAATTAGGAATTGGTTTGACAATAATGTGATCTGGCTCAGACATTAATATGTAGCTGCAGACCAGGTAAAAATCGTGCATTCAAAATGTCAAATATTTGATAATGCATAATAAAGGTCAAGAAACCCAAACCAAAGATTAAATAACTCAAGTCTGATGCCATACTCTTCCTTGATGTCAGCCTGCTGAAGCCACTGAACAAATGCCCAGGGTCTATTAAGTACTATATACCCCTGCAACGACAATTTATGTAGGGGAAAGCTCCATTAAAATGGACATAGCTTCAGCTAAAAGACCAACAATTGAATCACACAAATTTTGCATTAAAATTTGGCAAGAGATAAGTGGGACATGATGAGAACAAAACCAAAAGCAACCGAGCTTCAAATAAATGCAGAGTTCATACATCAAAATCGAGATTTTTGGAGATGGGATCAGAATAAAGAACACACATTTGTTGTTAAAAGAAGGTAATGATATATTAGAAAGAAGCAAATGCAGAAGAAGGTCAACGGGAGATGAAAATGGTTGGGGAGTACGAGTGGAGCAGGGTGGAGAAAGATAATTAATAGAAATGATATAAATAAACAAAAAGGTTGAAGGAGCTAGGATGGGAAAGAGAACAGTACCTGATCCATGCCGGAAGGGAGAGGTTGAGCAACAAAAGTAGGAATCTCATCCATGAAGTTGTCAGGCTTGCCAGAGTGCAAGATGCGGGTGAAACCCCCCATCTCAGAATTGGGGGAATTCTGGAACTTCTTGAACCAGTAGTACATGACCCTGCACTGCCAAGTGTTGTAGATGGAATCAGAGGCGGTAACAGCGGTATGGAACAGCCTCTTCTTCTGGTACTTGTTCACCCCCGGTGGTGATGATGAGTCAGACTCAGAGGGCATCTTGATGATGGGGTCAACAGAGCCAATAGTCAAAGGGGTGGATGGCTGAGGGAAGCCCTGCTTGAGAGATGCATTGGCTGAAATGATGATGTTGTAAGTGATGAGTGCTGCTGAAAATGCGATCACCACCGTGAAGAACAAATTCCCCCACCCCATTCTCCCCGATTGCCCTCTCTTCTCTTCTTCTTCTTCTGCTTTGTATTCTATGATAGATTCCCCTAAACCCTCTCTAAACACCCTCCTCTAAATAAAGGAGGAAAAAAAAAAAGACTACTCCAGTCCCCTCCCAAGTCCCAACTTCTTCTTACATTACATTCATATAAGGAGGCGAAATGGGGAAGGAGAAGAAGGATTAGGAGGAAATGGGGCAGAGTAGGTGGTGGGTTGACTGCACCTAGTGGCCGCCAGCCATCGTTATTTTATTTTTTTTTTGCTTTAAAATTTATTTCTTAACTATTACTACTAATACTAATACTAGTAGTAGTACTAGTTTACTAGTTTGTTGCATCAGCATCGTTCCTAACCCCTTTCGCTTTTTCAATACACAAATAGTTTGCTCAACAAAGTCAAAACTGTTTGGTTTCGTTGACTTTTTAGCCTCCAGCTGAGTACACATCTCAACCCCGCTTCCAAATTTAACACTCCCTCCTATCCTTAATATAAAGCATTTTGATTTGTCTTAAATTTAATTTAGTACGTATTTTTAATTGAGAAAAAAATTTTAAAATATTTCATAACAATCAAGAGAATACAACAAATGCAAAAATATATTTTTAAAGTTTTTTCGTTAATTAAAAATACATACTATGTAAAATTTAAGATGAAATCAAAATGCTTTATATTAAAGGTCGAAGGGAGTACTAGTGTTACTTTTAACTTCAACGGGATTTTTTTTTTTTAACACAAAACCCGTAATCATTTTGTTAAATTTTAAACTTGGAAAGCTAAACCTAATGCTCACAAATTATAAAGCATTTTAATTTGTCTTAAATTACATCTAATATATTTTTTAATTGAAAATAAAACCTTAAATATATATTTTACATTTATTATATTCTTTCATTAATTATAATAAATATTTTTAAAATATCTTAGAATAAGAACCCGATGATGTTGTATCCTAAAACTGCATAGTCAGAGCTACTTCTATTGATGTGTTAAAAATTACTCCTTCTGTCCCAAAATCATTGTCCAATTTGAGATTTAACTTTTAGTATAATGTGAATTAAAAATGAAAACCCAAATTGAACAATAATTATGTGACAGAGGAAGTAGATAATGGCTTCAGATAAGAAGACAGGATGGAGGGCGTGTTTTATTTTCAAAGTGTAAAAAGGAGGAGGAGGAGAGGGAGTATTTAAAAATTTTACACAATCCATCAGTATCTTTTCTTTAACCCACTCGTATAACGGTACCAGTTACACCACCTCCTTGTGATTATTCATCAACAGTCTTTATGTTTCCCTTTCAATCGCCCCTTTTATGCTCGGGAACCTGTTCCCCCAACGACAGTAACCTGCAGCCACTATTTCATACAGATCAACTTCTTCTCCCTTTCTGCCATCCCCCACCAAACCCTTCCCATATCCAACCAAGCTTTTCCTCATGAGCTGTGACACCTGGTTCACGTCATCCTTACTCACGTCCTTACAACCCAGCAAAGCCTCCTCGGATGTTGAATCCAGAATTACCGCACAAATGCTTGACGCCATCATAATTATTCCGTAGTCGTTTGCTTTCACTGCCCATCCCGCCAGTGCTCCTAACAGTTCGAAAAGAGATGCATCCACCCCATCTGACCGCAACTGTGCCCCATTCAACAAGAAGTTCAACACTGTGTCGCACGCCAGGAACAAGGCACCATCATCCTCAGCCGTTCCACCACCTGGGCTGATCAAAATTCTGAGATATTCAATAACCGCTTCAAATGCCCCAGATGATACGAATAGTTCACATCCATCACTCCTCATGGTTATTTGACAAAGCATTGGAAGCAGAAAGCACGTTGAGTAAAAAGGTCGAACCTCATCTCCCCCTTGAACAGAAAGCATAAAACCAAGAAGCTCTTTGACCTTTTCTCTGCATGCGTCGGGTGTTTCTGCGAGATATCTACCAATTATCCGCACCGAGGCAAGCAGATCATCCCCTCTGTTCTGCCCATGTTCCTTGGCATCTTGTAAATACTCTAACACAACACTGATTGTCTCATTCAGTCCAGATATGATTTTCATCAAGATGCTATCACTTATTGTTACATCTACATCTGACGACTCTTCATCATCACCATACTTCGAAATGAGTTTTATCACAGCCTCAATCAAAGAGTACATGACACCAAGATTTCTACACTTCGATGCCGTGGTTTCAGTGCTTAATGATGCACAACTTTTGGAGGCTTCATCTCTCAAGTATGCTAAATCGTTGAGTAAAACAGATATTTCCACCCGAGAAGTCTCAAAGACAAGCTGGATACACCTGAGACAGGAGAAAAGGAAAAATGTAACACCATTTTCACCAACAAAAATAGAAGCAAGCAATTGCAATTTGTAGATACAGATCATGAAGAAAAAACCTGCTAGCAGGAATAGGATCCATTATGTGCTGTAGTTCTACAGGACCAGTTAACCATTCTTCACCAACAATTGAAATGGCGCATTCAGATAAGAATAGAGCCTGGAGTTTGTCAGCTGGTGCTGCAGATTTAAAAACTCTAGGTTAGCTTCATTCACTAACCTCCTCAGCAACTTATGTAGAATTTCAGATGATGCTTCACATGCATAAACAAATAACAAATAAAATGTTCATACCAACTCGGCTATTCAAGATAGCAACAACACCAGCTCGCATGTTAGTTGACCAGACAGTAGAATCCATAGACCGAAGAGCTTCGCGAACTGGTACCTATGACGAGCAAAAGAAGTGTTAAAAACAAATTCTACAGATCATTTATTCAGAAGACTATAGCTGTCAAAACTAGTGCAGTTAAAAAGCAGTCACAGTGGCTTAATAACATTGATAGAATAGAATGCCAGTGACATATATAATCAACTGTTGAAAGAATCAAAGACCTAGATTCCACACTCTGTTTGAGTATGAAATTATGTCATGTCAAACAAGGGTATGACAAAAGAACTAAAAGGCGAAAGTAAAAGAATATGGGGAATACTGAATATTGTGAGGATAGGATGACTGATAGAAGATGAAGGGCTTTAAATTTGAGATCAGAATGCAGCAAACCAAATCTCCGTGCAGCTTCCACAACCTGCAATCATAGAGAGAAGACAACACATCAACGAAACAGAATGAGCTAATAAACACCAATTTGCAGACACCAAAAATACAGAGAAACTAAAACTTTATACCGACCAACATTGCCAGCTCTGACGGATATTGGACATAAATTTCCCCAGCTGGCAACTTGCTTATCATGAGCTGAACAAGTTCCATCGCGTATTTTACGACATTTGTACCTGATAAGAAAAATCATTTCAATTCATTCTTCCATATATGATGTACTGCAGCACACAGAATCAGAACATGGCCATAAATTCTGTGACGAATGGATGAAGAAGTAGATCATTTAATCATTACAGCCTCACAAACTACTTAGTATGTGTTACGCTAGTAAACAAACCAGTTGGAGGAAAAGGCAGAGATTACTTGCCATCTGGCAGAGAGGGCATCTGAGAAGCAAACAGTTGGATCCCTCCAGATTCATATAGTCCCCTGATGCCATCTTCTTGAGCATTTGCCACCAAATATAAGAACTCATAACAATCTTCAATAATAGATGAGGCTGATCTGTATGTATAAAACAAAACTCAAAGTTGTAGAAAGCAAAAAATAAAAAATAAATAAAATAAAAACAAAATAACAGGAATGATGTTACATTAGCAAAAATAAAAACTCGATGCAAATCATTAGATAACCACTCTAAAGATTCATCACTCTGTATTCAGCATCTAAAAGCTAAATCGACGGGAAGAAAGATGCATTTATAACCATTGAAATAACCATTCACTAACAACCACAGACTCTGTTATCCATGATCAGATACTAGATGGAATGAATTTCAAAGAAACTGCTGCTGAAAAACACAGATGATATAAATTCCCGTTAGTAAATAATACACATGGTGACAATATCATGCCAACTTCAAATATGGACTACGGTGGCATTCATTCAAAAAAGATCACAATAACACCTTAACCCTACCACAGAAGATGAAAACATACCCTTTAGAGAGAATCTGAAGCAAAAGAGGGATGAAGGGAAGCATTTGTGCAGAAGACGCAATTTGAGGAACTCTGCAGAATGCAGCAAGTATAGTAACTGATAGCTCCAAGTAAGCATCAACGTCCCTACCTCCATCTTCTTCTTCTCCTCCTCCTCCTCCACCTCCTTTACCCAAACCTAGCAGAATGAAACTCAGACCTCAGATATAATGGCAAGTTAGGGATGGGAGAGTGCGGCCCCATCCACTCAACTATAGATAGACCAAAAAAAAACAAAAAAAAAAATCAGCTTCACATATGATTTTTATCCCATTAAAAGACACGCAGACGAAGCCTAAGCTCGGGGCCGCCAATTTGATTACAAGAATCATATTAAGATAAAGGTTCAAATTAGGGTTTAATATCGCAAATTCCAGTTGTGATTTCGCCGTAATTAAACAATTGAGACAATTAAGAATGAAATGAGAGAGATAAGGGGGAGAGGAAAAAGCACCAGTGCGCAGTAGACGTAGAAGGAACTGAGGGCCGACGGCCTGGTACACTCGGAGGATGCCAGAATGGTCATCTTTGTTGCAGACTTTAGTAACTAAAAGTAAACCAGCAAGTCTCTGGGAGTCGCTTTCTCCTCGGAGTAGTTTTAAGCAATCCTCCAAAAACGCAGGAGACGGAGCTTGTTTGGCCGATGATGATGACGGTACGCCGGAGGAACTCTCTGTTTCCTAGTAGTAGTACATTATTTAGGGGAAAAAACAAAAATTAATCAATAATTGAATTTTACGATACAGGAAGGCAATCGATAAATGGAAATCAAAAAAAAAAAAAAAATCAAGAAGAAAGAAAACAAAACATGCCATTGCGGGTGTGAACTGTGAAGTCGCCGGGGACTTCCAGAGAGTTGGGGAAGGAAGGCGGAGGGAGGGATTCAAAATACTGTAAATGGGCGGTTCTCGGATCAAATTGTTTACTTCTTCAATCTTTCATTCGAAAGTAGGCCGTGTGGCCCGTTAGTCACTTTACTTTACACGAATATTTTCAGTTCGGCTCTAAAGGGCCCAATATCCATACATACTCAACGTTTAAGAAAATAAGTAGTATTAAAAAAAAATCCTTTAAAAGGCAATTCAATTATTAGAAATGTCCTCTACTAACTAAAAATTGATGCATACAAACAAATTCAGCCAAAAAATGTTTGTACTTGAATTTTTTCAAACTGTAATAAAATCAAATATCTATTTCAAAATCTAAAATGTAACTTTCAGGAGCTCGTAAAAAAGTGAATTTTGGGTTTTGAATTAGAGATGTATTCGTTTAGAGTTTAAAAAAAAATCACAGAGAGTTTCTTGAGATGTTTTAGATAATCAGTTGAAGCTTGAGGTTTTTTCTTAGAGTTTAAAAAAAAGAATTTAAAAAAATCACATAGAGTTTCTTAAGATGTTTTAGATAATCAGTTGAAGCTTGAGGTTGTTTCTTATATTAGCCCTAAATAATATGAACCATTGTTGGAAAACAAAACTAGCATCCTATAAAGCCCTAAAGATATTACTCCCTCTATTCTAAAATTATTCTCCAGTTTTGATTTTCAATTTGTACTAAAAAAATGAAAATCTAAACGGAACAATAATTTCGAGATGGTTTGAAAATAATACATACAATTTATAATATGAACCATTTGTTGAGGCGGAAGGAATAGAATCAGCAACATATATAGTGTAACTATTACATAACACCTCAGCGTTGATATTTTTGATTTATGATTTATAATTCTATAAAACATGTACGTTTAGTTTTAGATGAATAGATATATTGTTAAACTGTATTACCCATTGTTCTAAAAAAAATAATCTATTCAGGTAGGTTGATCGTTAAACAAAAGGAGCCATATTTTTTGGTACGAGGTCGACTTCAAAAAATAGATTTTTATAAATAACAATTTCTTTTCCTTTTTGGGGACAAAAAAAAGGAGAAGAAGAAGAAGGAATAAAGAAAGAAGGCAGGGGCGTGAATGTAGGGGTGAACTGTGAAGGGAAGTCCAGCTCGGGGATGAAATGAAGTTTCCATTAATTTGTTGGGGTTTAGGCGGAAATGAACCGAACAAATGGAAAATGGAAAGGAAAGCTTCCCGAAATTCGCTTTCATTCATTGCATTGGTTAACATTTACGTACTCTGTAAAGTTGAAACTAAATTCAAGGAAAACGCCCCACCTCCTCCTCCTTCTTCTTCTTCTTCTTTCTTTCTTGCTTTCTATATATGTATATATATGGGAGAACAGCTAGCTAGCTAGCTCGATCAACCATTTTGTTTTCCGTTGTAGTTTGTTTTTTTAACAATTATTATACACCTGCAGGCCACCTTGCTTCCTTGCTTGCTTGTGTTTTGGGGTAATCAGGCTGATAATTATTATCAATCAACCCAATTAAGGGGCCGGTCGGGCTTTCAGATCATCTACGTATAATCCGGAAATAAGAATGATGATGGAGGAATACGAGTCATTATCTTTGAGGGCAAGGCGGAAGAAGCCCTCCGTATGCCTGTCTTGTTGCTTCAATCCCGGTTACCACCAACGGGCTGACTCCTTTGATGCCGCCTCATCCTCCGTCATGCCCAGCCCCTCCAACCACCGCCTCTCACCTTCTTCCCTCAAAGGGAGGTACGTAACCACATATGTATTCCCTTCCCAAGTTGAATACTCACTCCTGTTTTTGTGTTTCTGTACCTTACCCTTTGGAAATTCGCATGTGTCTTAGTTAACATTAATGAGATCGATGAATGAACCCTCTGTAAATTTTAATTTGGTTTTCGCAGGTGCAAGAATTTGATGTCTCGAATGGGTCGGCACAGGCGGCATTCATCAGCCGATTTCAGCTATGATCCCCTCAGCTACTCCCTTAATTTCCAAGACAATGACGACCCTAGTTCTGACCACTATGATCATGACTTCCCTGTCAGGAGCTTTGCGTCACGCCTACCTTTGTCCCCTCCCGGTTCCAGGAGGAACCCCATCACCTTGATACCACCCTGCTCTACCACCATCCGGAACTCACCTATTATGGTTAGGCCAGCTAGTCAGCTCGGAGTAACCTCCTCCTCCCAGGCTGCCGCCGTTGCTGAGGTGAGAAAGAGCTTGGAGGAGGAAGACCACCATGTTGACCAGGAGCATCCCCCTACACTGCAACCATGGGATAATAAGTTGGAGGAAATGAGGAGCCTTGACCTACCAAAAACCCCTCGCAAGCTCCATACTAGCATAGCCATTGACGCTGCAGACATGTCATCATCCACTGCTGCTGGAAGGAGGAATATCAACTTGTTAACACCCACAAGGATGGCACCACCGGATATTGTGAGAAGAAGCTATGAATATGACCAGTATGAGGATGTATCCCCCGCCCTGGTGGTTTCCCCCACTCGACGCCAAGTCTTGGTTGAATTGTGCTGATTTTGATGTGGCTGTGTTTTGTTTGTACGAAAGGCGTTGGTTTATGCGGGTTTTTTTGGACAACAGCTGATCATTCTGCATTTTTCAGACACTTTTTACAATCTCATTACTGAGTAAGTTGTGTTAGTACGTCTTACCTCTGTAATAAAAGAAGTGCCAAGTGAAACGTTCTCCATACCGACTTTATGTATTTCCAGGTAGGCCGCAGCATCTGTTTCTGCAATGTTTTCTGGTTCCAAGTTTAATTCGAGAAAAAGAGTTCTGTATTTGGTACAAAATAAGACTTCTTAATAAATGTCTCTCTATACATGTAATACTCAAATATCTAAACTGGCAATGCCACCATCCATGCACATACATTCATTATTGCACATTGACATTCTGCAATATGGTTTGGTTCTATATTACATGATAAATTCCTTAAGACAGACAATATACAACAGTGATGTGAAAATTTTCAGTCTGGGGTACAAATAAATCAGGTTTTCAAATAAATAATAATATAATAAGAATACAGATCTGGAGTGCTACCTTGAAGACTGAATCTCCAAATTATGGCCCTGTCTCTGCCAGCGAGAGAGGATTTGCTCTAGTTATTCAAGTGTATAAACCCTGTGCCGTATGCAACACATTATCACAAATTGGAAAAGCTTCAAATGATGTATAGTGCCAACTGCCAAGGATGTTCAGTTCTGTTCACACATGACGATCAGTCCATGAGTCATTACATGTCTTGCTTTTTGGTCATCTACATAGCAAGTATATATAAATATATATAAGCCTCGATTGCTGGTAATTTGTCATCTCCTCACATTATTGGTGTTCGCTGTTCCAATACTTTCAGTTTCAGCACAGTTACCTGTACAGTATTCTTATTACCAATAATTTCGCCAGACTGCAAGCAACTTCAAGCCTCTCTTGATTACGTCGTCCATTTTACTTAAATGTGATGATCGCAGCTAGCTCTTTTCATCTGTATTTCACATAGATTCATCCCAATATGTTTGAGGAATCAAACACTCAAAAGTTAAAACTACTTTAATTTGCATACTACTTTGTACCTTTTACGTTTGCTCTTCAAGGTAGTGGAAGATGAAGGATTACTGTGCCAGTTCCTCTTTCTCTGGTTGATGAACCAATTATTTATCTGCTTTAGTTGCAACCCTGTTTCCTGAACCAATCTTGCCTTGTCTTCTTCCTGCGAAAACAACATCCGTGTTCTAAGTTGGAGAGTTCAGCTAAAAAGGTGCAAATTATAAGTTCATTAGGAAATTAGGATAATACAGTTCCACTAAACCGCCATACCAAACCACCCCCAATTCTTTTAAATATCTGAAAAGTGAGATAGTGAATCACATGAATTGAAGTTTTAAACATTACCGTAGGGTATGGCCACTTTGAATGGGATTGCCACCAAGCTTTTAAGACGGAAGTGGTATCGCCAGGGAGTTTTCCAGCCCTCCTTTTTCTCAAAATCTCCTCCCTAATATCCACAATTTTTTCCTTATAACCCTGTCAACAAGAAGAGAGATCAATTCGAAACAAAATGCCAAAGTATGAAGAGCTCACAAACGTCAAAGTGTGAATAGCTAGCAGCAGGGCCCACCTACTTTAAGAATGATATAATCAAGTTTTTATCCATAAACTAGTCAAGATCAGCATGCCTAAGTAGCGTAGGAAATAAAAATTAGTCTTCAAACGAGTACCTGCTTTAGTTCGTGTTTCAGTTCTTGTCTCACCCTCTCCATCAATGACCTCTCGCTCTCTGTTGGCACCAAAGGTCCGAAACCCATGCTATCGGGGCCATCCATACTTCCATCAAACAAGTTCCCATCACTGTCCGCCTGATCGTCATCATCATCGGACATTGTTGCCCCCGTCCCTTCTCCCGGGGAAACGCCTGTATTTATCAGTTTCAATGTAAAAGTGCCGTTAGCACCACCATTTTGACCTAAAAGGTTGAAGATTATTTGTAGCCCGGAATATGTTAATGAAATGCCGGGTCAAAAAGGGAAGTTGATGCATTGTATCCTTTCTATACTTTGAAACTCAATAAGAGCTGACCCTAAGCACAGTTTAGAGACTAAAATGGTTAATATCTGAAAATGTTAGGAACCCCTTGTTATACAGCCGTTAAAAATATGAAGTGACAATGACTTCCATTTATCATTGTTAAAAGCAGAACTCTCTTCAAAAACTCATGGGGTTTGAAACTGAATGTTTTAATCAAGAGTTGGGAAACAAAGAAAAATGAGATGCAGGAAATTGTTGTTCTTCCCAAAATGCAAGAAAACACTAGACTGAACAACATGATCATCTTATGAATCAAAAGTACATCGGTCATACTTCAAAAGGACCATTAACTAGAATCTTTTGTCACAAGTTCCATCTGTGGAAATAGTCTGTTATACATATGACCTAGTTGAGGTGGCATCTTACATTACCTATAATGGTATAGCTACCTTTTCTATCTTATGGACAGGGAAGCCAATTTTCTCAAGCAACAGACTCGTCAAGAGAAAGGCTTTCATAAACAAAAGAGAGTAGTCCTCTTTAAAAAAAAATAAATAATAAGCCAGAAATTGATCACCCAATAATTTTTCTTTTTTTCTTCCCGGAAAAAAAAAAGAGAAAAAGAAAAAGATAACCGTCATCAATCCTCATGACCTGTTAAAGATTGCAAGGATTGTTCAATTTCCCAGCAAGCCATGACTGCTTCCATTGCATGAACTCTCACATGTTGTTGCAGTTGATCCTTGAATGAACACAGCAACAGCACATAATGTGTCTACAACCAAAAAAATAAAATGAAATAAAATAGTTAGTTGTTAGAGACTGAAATGGTAAAACATTCTCGACAAAATCAGTTTGTTCTAATTAGCTGGTACTCTGTGAATTATATATAATTCATATTTCTTCCTGGGAAACATTCAAAAAATGAACTCAGTTGTAAATGTCAAAAGAATAAACAATTTTACTCGAAAATTCCTTGAGCTGGGTTGAGTGCTTGAATTTTGGTGAGAGGTTGAATGCAAAAAAAGATTTACCATGAATTGGTCAAGCTCTTTGTGGTCACCTAAATGAATGGGCTGGGGTTGTCCTCCGGCGAGAGCAGAGTATTTGGCGACAAGGTGGTGGGATTGAGCCAGCTGAGCATCGATTCTGGGAAGCTGATCCACCGGGGTAGCAATTCTGAGGCAGGCCACGTGTGCAGATAACAACTGTTCGTACAGAGGGTGTCCCAGAACCTCGGCTTTCCACCGTGCACTCTGCCAATTGAAAGCAGCTCCTCCTCCGCCAGCAGCCGGCGGCACTTGGCCGACCTCGGAAGACAATTCTTCGGTATTTGTGACGGTGGCACTGTGGTTGAAATCGTCGGCGGCGGCGGCGGCGGCAGCTAGGACGGAGTCATCGTTAGAGGAGAGCTGGTGGGCATCCTCTGGGGGAGCTGGGTTCCTGGTGAAAATGGACCGGGAAAGCCACTGATGAGTGGCGGAGGAGGAGTTGTCGGCGGGGGAGGGGTTGGAGTGCAAATTGAGGAAGTTAGCGTCGGCGGCGGCGGTGGTGGGGGTGGTGGTGGAGGGGTGACGGAGAATGGCGCTGTTAAGCCAGGTAGGTGGGGAGGAGTGTTGTTGAGGAGGGGGAGAATTCACATGATGATGATCAGAAGAGGAGGAAGAGGGAGGAATGAGGACGGAAGAGGAGTCGTCGGGCTCCGGCAATGACTGGTGGTGGTCGGAGAAATGCGGTTGCAAAGCCATATCTTGGGATAAACCGTTGGGGAAGGCCATCGCTATATACTTGTTGTATATATAATTGTGTGTGGTACCAAAAAAAAAAAAAAAGGAGGGGAGGGACAGTTGTGGTGGTGTATCAAAATTGGGAATTAATTCTATCCAAAAAATAAAAAATAAAAAAATATGCTAGTAGTAACTAGAAAGACTTTGTAGGGGGCTGCAGATATTGGGAAAGAGATTGGAATTAAAAGAGGGAGAGACGGAGATGATGATACTGGATATTGATTGGGATAAGTAATTAACTGAGCTACCTGGGATTGGGAAATTCAGGGATTGATTCGTTAGACTTAGGAAGACTTATAGGAAGAAAGGGACACAGGGAGTGGAGGAGGAGGAGGAGGTGCCGCCATGAAACAGAGGAAGAAGAAGAAGAAGAAGGGGAGTTATTATCATCATATTCATCATCGACTCACCCCCAACCCCCCCCTTTCAAAAAAAATCATTCCCCAGTTTTTCCCAAAAATCACACTTCTTTGTGTTGTCTGATGGTACTATTACTACCTCCTACTACTATGTTATTACTGGGTTTTGGATACTAATTGCTTATACGTGTGTTTGCGCGCGCGTGACTGATAAACATTTTTCACCACCCACATAAATATTGTCACCCGTCTTAAAACAAATGAAATCCCTTCCCAAGTTACGTTTCCAGCTTTTCTTTTTAAGATTCAATTTCAACTAATGGTGTGTTTTCCTTTTTTTCCCCCTCCCCCGAGTGAATCCGGTAGTTTGAGTTTATTGATTGTCATTCTATTTCTTCTTTTTTTTTTTCAAACTAAGTGCTATATTACATAATTCATTTGCAAGCAGTTTTTTTTTTTTACTTAAATACAATAAATCAATAATTAGGATAACCTCAACTAATCCTATTAAAATAAATACTTCCTCGGTTCATAAATTATTGTTCAGTTTAAATTTTCATTTTTAATACATAATGGATTAAACGTAAAAATACAAACTAGACAATAATTTTGGAATTGATAGAATACTTGTCCATAATATTATTTCTTTTGAGCGTAAGTTTGAAAACTTTAGATAAAAAGTAAATTGGAATGGAAAATATCACACTTATTTTAAAATTTCTCTATTTTATTAAAATGATACTTATTTTAGAATGAAATGAGTATTATATCACTTGGGTGAGTGATTTTAAATGTGTAATTTTTTTTACTAAGAACTATGATTTTTTAAAATCAACAAACTGTATTTTTTCATGCATTGTTTGGAATGTTTATTAAATCAATGGTTTTTTTTTTTACTGAGAATACCAACCAAAAAAAGTGTGTTGGAAATGATAACAATATATTTGGATGATGTTTTTAAATGAGAGATATTTTACCAAGAAGACCAAAAGAAAAAGTGTATTGGAAATGACAATAAATATACTTGGGTGATGAATTTAATTATAAATTCCGGAAAAATGTACACAGCTTTTTAGAGGTGATATTATTTTTCATTTTATTTTTTTTAAATAGATCAAGAGTAGCTCCCCACTTACCCCAGCATGGTTTCAGCCCACGACCTATTGGAAACAAGGAAAACGTCTTATCACTAGATGTGATATTAGTAGTTTGGAATGAACCTATGGACACCATGTCCAACACATTTCAACATGGAGAGATTGTTCAAAGTGCTTCGCCACCTAATATGTGTTGATTAGGAGTGTTCAACCAACCGGTTAGCCGATTTACCCGTTAATCGGTTTCATTTAATTTTATTTTTGTGATTTTTGGATAAAACTGATTAACCAGTCGATTAAGTAATCGCTTTTATGATTTCCGTTTATCAAATTTTGGTTTAATTATCGGTTTCTACCGATTGAATCGATAATATTTGTCATATTTTTTTTCGAACAAAATGTAATTGATGTTTAGCCAACCTTCTAAATTTTTTGTATTCTAATTATATAGTTCATATCATATTTTAGACCCATCAAATAATGAAACTCTTTTTTAAAGTTTAAATCTACAATAAAAATAATTAAAACCTTTCTTTTTTTATAATAGTCTATTCAACCAAAAAAGATGTTATTACAATAAAATTTTTAGTGAAATAATTTGAAAAAAATGAAAAATATTAATGATATAGAAATATAAGACACATAAAATATTTATAGATTTATAAATTTTAATTACTATAATCGATTATTCGGTTTAACCGAAAAAAGGCATAAACAAAACCGAAAATCGAACCAATTAACCGATAAAAAACCGTTTAACCGGGATCTGTTAACCGATTTTTCAGTTAATCGGCTCGGTTTTATGTCAGTTTTTGGTTCGGTTAATCGGTATCGGTTTTTTTGAACACCCTAGTGTCGAGACATTCAACAATATTCATAAGAATTAAGGAGAAAAAGGAGAAAAATAGTATCCAAATTTAATTAAACCACTATGACCTAATCTTAGAATAAAAAGTGGGAATCTTTCTAGTTATATTGGCATAGAATTCTCTGTGACACTATCGCGTAACACAATCCAATTACTTCTTATAACTTATATAATTCGTGTTAATACAACTAATCTTTTAAATGTTTAAAATTAAGTCCATTGGTGAGGTAATAAGAGGAATGATTTGATATAAGACCGCGTTATTTATTTGTTTTACAATATTTTTGTGTATACCTCTGAAGTTCGTTTTGTTTTTAGTTCAACAAAAAAATATTAAAACAACTTCAACTGAGACACAAAATTTGGTGTAGACTGTAGAGTTTGCCCTCCCATGAAAAATAATAAATTAGTATGTCATTTCAGTGAAATGAATAATGTGAAATCAAATTTGGTGTAAAGTGTAAACTGTATATAGTATTATCTCTGTGTACTTTCTTTTTACTTTGAAATAGATACATGGTTTTTTTTTACAAAATAGATTATGTTATGAAAGTTACGTCATATTGAACATATTGTCAAAATTTTCGAAATAAGACCTAGAGGGACGCTAATATTTATTTACTTTTACTTAAGAAAAAAATAGAAAAAAAACTAGAGGAGCAAATGAAATTGTTGGGTGCAAATTATCCCCTTTTTTTTTTACCAAAAATCTAAGTGTCAAACTTTTCTACAAAATCTCCCCCCCTAAACCCAAAAAACAATAACCCGGTATAACTTATCCCAAAAAAAGGACTAAAATTTTTCTGTAAAACTGTTTTTAATTTAACCAAAAAAAAAAAAAAAGAGCTCGTAACTAACCCCAACAAAATATATTTAACCCTTATATTCATGATTTCAACAGTTAAATTTTCAACTAAACTATGATTATGTTCTCAGATAAACTTCTAAAATCTATAATCTATAATTTATCTATAATTAATTTATCGATAAGCCATCTATAACCCTCATTATAGCAAAAACCATTTCATTTTTTGTCCAAAAATCCAGGTGTCAAAATGTCCTAAAAAATCTACCCACCCAAATCTAAAGAATTTAGTATGGTTTAATTTATCCTAAAAAAAAAGGCTGGTAGTTATACTTATCCAAAAAAAGACAATACAAAAAAAACTTTGTATTTAACATTCAAATCCATTACTTCAAGAGTTAAATAAATTATAATTCTCTATTCTCAAATAAAACCCAAATATTAGAAGTAACACAATAAGAGTATTTATTGTATGGAATTTAAAAAATTTACAATTTCAATATTTTTTAAACTGTGCAGCCACTACAAGTGATGCAATGGAGGGAAAACGACTAAAATGAAAGAGAAAGACATAACACTCTTTGTAAATGTCACACAAAGATCTTTTATTATTACACTTTAAAAGTTGTTGTCAATCTTAGTGGTACAAAATTATAATTCAACATTTCAAATTTATTATGTGTTATATTGACGAATTAAAATTATAATTTAAAATGTGTTAAAAGAAACAAAAAATATTAGTCATTTTATATACCCGTATCGAACAGGTCTATAACCTAGTAGATTTTTATTGGTAAGATATAAATACGTAGCCCGTTTTCCACCACTCGGGGGAGTAGACTCAGGCGGGGACACGTGGCCGCATAAGAAGAGAGGACCACTGGGGGACCACGCCAAGCACGCGAGGTAGAAGCAAACAGCCAATCAGAAGCGACCAATTCAACACCCTAATGAGATTTCAAAAAAGGCTTTAATACTAATTACATTTTGAGTTTTGACTTTTGTGATCCAGGTCCAGTTTTTTTTTTTTTGGCTTGGCTGCCCCGATCATCAAACCCAGGGTCCCATTATTTGTAGGGTGTCCACTGTGAGTAACAATGACTAAACTCCTTTGCTGAATTGTAGGTATCTCGATAGGTGGATAGCTGGCCAAAAAATTACTACAGTACATTAAAATTTTCAATTTATATAATAATAATCTACATTGAGTATCAAAAGCTACTATCTCTATGCTCTCCCGAATATAATAGTAATATGATGAGATGGGAAGGGAAACCAAAAAAATCACAAGTTTTGTTTTGAAAAGTCAAATTGTGAAAATGGTCCCCTACAGTCCTACACTAGTAAGTAGCAAAGCCAAAACTATTTGTTTTTTAATGAGGTTGCGTTGCGTGTGGGATGGATGATGATAATGTACATGGTCCCCAACCCCCCTCTGTTACGGTAACAGTAGTACTAGTATTATTAGCACCCCCAACATCTTTTTTTTTTTTATACTACCATCTAATATATACCCGTCCCTCAGTATATTAGTGTTTTCTAATTCGTCAATGGATTCTCCTAAAATATCACTATTTTTTTATATGTTAATTTTAGAGCATCTGTAACGTTTTGTGCCATTATTAAAAAAATATCAGATCAACATTTTACGCTATTACATTTTTTTTTAACCCTACATCAGTTTATGCTGTTAAATTGTACTAAAAACGAAATGTACATCAATTTACACTGATTTACTTAACTTATCACAAAACTAACATCGGAATTGTGTAAGAATTCTTACATTAGTTAATATTATTATACTTTTCGTCTATATAATAATTACGAAGAATGTAACTAAATGGTAATTATAACTCGCTATTTATCACCAAACATTAAAATACTATTGAAATAAGAAAATAAATAAGATGATTATTAAATAAAACAATACTCCTTCTGATCCTAATTATATGACATAAATTTGAATTAAATTTGTGCTTTAAAATTAAGACCAGAGGGGGTAATATATATATATGTATGTATATATTTTTAAAGAAGGGTATTCTTATTTACTAATGGTTGAGGGGAGATGAGTGAAAAATGGGATGTTTAGAAATTCTGTTGGATGGAAAGTTGGTTGAAGCCTTGAAGGGATAAGATCGGCCGGCCGGCCGGCTGGCTGGGGGGGGGAGAGGAAGAAACTTCCAATTTTGGTAATTTTGCAGTATGTCAACTGCTCCCTCTCTCTATGATTCTATATACAGGAATCACCACTTTGGTTTTTCAATTATTTTATTTTTTTTTGCTTTAATTGTATTTTTGTGGGCTTTACCCCAAAATTAGGCTTTGTTGGATGGACCACAATTGCACCCATTTCCTACGAATTCATTCCGAACCTTTCTTTCAAGTTTTTTTTTGGACTGGAGTGTGGACCACTTTCTTTCATTTTGTCATCCCCCCAATATACTGTACAGCAACACATCTCTCTCTCTCTCTCTCTCTCTCTCTCTCTCTCTCTCTCTCTTCCAAATCCATACTGCCGCTGTTTGTGGGTAGCAAACTTCCCATCCTTTTTTTCTTCCATCAAAGGATGATTTAGTGTGCTTCCATATTTGTTGTTATTATCATTATCCTTTCTATAATGACTTCTTAGATGCTCTCTCCTATGCCATAATTTCCTTCGGAAGAAAACCAATTTTTTTTATACTTTTTTTTTCAGAAAAAAATAAAAAATAAAAAGAGTTCAATTTCTTAAAAAGTTAAAAATCCTTGAATACACAATTAATGTAATATTGGATGAAACAGATGCAATGTAACACCTAGTATCCCCGTGTTATGTGATCGCTGAGTGAAACACTCAAAATACAATTCTTTTTTTTTTCTTGGTACAACAAAGAAAACAAAACACACTCTATTGATTAAACATATTCATTACATCGTATTTTAACTTTCATTACAGCTTGATTGTTACCTAGATGTCCAGATCCCATGCTCCTTTGAATCTCATAATTCAACTTAAATTTACAAAGAATCGTTTACGGCTAATTTGGATGTACCAAACAAAATAATAAAAAATAGGAGTAAAATTTTGAATGTTATTAGTATTGGTAGTTGGTTAAAAAAAAAAAATCAGTCGAAGAGAAGAATTATTTACAATATAATATACACATTTGTGGAATTGTGTCACAAAATGTGTACTGCTATGAAAGAAACATTAGCCTGAGGAGCTGTCAGTTTGATAAATTGAGAAAGAAGAGATTTGGGCTATAGAAACTCAGCCCAAGGCACAAAGCGGGCTTTTAGTCTTCAGTGACCCGCATCACCGACCCATATTTATATATCTCTTAGTTTTAAACCCTAACCTGAAAAACCCTTCCCACCCACCATCGGACAATCGGTTCCTCTCTCTCTGTCTGTGTCTCTCTCTGAGCTGCCTCTCAGGTATTCTTTTGATTTTATAATTAATGTTCTTGGTTAACTTTGGTAACTGATACTAATTCATTCAATCTGAAAAAAGTCTTGAATCCTTTACTCGTTTTGGTGGTGGTTGGGGGCAGGTACCAGATCGGCGAGAATTCTAAAGCAGGAAGGATGTACCTTCAAGTTTATATCAACGAAAATGGAGATAAAGTTTACACCACCAAGGTCATCATCCTTCCATTCCGTTATTGTTATAAATATTTTTATTTTTTCAATGGACTAATTTTTAGAATATGTATGTTGGTTCGTTCTGGACTCCTTGGTTTTGTTTGAAATCAAGCTTTATGGCTTTAATACCTAAACTTTATCTTTTTATATATTTCTTACCTGCATCAAACTGTCCCTATTTGTTTATACTGTATCACTGGGATGATTTCCTACCCTTTGACTGCGGATGTGTAGATGAAATTGGATTCGGTTTTTTTTTTTCCCCTTTCAAACTCTGAAGATTTTTTTTTCTTTCTTATTATTATCTAAACCCTCCTAAATGTACCCCTATGGATTTTTGTTTGTAGGTATTTTGTTGATGTTTCTGGATGCTACATTTTTTTTTTAGGGCTGTACAAATGATTCCCATGGCTTCTTGTTTTTGGCTAGAAATAATATTATCCCTGAGTCCATTAACTGCAACTATTAAGTATGACTCCTCCTCATTCTCTACTTGTGGTCTAATATTTGTGCTCGGCGACTTGGTCAATGTTCTATCAAGTCTTCCTTGTGTTCCACTATACTTTGATTCTTTCTTTATCCTTTTACTTTTTTGGGGTCAATTATTGAAGAAGGTTGCCCTTCAGCTGAAACATATGTTGTTCTGTGTCTGCCTCTTAGCAAAATCTTAATGAATACTGCTGTTGTCCTCTCTTGCAGAAAGAATCTCCACTCGGTTTGCCTACCCAATCCGCGCATCCAGGTAATCAACTTTGTCACTACTCTCAATTGTATTAAAAAGCTAATCATGATATATATGGTAGCGAAGTTAAGGTTTCTTGTATTTGCCCTCTGGTGGCAGCAATTTAAAGCTTAGAAGGACTAGAAGATTTAAAGTAGTCATTAAGCTTTAAAATGGTTTGTAGTGAATAGTTGTTAAGTTGATTTAAATTGGTCTCAATGGTTTTTGATTCTGTCACCTTTGAAATGATGCCTTACGAAAGGGCACACATTACAGTCACCATCTTGTTATTTTTCACTTCGTTTCATGATGTTGGTCACTTCGATCTATGCAGCTCGTTTCTCGCCAGATGATAAGTATTCAAGGCAAAGGGTGCTTCTGAAAAAGAGATTTGGTTTGCTCCCTACTCAAAAGGCGCCACCAAAATATTGATCACAATGCCTATATTGTATTATTATGCAAGGGAATTATACCGTTGTTAGTTAAACCTTCTCCTTTATGTGACTTGACATTTTTGGAATCCTAGTTAAACCGCATTAAGCCTTTTACGTTGTTTTTTTTTTTAAAAAAAAAAAAAATTCCTGAAACCTGTAGACATGGCGAGGTCCATAATTATTGTTGTTACTATTTTTTTTGGGTAAAATAATTAAAAGAATAAAAACCATGGGCAATTGATCAATCAGCCGGAAAAGAAAAAAAGTGATGAAAATGGACAAAAAGAAAGGACAGGAGAAGGGCAATTAATTAACCCCCAGAATGTATGATTCGAACTGGCTTGCAACCGAGTGAAACTTAAAGCAGGAAACAATTATTCTCAAAATGAATTTATTATCATCACCCAGAAAACATCCTTCACTGGCTAAAGAACAACTGAAAAATACACCTGCTGAAATTATACAACAAATGCGTGACTGGGTGCTTTTGAGTTTTGAAATGGTTGATTTTCCATCATTCAAACTTTGGTATCCACCCATAACATTTGGGAACCATATCACAGGGTTCCACTCACTTCCACATGAAAGGGAGGGCCACGACAGAAAATTGGCTCATCCGGTCCGTTACACTTTGCACGAGCACGCAGAATTTCATTAGCATCATCAATCACAGCAGCAGCTAACAATGTATATTCACCCGGTACTAGAAAATAGAGGGAGAAAGAATGCTTCACTTCCTCAAGTGGGGGTAATTCCATCTTGATGCCGCTCAACACACCTACAGATGAAAGCCGTCCGAAAAACAAGAAAGAAGAAAGGATTTAAATCTTCGTTCATTCAAGTAAAATATATCTCATCTATGACACACGGCATGTTAGATGAAAACTTGTCCGGTACAGCATAATCATCAGGGTAGGAAACAGATAAAGCTTAATTGACACGACACGACATACTTGATATTCAGTTTAGCAATGTTTGGCATGAGAAACTAACATGGAAAACAACATTTTCATAGTAATAGACACAAACATTAACAACATAAAAGTCGTAAAAATCAGTTACATAAACCTAACCTCAGCATTAGAATAATGATACACCGACATAAAAATTTCTAAACTCACAGAATCATAAAAATTAATATACCAAATTAACGATGGTGAAAATCCTTAAGATGCTACTAGCTCAATGTGTCACATTAGGGGTCAATGCCACCAGGAGAAAACAAATACTCCATATAACCGACATACACATCAACAAGAGCCAATTTTAGCCATACCATCTAATGACACACATATACAAATAGCATGCGCTTATGGGGGGGAAAAAAAATTCAGGAAAAGTACCTGTCCATAACACAGTAGCTTTCTCACCCTCGAAACAGTTGTCACCAGCTACATCTCTGCACGTGATGCTAAGACTAATTCGTACACTTTCTTTTGTATTGTTCCGGACTAAAACTTCCATTGAAGTCATATCATGAGCAACAATAGTACCATTGTATACAACAGATTGCTGCTGGACTTCAGTATTAGAATCCTCAACAAAATCGGGGTTGGGCTTCGGTTCAGAACTACTCTTCGAAAGCCTAAAACCAAAGGTAAGTGGATCAGGCAACAGGACATCCATTACTGATGACTGAAGGGCGGTCTGTATTGCATCCTTAATATTCAATTCTCCCGAGCTGTTCCTCCCGGATTGCCACCTCACCTTGATTTTAGAGATTAATGTTTTAATAGAAGCATTAAGTTCAGCCTTGGTATTACGATCGCAAAAGCTTGAACTCCTAATTGCGGTAGTCCCATTGGAATGAGAAGAATCCTTCACAAGGAATGCACTATCGAGAACCGGCAATTTGAAATGTTCCAGGGGTATCAGTACCCTAGCAGTATACTCCCGGTCAATCCTCGTTTTTGGATACTCAAATTCACCACTATTCGAGTTTTCTAGCTGGACAGATACACCAATCTCAAAAACAACATCAGTAGGATTAGATAATTCCATTTCAAGAAAGCGGAGGCCCCAGCTTCCCCTGTAAGGGTCAATTTTCACGAAACTATCAGCCTGTTCTCTTCTGGATCTTTTAGCTTCTTCTATAGAGCAACTTTCGAGTTGAATAAGTTTTGGACGGTTGTTGTTGCCAATATAAGCAGGAATTTCCATCGACAGTAGACGTGCCTTGATCAAAGACATGCCCTGCAAAACAGAGATGCTCAATGGAATAACCAACCTTCTTCCAGGTGGCAGAGTAGTCGCATCTCCAGGTGGCTCTCCAGGATTTGCCGAGGACCCTGACAAGAAAAACAAATAATTACAAATAATGCAAAGTTCATACTGAAATAATATCACAAAACCCATGCGGATTACCTCTACTTGGTTTGTTTAATTTCCACATTTCTACAAAAATTATCTTTGACTAGAGAAGAATACCTGCATAATGAATCAGCAACATTGGGCTGCTCCTATCCTTCATTTCTCTTCCATTGGCAGAGTTGACATTCTTACCACCTGTAGGATCCAGATCCACAGGCCCCAGCTGCCAGGCTCTCAAGGTTATCGGGATGGTGACTTCAGCACCAGGTTTCAAAGGAAGGGAAGACCGTAAAGCTTCATAACCCATTGACATTACAGAGTCTTGGTTTTTCCCAGATAGCGACATATGCGCCTGCTCAACCGGGACTGTGCCTGCATTCGCCAAAGTGATGCACACCTCGCGAATCTCGCCTTCATATAAAGTGAAAGCACCATCGCCTCCAACTACACGGGAAACAAGTAATGGAAGCGGAGATACCACAGTAACATTAGGGAAGGACACATTTTTCAACCTGGGTGAGCCACAACAACGGAATGGATCAGAAAGGACGAGGCCTTGGGCTGCTCCAAGGAGCAGACTGTCCACATCCTTGAAGAGATGTTCAGTGATAACACCAAAACAGTGAATGATGCATCCAGGAATGGTCACTGGTCCAACTTTAGTGGGTATTCCCGATAAAGTGATCACCTTTGAGGAATTGGCTGGGAGGTTGATGCTGATTGGGAACGCATCGAAATTTTCAGAATGGACAGAGAGATATATGCTGTCAACATTTACGTCAAATCCACAAGGATTTGCCAATTCAACAAGCACCTGAACAGGTTCACCAACGACCCAAATTAGTTCCTGCTTGCTGCCACTTTGATGTGGGTCCCCTTTGCTAAATGGAGTGTAGATAAAAGGCCCTGAAGGAGCTGACCCAGCCCACCAATCTTCTCTTGCTGGATTCCGTTTTACAATGTCCATTTGTGAAGGATGCAGGGGGAAAGAATGCAATCTGTAAGGAAGTCATAGCCAAAAAAGAACATCAGAAATGTAAACAAAATTATTAGGCAGGAGAAACAGAAAAACAGACAAACCAAACAATGTTGAGGGTAAAGTGCATCCTCGATCCTTTTTGATACCATAAACATTTGTCAAAATAACAATTCTACCATTTACAAAAAAAAGAATGACCTTAAAAAATAAACATTTTGATTTTGATCTCTTTTGTGCTTTCATATGTTAAGAATACCAATGACAAATGGTAAAATAGTCCACAAAAGAATTGCCCCATCCCAAACCTTTATCCCCACCAATTACGTAAACATTTATGTTATTCGACAATTTTACCCCCTGTTGTGAAGGATTTTTCTTGACGGAATGATAAAAAAATCTCAAGTACAAAATGTTTATGGTATTTTTTGGTAAATGGTAACCTAATTATTTTTCATAAATGTAAAGGACAAACAAAGCACTCATAAAGGTTTTATTGGAAGAGCCGGATGGTAAACATTATGAGCGTCCCCCTATAAAGAGCTATTATACCATAAACAGCAAACACTGATGAGATATCTCCTACCAATGTATGCACATTCAACTCTCAAGACCAAAACATAACTACTTTCAAAGTCAATTATCAAAAAGATAGGTCGTAACTGGGAGATTAATGCTTTTTCCAGTGGGAATACCTTACGAAGGGTAAAGCAGGATCCGCACACCGAGTACCAGATGGAAGCCTTTCGGCTGAATTGGCAAGTGCACTAGCCAGGCCAGTTTGGCCAGCAGGAGTTATGAGAGGATAGTAAGATCTAAGAAGTCGTGCAGACGCACTCCATGCCGCAAGAGGGTCACCAGCACGTACAGCTGATAATAGTATTTCTCTTAAGACAACCATTTGAAGCGTGCTCCATTGAGATTCAAACAGCGACAGTACCAAGTTCTGATGTATTTTCAAAACATCATGCGCACCTGCACTGGCTTCCTTCTGCAAAAACAATAATCAAAATGGAACCTTAAAGTCACAAACAATATTAACTTCTGACACCAGATAGCTTCCCAAGCCTAGCAGCTTATTTCATTTAGTTGATTTACATGAAGTTAAAACCTACACTGGATTCGCAAGAATCGAAGTGTGGCAGCCAACAAGCACTAGAAACAAAAGGCTCAACAGCATGCTAAACATTTACTTCAATAAAATACTTGCATGCAGATGAAACCTTGAAGAGGGGGGTTCATTTTCTAGTTGCATTTACCGCTATCAGAAAATTATTCTACGAAGGTGGAAGTAGGAGCTTCATTTCAAAATCTCCGTATTTTCTTAATTTAACATTTTAAAGCCACCACCCAAAAGATTACATGGGTTTTCCACTTCCTCCAAAATAAAGAAAAAGAGTATGTGATTTACAATTGTTTACAGGGAAGTATCACTTATATCTTTTAACGTCATCCTCAATGCATAAAATATAACCAAATTCATCAAATGTAAGTGGTGCTTTCATCAGCAAAACATAAAGAGTATAAAGTATGGCCAGCTAATAGTATATGATCTGACCTTTGAACTCGAGTATTCGATGGATGCTTTACTTTGGACACGATATGCTTTCGTTGTCATAGCTAACACTTGCATGGCACTGATAGCAGCCAATCTATTTTCTTGTTGCAAATACAACTGAGCTATCAGCCTGGAGAAAAATGCAGATTTCCTATGATAACCAAGTGTACCAAACAGTCGAGCTATTTCAATGTACAATATTAGTCTATCACTTGCATCTATCAATGACTTTCCTCCATCTGCAGCTGTTGTCAACAACTCCACCACCTCTTTGGCAAGTCCGGGCCTGTCAAGAGACAAAGAAGGAGATATGGCATACGATACTTAAACCAAAAGGGAACAAATGCATGAATGACAATCACAGATAATAGTCTTGCACAAATTAAATAATGGAAACATGGATGGGAATCTTTTGCTCAATTAAACAATAAATGATCTATGATCTCGTATGCAAAACCACGCAGACAAATCCAGAAACAGGATGCAAAGTCTTCGAAATAATATTCAAGAACTAAGTCTTCTAAATAATATTCAAGAAGCAAGGCGACAGGGGAAGTGAGGGCACAAGACACACTGGTACCTAACTTTTGCATTTAACTTGACTAATTTAATCAACAATATCCCAATTGTCAAAAACCATGATTGACTTGTCTAATTATCTGGAAAAATAATTTGCTTTTCTTTTGCTTCTTGAACACAAGGTTTATAACAATATGCACAGGCTGTAAAACTCACCTGCAGAGAAACCTGGCCAGCTTCAATGTTGCTTCAAGCTCAAAACTTAAGGGAGAAACCCTGCACATGAAAAACAAGTACAAGTGGCCTGATGAACACAAAAAAGTGGAGCTGGAAGAAGCAAATTTAATGTATTGGCATTATGCTAATCTGTAAACATGCTCTTATCAAGAAATAAAAACTGACAACATAGCTGGATCAACTTGTAGCTGAGGCGTTAGCCTGTTCGTTTAATATTATCTACCCCAAAAAAAAAAAAAAACTGACGAATAAATCAGCTCTAAATCTTTCCCTATTCACCTGCAAATGATTGCAAGAAGCACTAACATCCAGTTTTGCTGTTTAAGAAACTTTTCAGAGATGGAAAAACGAAATTGAAAAAAGTAATAAATAGAAGTCAACACTAAAGAGGTCTAACTAGGTTATGTCAAACTCAAAGAAGATGTACCTCTGAGCATTCTCCTGGATAAACGATTTTCTGTAGTGCAAAATGACACTATTGTAACGGTATCGAACTTCCTCCTCCAGCGCTGGATCCATATGACCCATCCGATCTATCTGAATATAGAAACAGGACGCATTAGGCTTTTCGGATGCCTAAACAGTCAACAATACTAAAGAAGTTAACATTCTATACTCGTTTGGTTGGTGGAAAGGGGTTCCATGGTTCTAGTAACACGAGGAAAGCAAAGAGAATTAGAGCAATTAAAGAGAACCTGCCTATTGCAATTAGAGCAATTAAAGAGAGTGTAGTTACATGTTTGATACATAGTCTGAAAAAAAAGAAATACGGGCCAGAAAATCATCAAGAGAGAGAGAGAGAGAGAGAGAGAGAGAGAGAGAGTTTTCCAAAAACTTTTCTATCTTATTAGATATGAAGGGCAACATATTTCACATATAAGTTGAGATACAGAAGTTCACACTCACCAGCAAAGCACACACACTACCCTCCATTGCCCCAGCATACCAGAAAAAATCCCCAGTCAACCTAGCAAGTTCTAGAGCAGTGGAATAATGGGCATTAGCATCCACAGGCGATCCAGCCAATAAACAGTAGTCTCCGATTGTTTTCTGTGCACGGCCAAGTCTCCGTTTCTTTGACTTGATCACCTGCATTCAAGTTCTCATACTCAGTACTCGAGATCTGTTTATCATATTAATTTCACAAGAAATAGACTTTGGGACATAGCAAGTAAGAAACATGTATAAAGATGAACAAAATACATCAGGACACCTAAAACATAAACCTCCTCAGAGCTAAGACTGGCTTGAGAATCTAAAGGAGTCTTGAGAATAGTTCCAGAAGATTCTGCTTGTAGAACCCATTTCTCAAATTCCATCAACAAGGATGCAGCTAGATCTTGCATCATCGTTTGGAGGTGAAACTCCTGCGTCTGTCTATCGGCGGGTGGGAACAAAATCAGGTTAGTTCCCTTATCGCTATCATCATCTAGCTGCAAAAAGGATATCCACATCAATCAAGATTTTCTGTAACGAAGCATCAGTAGGCATAGAATCACTAAGATGTTCATATTGGGAACAATAACACGGACAACAAGAAACAAACTTGGTCTGGCAACATTTCGAAACACACCTATAAAGTAGCATACTGGTAGTCAGGGGCAATTCAAAGATTCTCAGGTTCAGACTAAAATGGAAAAAAAAGATGGCTGCCCATTTTTCATTTTTTCAACGGATTTCTCATACTAGCAGATAACTTGTTCGCATTCTCAACGCATCATCCAATATTTCAAGTCTAATTTTAACAAAAATCAAGAACAAAAAACTGTCACATGATCTCCTAGCTTTCTAGTGAAGTTGAAGTTGAGATTGAACCAGCAAAGGGAACATGAATTGCCATGGACACTCGTCAGTTTTACATTTCCTTTCTGATTACAGGAACACCACATAACAATTCCAGTAGTACTTTTTCCTGCACCCAGTTAATCAAAATGCAACCTAATCCTAATGCAAAATACAAACCAAAACTGGGAGGTCATCCATACAGGCCCCTGAATATAAGTCACTGAAACAAAATCAACAAAAACTGGAATGCAGAGAATGAAAACCTGAGAGTCACCGGGGCAGAAGGCGAAGCAACGCTGAATAAGAGAAGAAGAGTAACTTTTGGACGCGGATGCAAACTGATCCACAATGGAGTGGAGATCAGGGGAAGAAGGGCAGTGTGAGATACCAACTAAGGCAAGGATTTTGCGGTTGGATTGGAAATCTTCCCAAGGGCTGGGAGGGGAACCGCCAATGATAAACTTGAACCGGAGGCTGCCGGAATCCCAAGGCTGGTGAGCAAATGGAGACTTCTGATGCTCGGTGTAGAAAGAGCTGATGGAGGACAGGGAAATAGTGTGGTGGCGGACCAGCATGGAGGCGTAATCTCGGAATAATTGAGTTGGAATTGGGCCGATTGGAACCACCGCCACCCGAATCATGCAGCTCGTCTCGATGCTCACGTCCGGCTCCATTTCCTTCTCCTTCCTTTTTATTTTTTTCCCCCCTTCCAAGAAATGGGAGCAATAGAAACCCCCAAATCAAAATCCTAAATTGGTTCGAGTTCACTTGAACATAGGAACGATCCACAAATCCCTACTTTTTTCATGAACTGAAAAATAATCGCAAATCCACAAATCAAAAATGTTAATTTTCTTCGCACTCAGACGGGTAGAGCGGGAAAAATCGCGATATCCAAAATCAAAATCCGTAACTTCGAACCCCACTAGGAGAAAACTGGAATAAGCACAAAACCCAGAAAGCAATACCTCCCTCTTTTGAAGTTTACCATAGAAAGAAACAACTGGCAATACAATCAGACAGTGTATAGCATGCCCAGTAGCAAGATAAGTGATTTAGGGTTGCTGATGATGGATCTATTTATAAGATGAGAAATTTGATTGATTAGCGATGGGTTCATCCATTTTGAGTATAAACTTTTGAATAACAATGGCGATCCCTGTAATGAATACTACGGGGACAATGGGTGATACGGTGATCAAGGAGAGAGGGTGAATCTGCAATTTATCTTCATTTTGAGGCACAAATTTTGAATATTTGAAACTTTGACTCCCTCATACTCCCTCCGTCCCATAATTATTGTCACTTTGTCCAAAAAATTCTGTCCCAAAATTATTGTCCAATTTGACTTTTTATGGATCAAGTTACATATTTGTCCTTAGTAAAAAACATTATCCGTAAAATCTTAGTGGTTAAACAATTACTTATGTAGGGGTATATCCGGTTGTTTAAGGTAAAATATAGTTAAATTTGACCAAAAATAAAATCTTTCATTTTAGTAAAACTGGACAATAATTATGGGACGGAGGGAGTATTTGAATTTTTTTTTTTTTTTTCAAAATAGTTATTATCGAGTTTGCTGTAAAAATAAAGTTCCATATCTACATAAACTAGTATTGTCTCGTCGCTTGAAACTAGGACGGTCAAAGGAACATATAACTCGCAAATAATACAGTTAAAAATATTTCCCAACAAAAAGTGATTGCTGAGGTTGATAACTCAAGAATTATTTCCACGTTACAAAGCATGAAGAATATTGCTGGCCTTAATGCTGGTATCGTTTATGGCATTCGAGATTTGTTGAAAAGAGAATAGGTTGTGAAACTTAAATGTGTTTTGGGAGGCTAATTTCGTAACTGATTATCTGGCTTCATTAGCAGTTCAAGGATCAGGTGGTTTACAGAGATTTGATGATCCGCCTTGGTTAAAACATGATATACTAGATGTTATCCCAACAATCAAGATAACACAACAAATGTAAAAATATATTTTAAAGATCTTTTCTCGATAAAAGATACGTATTAGGTGAAATGCACGACAAATCAAAATGCCACTGGAGGTGGTAGAAGCCAAGCAAGGTTCGTTGATTCAATCCAATTAGATGCCTCTTTTAAGTTTTAACCATCCGCAAAGAAAGGTTCAGGAGCTCAGAGGTCCCATCATAGTTACAAAGTAAGGCGGTTTAAAATTACAGTTCTTCTCTTACAAGTGGAGTATGACCATAAATCCGAATTCAAGATATTTCAGATTTTGATGAATTTTATGATGTCATACGATTTGCTTGTCATTCGCCAAATTTTTTCACTTTTTCTATTTATCTTTGTTTAAATGGAAAAAGTAAACATTAGTCTATTTCATACCAAAAATCTAGTAGTTTATACAATGACTAGCCATCGATCCTCCAATGGTACACAAACTGGATTAATACTTCTCCTTCGTAACAGGACATCAATCTCTTCCGTTTTATATTTTAGAGAATATGGTTGGAAAGGAATGACAAATTATGGCGAATCCAAAGTGTAGATCCAGTGAACTCATGGCGACAGATTCAATAAGAGGTTCATCAAAACCAAGGCTATTTTGCTCGTTTAATGCCTAGCCTTACTACGCACCAACACAATCGGATACCTCAAGATTGTGCCAAACTCATCTTTGATGGACCTTTTAATCCACACACAAGGAAAGCGATGGGGCATGGAAATTAACATCCTTGATTGATTAGTTAATGCAGATTAAGTCGTTTCTCTTAGACGCACTGTCTCCTTTCCAAACGGAGGCAATGATATGTCTCAGGGCCTTAGAAGAGGCGAAAATTTTGAGAATTACACGTGTTTAGGTCTATACAGACTGTGAATAATTAGTCACCAATCACAACCTTTCATCCCCTACCAGCCGAGACACAAGAACTAATTAGATTACTACGTGTTTTAATTTCTCGTTTTCAATTTTACTGTCTAATTGAAGTCAGCCGGAACAATGTTAGTGATTTACATAATTTAAGGTTATGCAAGAATGCGATGTAATAGTACAGACATTCCTAATTAATAACAGTTACTTTTTTTTAAAAAAAAAACTAGCCATTTCGGTCATGTTCAACTGTTTGAACAATTTCGGGTAAGCTTGTGTATTTTTTTGTTGAATTTGGGTCAGACCCAAATTCTTGGAGCCCCAAACCCAAGAGTGAGCAGGAGGATTTAGTAGCTGTAATTTTAATGAAAGAGTTTTTGGCCCAAAAAGAAATGGTGAGGCCGTGAGTATGAAGTGTACGGACAATACTCCGCCGTCTGTTTCTCTTTCTTTTTTTGTAAAATAAAGTACACATTACAGATTAACAGGAGGAGTTAGTTTGGTTTAGATGGTCTACCGAAATCGTTACGTATGCTTACCATACAAAATTCCAACCTAAACCACTCTTACCACTACATTAATTCAAGTTTAGCAAAGCTAAAAACAAGAAATCAAAGAAGAATAATGATTTTTTTTAATAAAAAAATACTCTTCTTTATTCACCCGGATTTTTTTTTTTATATTTTCCGGAAAAGTTGAAGCAAACAGCATGCTGCTATCAACTTCTTTCTAAAAGTCTTATTTATATAATCTACTTTCAACCTAACTTTTATTGTTAAGTTTGAGTTTTAATTTTCAGTTCGTACTAAAAATTAAAATTCAAAAACTAAATAATAATTCTAGAAGGGAGGGAGGGAGTAAGACCTGTACATTAGGTAGATTATGCTGGTGAATTGAACTTTATCTACTACTACCTTCATAAATCTACAAATAAATAATATACTCCGTGTTACATTCTCTCACTTTCACAATAAATAAATTCCTAGTTTATTTGTAATTTATTAATATTATTTGGATAGGGTTTTTTTTTTTTTTGGTTGGGATATATTTGTTTTAAACAAAGAGGTTAAAAGGCCTGATTTAACCTGTGAGCGCTTCTTATCATGTCTTAAGAATAGAACCCCTTGAAAAACAGTAGTGATAACATGTGATTGTGAACTTGGAAAGTTGAAAGTGTTTTATTTCACGACAAAATTGCTTCAACTACTACTGAGTACTGACAATGAGAAGTGATCCATAACGACTATTTTATTTGTAAAGTCAGGCTTTCAACGAGAACTGGAGTTCGGATGGCTGTGAATCATAAACGTGTATTGGCTCATTTGGTTTTCTTTTTTATTTCTTTCTTTTTATATCCTTGAATATTGCGTGTTCCAGAGAGTTATTAGAAGAATACTAGCAATGATTTAGTAACGATTAATTCTTTATGTTTTAAAAATATGATTGTTAATGAGATTATTATTTTGGACCGATATGAAACTTTTTTTTTTTCAATTATTATTGATAAAGGAAAAAAAAAAGAATATTGAAACTTGCATTGGTTGCTGCAATAACTATAAAAATAAGGATGGGTGTCTGGGATCAGTTAGTGGTCATAATCACATGTAGACACACAAAAGCTTTCTATTTCTTTCTAGGAGGCAGTGGCATGCAACAATGCAACCTAATGATATTCCAAATCCAGACTTCCCCTAACAAATCCCAATCAATTATAATCATAAGTTACATATAGTAGTTTCCAAATGCCAAAGGTCCCATTTTTCCGAGCTGGAATATATATGTTGGTAATTAATAACCGTATTATATATATATATATATGTAAACACACTAATACCAGTAGCTATTTACTAACACTTGATAGATAGATAGATATAGAGGTATGAGAATCAGACAAAGCATGTGCCCATTTTCCCCTCTTAATGAATTTTGTTGTTTTCGTATTAGGGAAAACATGTGGCTTCATTGAGGGACTAGTCATGTGATCCCAAGCCCATTATGGAGTACTCATTCCGTCCCACAAAAATAATCTAATATATAACTTTTTTTAATTTAGTCAAACCCTCCAATGTACAACATTTTCTCATTTGAACTTTTATTTTTGTCCATGATAAAAAATTAATTTAATATGGTGTCAGCCTGTTAGGATCTCAGAAAATGAGATTTGATCCATCATCACCACTCCCATCTTGATCCCCGGCGACCACCAAGGTCAACTCATCCGCCATCTTCGCCAAACGTTTCCAATCCGTTTGATACAAAGTATGAATCATCATTCCTCAACAAGCAGCCTATGATGCAACCAATACAAGCTCCTATCCTCCAAAACAAAATCCTAATTTTAAGCAATTTCACTGCTCTCCCCAAATTTTTCTTTTTCTTTTTTTTTTTTTTTGAAGAAATTCACATTACTCTTCTCCAACCTGGCCTAAACCTTATGTAAATTTTCTTCCAATTTCACACAGTAAAGGAGAACTGACGAAAGACGTATGAAGAACTGATGAAGTACAGCCGCGAAAAAGACACGTGAATGGTTGAACGAAGACGGCCGACGATGAGGAAGACACCAACTGCAACAGAGATGGCCGGCACGAGGAAGAAAATTGAGACGATGATGATGAACAAAAAACAATTCGATGAGCTAGTGAGAAGGTGAGAAAGATTTGGGAAAATATTCCAATACTATCACCGGAAAAATTTGGAATTAAGAGTTTACCGTCGTGGACCAGTACCAAGTCACTGATTGAATCTTTTATAAAAAGGGTAATTAAGTCTTTTAATCTATTTTAATTTTGATTTTTGTGGAATTGGACTTTTTTTTGGGATATTTTTTTAATCAAACTGAACTATTTTTTTGGGACGGATGAGTAGTTTTTTACCATTTCGTTTAATTATCCAAAAAATCCCATAACTTGGGGTGCTATATTCATTTGGTCCTAGTTGATCAAAATTGTATTTGTCAAGTCTTATAACTTCCTTTTTACTTTTCCGTCAATTGACCATTAACAAACAAACGGTCAAACTCAAGTCATAAGGTTATTTTTGTCCTGAAATTTTGTTTTGGTTCTTAGAACATTTATTTATTTTTCTCCCTTTATTGTAATTCAATTCCTTTTAAAAATTTAATTTCATTTTACTCACTTTATTTAGTTCAATTCCTTTTTAAAAATTACTTCAAAATTTTCATCTTTATACACTTCTATTTTCATTTATTTATTCCTGAATAAATTGTTTCTAAGATTTAATTTGAATTATTATCACTGTTTAATACTATCATTATCTTAACTATAAAAATTGTAAATATTCCAAAAATTAAAAAATTACAAACATGTTTCTCCAGCTCCAACCATCTCCTTCCAATTCTAAAACTCACACAATCCTTCGATTTTAGCCTAAGAAAGACAAACGCAGGAATCATCTTTTTCATCGGAGCAACAAAATCGATTCAAAAATTACGGGCTTACACTTCTCCCACAACCTCCATTTGAAACATGACACTGGCTCTAAAAGTACATATATCTGGAACTGAGTAACCCAAATTTGCGAAGTTTAGATCAATGAATTATTTAAGATTTAACTATGAAATTAAAAAAAATGTGGCTTTGGGAATCTATGGTGATTTACGGTATGGGGCTACGGTGTCAACTGTCAAGGGATTGAATTGGGGGGGGGGGGGGATGATGTGGCTCGGTTTGAAATGCAATTATGATGGGTTTCAGGAAGAAGATGATTGTGGTGGTGAGTTGAAGATGATAGCCCTTATAGTCCATGGGTGGTGGAGGCGGCGGCGGTGATGGTGATGGTGGTGGTGGTGGTGGTGTGGACCAGTACTATGAACTAAATGTGGGTGTTGGAGCCATATTGATTTAAGGATTCCTGTGGTCATAAAGAGGAAGATGAGTAGGTGGCTTGTATTTCGATGGGGAAGAAATGAAAATGTGGTGAAATGTGGAGGTGGTGGTGGTGGAGGGGTAGAAAGATGAGGAAACGAGGAAGATGGTACAGGGGAGTTGGCCCAAATGTTAAAAATTGAAAGAACAAAGAAATAATAATAAATTTAATAGATGGACAAAATACCCTTATGAAAAGCAATGTTTGAATTGTTGACCGTGAACTTCTAAACGGTTAACGGATGGAAACTTAAAAAAGAGCAATTTTACAAGTTATGGGACCTAACAAATACGATATTGGTCAATTAGGACCAAACGAATATAACACCCCAAGTTATAGGATTTTTTGGATAATTAAGCCTTTACATTTCTATAATTTTGTTGTTATACTTCGTTTTCCGACTCTGGGGTGAGAACCAACTACAGAGTACACTTTAGTAGTAGTAGTAAACCAGTTGGGTTCTTATTCTTATAGTCTCCTCTGAATCCTTAGATGCTTTTTCAAATTAGTAAGTATTACTTCCGTCTCAAAGTTTAGATTTTTATTCTTAAAACAAATTGCACTGATAAGTAAAAATTTAAATTGGATTAGGACACACACAGTTTATTCATTCGGCATTTTTCCGACAGTACGCTGGATTGCCTGTAATCCAAAACCAATGACGATAATCCACTGCCGAATTTGGACCATCTGCCTTGGCTTAGCTTCTTTTTAACATATCATATTATCATTTGCCAATTGTTGTTGCTCAAAAAGGTTTCTTGTCTATGTCTGGGTTTCGGTTTCCCTTTTCCCCCCTGCCATCATCTTTTTGCTAGCTACTTGCAGCCACTTCCAACTGCTCCCTCCCATAATAACCAAGAAGAAAACAAACAGGTTTCAGTTTCTTATTTCTCTGCCTCGCTCGCTGCCTGGGAAAATAACCACATTCCGGGAATGAACGATTGATGGAGTCGGTGGTTTTCCAGCCTTGTTATGGCATCTGGGTGATGATGATAATACTTGCTGCTGCTGCTGCTGCCCCCGTCGTCCATTCCAGACCAGACCCTCCACCCCAAATTGCCCCGACTTCTCCCGTCCTTAATCATGGAGATGATGCTTCCAATTCAAAGGCTCTTCTTTCTCCAGGTTTCTTATAATTATCTTCCCGCTGACTCCTACTTTCAGAGTCAGTTTTTGTGTTGGTTCCATCATTTTCACATTTTGTTGGATGGAGGAGGTTGACTGTTTTTCAAGATCCAATTTTTTTTTTTTTTTTTTTTTTAAACAAAAAAAATTATAAGGTGTTGGGGGAACCATCACATTCATGGCATTTAATGCAGTAATACTCAGGGAACAAAAGAATATATTATCTTTCAAAATTTTCCCACTGAAACCACCCCCCAATTAGTCAATCATGTGTTGTCCTATTGCGGTATTGCCTTTCTCTCCTCTTCCAGTATTTTAATTTTATATATATATATATATATATACATATATTATGGGGTCTGTTCTGTTTAATGAATGGTTATTTTTCCATTTTTCATTTCCTAGCTTCTCAGCAGCGTTACTGTCTTTGTCCTGGTAAAGCTGATGCCCAGGCCTTATGATTTAGTTTCATTTCAAAATTTTCCTATTTGTAATCAGGGGTCCAAGTGGGAAGTGAAAATCACCACCCTATGGATTCCAACCGGAAGTTGGTAGTGGCCCTCATTGTGGCTTCCACTGCCCTGGGAACCATCATATTCTTCATGTTGTTCTTCTGGATTTACCTCAGGAAAAAGATTAGGAATGCACATAAATCCCAAACCGATAGTTTACAAGGCTCAGGTATAACTTTATTTATTCTCTTCAGCAATCATTGCTTCTTTGCCATCGGATTTGGAGGAATTCGTCTCAGTTTTTTCTGTCTGTTTGCTTTTTCTCTCGCTTCCTGTCTGGGAAACATGGTTTTTTTTTTTTTTTTACCAGAAGGGCTTGCATTTGGTTCATTTGGGGCTAAATATAATTCCCTGAAAGGCAGCTATTGCAGAAGGAGATCTGTAAGTATAATGGACTACAAGTCACTTGAAACAGCAACAGGTAACTTCAAGGACAGCCATATTCTGGGAGAAGGAGGGTTTGGATGTGTATACAAGGCCCAATTTGAGGATAATCAGTTTTCAGCAGTTAAAAGATTAGATGGAGGAACTCAGGATGCCATCAGAGAATTTGAGGTTGGATCAATTTCTCTTTTTCCTTACTTTATTTTAATGTTGAGGATTAATAGCAATTTCCCTTATTCGTTTTTTTCTTTTTTCCTTTGTTTAAAAAAAAAAAAAAATGCAGACTGAGGTGGAGTTATTGAGTCAAATTCAGCATCCCAATATAATATCTCTGTTAGGTTATTGCATTCATGGAGATACAAGGCTTCTTGTATATGAATTGATGCAGAGTGGATCTTTGGAATCTCAGTTGCATGGTAATCTCCTTATTTTGACATTTTCGGAATTCCATATTTGTTAATGAAGCAATCATCATCCTAAAGTTTTGACTTCTTTGATCTCCATGTCTAATATTCGTAGGACCTTGTGGTGGATCAGCACTAACATGGCATCGCAGGATGAAAATTGCCCTTGATATAGCCAGGTGAGTGCTTTTGTTTGATTTAATAAGCAGCAGAGAGCCTCATTCCATTTTTCTGTACTTACTTATTTCGGAAACTGATTGACCAGAGGATTAGAGTTTTTGCATGAGCACTGCAACCCTCCAGTGATCCATAGAGATCTGAAATCATCTAATATTCTTCTAGATTCAAATTTCAATGCCAAGGTGAACTGAAATAAATAGTTTACAACTTCCAATAAATCTCTCAACTCTCTTGCAAGTTGCATTCTTTTTATAATCTTTTCCTTTGTTTTTTGAATCTCAGTTGTCTGATTTCGGTCTCGCCATTGTGGATGGAGCTCAAAACAAAAACAATATCAAGCTGTCTGGGACTCTGGGATATGTTGCACCAGAGTACCTTTTAGATGGTATGCAAGTGACAATTTTAAAAGTCCCTATTTGTGATAGTCATTTCCGATTCTCTTGTGCATGCAGCTTGCTCTGAAATTGTCATAAGAATTGCATCTTCATCCGAAACGTTCAGATTATATCCAAAATAAGTCCCAATTAAGAATTCTTGAAGATTGGCATTAGCATTATCTGTTTTTCTTCAGGGAAGTAGACAGCCCAACATGGTTGCGTAACTGGAAGTAAACCTCATATTAGATGGATATTTTCTGAAAACATGTAAAGGACTTGTATAAATTGAATGGCCATTTTTAAATAAATAAAATTCCTGTGTATGTACTTGATGTTTGGCATTCAGGGTGGAAGTAGTAAAACTTCAGCAGTTTGGTCAATAAAATCATCTTGTTAACCTTTAATGCTTCTGTTTCTGCTTAAGTATATTCTATTATATGAACAAGAAGCTAAAATGTTGCATCTCCACCCGGATTCCAGATTGTTTCTGTTTCATGATATACTGAATGCTTAGTTTCAAACCAGATGGCATGTTCTTCAGTTATCGCATTGTCTATTGTCAAAAATGATACTTATGTTCTGCTTTTATCAGAAGATAACCGTCTAGTGCATTTGCCAGGCAAATTGACTGACAAGAGTGATGTTTATGCATTTGGTGTGGTTCTTTTGGAACTACTACTCAGAAGAAAGCCAGTAGAGAAACTCGCACCAGCTCAATGCCAATCTATAGTGACATGGGTATGTATGCCTGCCTTTGTTCCAATTCCCGACTTGATATATTGTCTCTGCATATTCTCTTTGGTGCATTCAAGGTCATTATTAGTGAGTTAATGCTGATCATGTCATATAGGCTATGCCTCAGCTCACAGATCGATCAAAGCTTCCTACTATTGTTGATCCTGTGATCAGAGATACAATGGATCTAAAGCACTTATATCAGGTAATCTTGCAGAAAAGGATCCTTCTCCGTTTTTTTTTTGCCTTTCCCATGGCAATATGTGTACTTCTCTTAGCTCTCCGTAATGAACCATAAGCCCACCATATGTTATGCATATTCTAACAAACAACAAAAAAATATATTCTATACATGATTGACCAGCATATCTGGAAAAGCTCCCATATTTTTGTGCCAAGCGCATGACAAATGTTCTCCAGCTGTAGTGCTAAAACTTAAAATGATATTGGCAATTTGGCATTATATTTGTAGGTAGCCGCTGTCGCAGTGCTTTGTGTGCAGCCTGAACCAAGCTATAGGCCATTGATAACCGACGTGTTGCATTCCCTTGTACCTCTTGTTCCCATCGACTTGGGTGGGACTCTGAGAGTTGCTGCCACTCAACATGCTCCTCCACCGTCCGGACTCTGAAGTGATTTCCTCTCAGCTGCAGATGCTAATGCTGACATGGTTGAAATTTCTTTTCAACTCTATCTAGACTAATCTGTCTGGTGATTAGCCGATTAGGAGGGTTTTTCAAATGGCATATTGGCAGAAGGGCTTTTGATCTTTTGATGATAACGTCAACCCAATATACAAAAATATGAATCGCCTTGATGCACATTGAAGGAAGCCATAAAATGAGTCTTTTTTTTTGGGTGTCTTTAGCACCGTTACTGAAATTCATCACTGTATATATGCGAAATGGTGACTCGAAAAACCTTCATACTAAAACTTTCTCAGTATGTGAGAGGAAAGGATTTTTACCAAAGCCTGTTTCATATTGCATTGCTAATTACCATTTGCAATTTGCCTAGCAGTTTTTGGCATATCACCATCCAATTATAGAAGCATGCCATTACTAGTATGTTTCCAACCAGTGAAAACGGCCTAATGCTTGCATAAGGAGTTGTATCATTACTATGTTTTCCAACCAGCCAAAATGGCCTGATGCTTGCATAAGTAGTTGTGCATTCATATATGCAACATAAATGATGTTATACACTTGAATGTAACAGAAGCCAAATAATCTTTTCCTTCTTGCTATTATTTATTGCATAATATCAGAACTCTCACTCCAATGAATAAGTAAACCAGAAGTTCAAATACATTGGTCTTGAACAAGATTGGCAAAGAGTACATTTATTGGACGAAGTTCGCAAGTTTGGCTTTCTCGACCAAAAATTTCCAGTTGATTAGAAGATGGTCGTAAGCCTCAAATTCTCTCTTCTTCTAGCTGACATTATGGTAAGAATCAATGATTGCATCTGCAAGATACTCGCATTTCGCTGAAGATAATCCAGCCAAAGATATTCTCCCGTCCTTTGTCATGTACACATGCCACTTGTTCGTCATGTTGTCACTCTGTTAGCAACGACATGACATGAAAGGGGTTCAGCATAACTCCTTAGTAGACATTTAAAGTTTAAACCATACAGCATATCTAACCAGCAATCATCCCAACTTCTTGGGCACTAGGGTAAAGTAAAAAGACCCCCCGAAAATGAAAAAAAAGAAGAAGAAAATTTCAAAAGCCGTTTTCAAGTGTTTGTGATGTCTACCTGTGCTTTATTAAGGCCTGTAAATGAGAACATCCCAATTTGTTTGAGAATAAATGACCAATCTTTTCCAGTCTTCTCCTTTGTGCAGAGGCTGCTGTAGAGTTTCTGCCGCACACTCTTAATTCTTCCAGCCATCATCTCCATCTCGTCTTTCCATTCACTAAATAGTTCTGGATTCCCAACCACATTAGCAACAATCCTAGCTCCATGAACAGGAGGGTTCGAGTACATTGGCCGTGCCAACCTCTTTAATTGACTCTTTACCCTGCAGTTCTCATCAATGATGTTAGTGATTCTGTCCATTTCAGATGCTTGAACCTCTTTGAATTCCACCATCTAAAAGTCAAAGAAGGGGTCTAAAAAAGAGACAACTAATAGCAAAATCAAACTTAGAAGAATACAAGGATACATTTAGATCTTTTGCATATTTACTAGGCTAATATTTTGAAGTGAAAAAAGTTAAATCATTTCCAGAACATAGCTTTGTGATGGGCAAACATAGTTTATGTACCTTGTTGCTGCATCTGCGGTGGAGCACACAACATTGATTGCTCCAATCCTTTCAGCATAAAGACCCAAATTTTTGCTATACGACTGAGCAACCAGAAGTTCCATACCGCGGGCAGCAAAAAGTCTCACAGATGATGCATCTGTGTCCAGGCTGCCACTTGCAAATCCCTGCAGTGCAACAAGAAGAACTTCACTTCTCCTATAGCATGCAAAGTAGCCATGTATAGTGCAACATGCTTTGCAAACTTTCCACACATTTTTAAGCATTGCCCTACAGATTCACAGATAACATAACGCGCAGAATCATTCCAATGCACAGGAAATCTGGGTTCGTCAGGAGGAAGGGTATACCTGATAGGCAACATCAAAGAATGGAATATGATTCTTCTCCTGAATGACATCAGCGATGATTTCCCACTGCTCAGGGGTTGGATCTATGCCGGTTGGGTTGTGAGCACAACCATGAAGCAATATAAAAGATCCATCAGGAGCGGCCTGGGAAAGAAAATAAAAACTCCAAAATGTTGGACTTTATCCGGCTAATTCAATACAATAAAATCGATCATCCATCACTAGTAGAATAGAAAACAGATAGCTCATTAAGGCAGACATGGGATGAGACAAAAGTTACCTTTATGTCAGCTATCATCCCGTTAAAATCTAAGCCAACAGTATTGGGGTCGTAATATCGATATTCTGACCACTGAACTCTAGCATCATTGAAGATGTTTTTGTGGTTTCCTGCAGAGATTTTAAGTTAATGTACATCACACAAACAAGAACAATTGTCAAAAACAAAAGAACCGAGTACAAACCCCACGTAGGTGATGATATCAGAACTTTTGCACCGGGAAAATATCGTTCAATAAGAGCAGCTGCAAGCCTTAGAGATCCTGTACCCGAAAGACCTTGAATAGTAGCAACCTTAAGAGAACAGAAAACACACACATCAATGACTGATTTGCGCTTCTGATCTTATATAGTGCAAAAATTCCATTGCGGCGAATTTCAGAGAGAAAAGAAACTTGGCCTACTTTCTTTTGCAAAATAATTTGGTTATCTGTTCCAAAGAGAAGCTCGGCAGTAACTTTGTTGAATGCTGCCAACCCTTCGATTGGAAGATACTACAAGTTTGCGATTCAAATGTCAGTGACCCATCTCTATTCAGTAACATGAATTCATAGAACAATTTCGGTGCCACGGCATTTACCTCTTTGTTATCTCCCCTTTCCAGCATCAGATTTTCAGCCTACAGGAAACTTGCCACAAGTTAAGCTGAATCAGACTAAATATTAAACAGGAAATGTAGAGAAAGAAGTACAACTGAAGGTAAGTATGAGCAGAAAATGAAGAAAATAACTTGCCTTCTTGACAACATTAAGCACATACGGTTGAAGGTCTTCTGTACGATAAGCTCCTACCCCAAGGTTCAATTTCATTTCATGTGTATCAGCTTTGAAAGCTTCAGAGACTCCCAGGATAGGGTCGGGAGGAGCCATGGTTATGTTTTCAAAACGAGAGGCATTAACAGCAACAGTCATTGTGGTCCGACTAAAAGACTGCCAGAGAGATAACATCACAAAATTAAGATCTGCTTGTGGACGAACAAAAAAATAAGCCCTTAAATTTGACTGAATTCCGGATGCGACTTAGTCGAGTGACAGCAAAATCCAATAAAAGCAAAACATTGAACTGAGGACAACAGCATGTGATCTACAAGAACGAAAACAAGCATTTATCTCAGTGTTTAAGGTCATATGACATCAGCGTGCTCGGTCGATGCACATTAGGTATTCTCTTTTTCTGGTGAAGCGTAAATATTATATTGAGTCATAAACCAAGTTAAGGACGTGTAGATCACTCTTTTCTTATATAAGCTAGCTAATTACTACAACTCTACGTTTTAGATTTTCTTATATAAGCTAGCTAATTACTCCCAGCTTCTTTCAATTTACTACAATAACATTTACCTCGCCATTGTACTACCTGTTTGATTACCTGGGTGAGATGATCAACTGGAGCCTTCTTTTTTTCAAACACACTCGTGTTTTTCTCTAGCCAAAAATGGTGAATACATGCAGCTGCAGCAGCAAACAATAAATTCCTTCTCACTTTACTTTGCTTCCAGGTAAACACCAATATTTTCCATCCATGCATTCTAGTGGGTATTCGTCTTACCCCACACCATCGTTTGATCTGTTTCAGCAATTGAGTAGAGTACTTACACTGGTGAAACAGATGCTGGCAGGTTCATCCTCCTCATCACAAACCTTACAGGTTATGTTTTCCAATTTCAAGTACAGTTACAACTTTCTCTCCTTTTATGGTTCATATACTTCCACGCTACCCAGCAAATAAAACCATGTTTCGACACACTGAACCTGTTCCAGATGACGCTTGTTTCCTATTCTGAGACAAAATGCACTGAGCCATTTATAGGCAGACTTACTTACCACTTGCATTTACAACTGATGCACATATTTGCTTTTAAATTTAAATGCACCATAACACTTTTTATGGTTACTTTCCCATCTTGTTTAGGTCTTCTCATCCCCTTTTATTTTGAGTTGGTGATCAATAGTTTTTAACGTTATAACTGGGGCATCCACAGGCCTCCAATGTACGCGCCCAGACAATCTGAAGTGTGATTCTCTCATTTTCTAATCCATTGTTGCAACCCCCACTTTCTTTCTAATGCATTTTTCGGGAATCCATGTCAACATTCTCATCTCTGCTCCCGCAATGTTTTAGTATGTTTTCATGATTAGTGGTAGTGGCACTACACTGATCTGTAAAGCACTGTTAGTTGTGTCGCAGTTATTTAGAACTACCATTTCAACCTGTACAGTACCATATGATCTAACCACATTTTCTACTAAGAACCTTGTCTGGTGATTTTCAATTTCAATGAATCAAAAATTGAGCTAAACCGTACAACAGAAAACAAGATCACAGTTCCAAACATATCTAAACAAGTTTTAAAATCGCCAGGTAAGGCCAAATCAACAGCTGCAGGGAAGATAATCAGGTTATAATACAGCAACCAATAACATCACTTTATGAACAGAAACCAGGTTCCATAACAAAAACATCGACATAAGCACAAGAGGGACATGGGGAACCGAACAAACTTCAAAAGATTATGAACGGAAAACCGGGTTCCAGTAGAACATCAACACAAGTACAAGAAGGAAATGGAGAGTCAACCAAATTCAAAACTTTATGAAAAGAAAATCAGGTTCCAATACATCAAAGTCCAAGTGAGTGTGGAAGGAACAAGGAATATCAAACGAAGGAAAAAACTTTGTGAACAGAGAATCAGGTTGCTACATAATAACATTAATATAAACTCAAAACGAACATGTAAAATGAATCAAAATTCAAATCTTTGTGAACAGGGAAAAGTAAAAGGCATAGATGAATGAAAGAATGGAGATTGTGAGAGAGAGCGCGCACCTTGGTGTTCACCAAATGGGTACGAAGGAAAGAAGAAGATTGATTAGATGTTCCAAGATGCAACCTCCTCTGCTTAAATCGACAAACAAAGAAAAATAAATAAGTATCAGAATGATCTAACAAATAATGGATTGACAATGGAACAGTCCGCTCATCAAAAGGAAAAAGAATGATGAAGTTCGGTGGCATACCTGATTAGGAGAGGGAAATGAGAGCAATACGTTAAGGGTTGCAGGAGTAGCCGACATGGCCATTGGAATAGGAGGTGGGTGAGAAATCTGTGATTTAAGCTGGCAGGATGATGCAGCGGGGGAAGTGATTGAAACAAACGGTTAAAGAGATTGGATTGAAGAGATCAGACCCCAAAAGAAAAAGAAAAATATTCAGAAGTGAGTTACTGAAGAAATCCCCTCGCTGTTGAAGGCTTGAAGCTCAAATCAAATGGTGTGTGTGTGTGTGTGTGTGTGTGTGACCGCTGAAACTCAAATCAAATGGAAAATACAGGGATACTAGATGGGATTAACACAAAACCGGGGATGAAATTGGGACAATGAACGATGAAAACTAGGGGATCAAGAATGTAAAAATTACTATTATTATTACTACTAGTTGTTAATTACTCAATTTGATTATGAGAGGACATTTAAAATGTGATTTCTTTAAACATCATTTTTCTTTCGTCTTTGACTAGATGTTAAACCCACACGATGTGCGGAGTTTATACATATACATCTATTAAAATATATTTTTAATTTTTAAATGTGATTAATACAAATAAAGTAAATCATTTGTAATAATAAATATATGATTAAAATTAAATTAGATCGTTATAAATAAAATTGTTACATATACTTTGAAATGACAACATTTTATAAATTGTATGCAAAAAATGTAAATAATGGAATATGTATAAGGATTATATACAAATAAAAGTAAAAAAGACCACCAAAATAATAAATCAGATGTTACATGTCATATAAATCAAAGCAATTTATGTCTACACGGTTAAAAACGCAGCAATCTTATTATCGTAGGAATACAAAATATTAAATATGCGGGCAAAAATATACAATATTATGATGTATAGCCTCATTAATTTTTTTTTCCATGGAATTCTATGGCAATTTTTTCATTATTATATGTATTAATTTGAGGAAAAAATCATCAAATATTTATAATTTTTATTGAAATATTATGGTTATTTAACACTTTTTAATCAAATATTTACAAAATTAAAATAATTTGAGCAACATAAATTTCGAGTCAATCTATATTCTATAGACGGCTTACATTATTATAAATAATAATGTGGGGTGTAAATATATTTTTTCGAATGAAGGCTTTCAATCTTTCTCAATTCACTATGATTCATACATTTGATTTTTCTTGTGAGTGAGTATTTTCAATAAATAAAGGTAAAAACCATTAAGATCACTTTATATACATCCCAAGCCAAATATCTGCTTATCAAAGTTGTACTAAATTGAAACATTCAACTTTGTCACATTACAATTATTTAATCTAAATGGTTTACCACTTTTTCCCATTCAAACTAACCGGGAATAAAAACAAAAGAAAATCAGAATCCATTACTTAAACTCCGGATCCGCACTACCAAGCTATCATATATCCAAAATTGAACTTTAATTTTTTAAGAGTTGAACGATTCAATTGTCATCTTCTAAATTTAACTTCCTATTCGAATGAAGAACTAAACCTATTTATTTTATCGGTTAATCCATTGATCATCATCGAAGTATATTTATCATCTTCCCAAATGAATCATCATCGGACCTCCTGCTCTTCTACTTAGGCAATGTAAATAAAAAGCCTAAGTGTCGTTTGAAGTTTTTGGAGGCAACATATTTCGTCGTGTTAAGTGCGGCGGAGTATATATTTTTCTTTTCCTACTTCAGATGGTCTTCTTCATCTTTAAGATAATAAAATCGAGATCCAGAGTTATTAACTTGAATAACCATGTAATGATTTATACGCAATTGTGAATGAAGGATATATGAATCAAGACAGTGAAATCTATGAAAAATAATAGATATCGTTGAAGAGTAAATTTTATATCAGTTTTTTAAGTTTAATTGTAGTTTAGGTATTTGACAAATATTTGTACCCGTGAAATGTTTTTGATTAGATGACTGTCCACACTTGACGGTGGAGTAGTTTTTCCTAGGAATCCTGATCAACCATGATATTTGCTTTGGCGATGCCGTCATGCTCCCGATTGTTTTTTTTTTTTTCCACGATCAGTAAAGTTTCTCTTTCTTGTTGATAAGATTGAAAGATGTAAAGACTAAAACTATGATTTTTTTTCCTGCACTGTTATTGCCTTTTTAAGTTTATCATTTATTATCCTCTAGATGGTATGCATCTCCATAACCACATAATGTATAATAACCACTTGAATTGAAGATTTTCCTTTCGATTTTCAAGGGTATTCATAATTTTTTCTTATTTAAAAAAGATAATCTCATAATGAACTTTGGATTGGACTTTACAACCTTTAAGTAATCGTATTTTCCTTATACTTAATATAAGGCACAGTAGGCAAGAAATTAAATGCCTAAGAAATATTCAGGGCCACCTTCAAATTGATCTCGTACGTCAGATGGCCTTGATATGACGCCAGCGACTTATTGGGGGTAAAAAGGAGAATGCATAAATTCAATTTCAAATTAATGAATGAGAAAAAATCTAAATTTTTGGTAAAAAAAATCCTCAGATATTAAAATAACGTCGTTTTACACCCTTATTTTATTCCCAGCAGTGAAAACGACGACATTTTTGTATCAATGTTTTCTTTTTAAAAGGAAATTTTGTTAAATCCCCAAAACAAAATGACCACAAATTATATTTGCGCTTCATCTTTCCTTTTTTCCTTCTTGTTTTTTAGCCTCCTCCATTTTTCTTTAAGACCTCTATTTACGCTGATACCCACACCGTTTTTTGGGATCGAAGGATTATATATAAAAAATTATTACAGACACGAATTGGAACCGCAGTTCCTCCGCCGCGACTAAAACTATAGCTGCGGCTAAAAATCAAACTGCCGCTAAAGACCACCTTCAAAATTGAATTGCCACCGCTAATGACCATAACCTCCGTGCAGAGTTGTTGAAGTTTATCGTCGGAACATTTGTCGATTGAGTCCATAGATTCGATTTTGCAACCTTCACCGGTGAGACTGTTGGGGACGAAGATAAAGAGCAATAACGAGAAGAAGAAGGGGCTCTAATCTTGATCGATCATAGATCGTGGTGCTAGACAAGATTTGAACATTGTTCTATATACATTACTTTTTCTACTTTTTCTTTTTCTTTCTATTTGGGCTCTAATTCTATTGCTGCAAAGAGTCGCTCACCGGATTTTCCAGAGGGTTTTTTCCTCTTCTTTCCGCACTACCGTGGATTGTGCCACCAACTCACTCACCGGAAAAAAAAAAGTTCGGTTTTTCTGTACTATTGTTGCTGCTTCTTTTTCCTTGGAGTCTACTCCTAATCTTTTCTTCTTCTTCTTTTTTTTTGTTGATTTTTGTTGGTGTTTACATTGCAGAACTTTCTAATAGGGTAGAAACCAGAATTGCATAATTTCCACTATTTGTTTCTGTTGAGAGCTCTCCGCACAAAAAGAGGACACCAAACCAGATCAAATGCCAAGGACAATCAGAAGGACTTTTTTGCTGGGGCTCTCCGCAGTTCCTGAATTGTTTTATTCTCCAAAAGGTTTGTTTTGGTGTAGTTCTCTTTTTATTATGATTTGTTTTGATTCTGCTTTTGCCATTCAATAGGGAAATAGTTACTGCATCATGAAATCTGGAATGATATCTAATCTTGTCTATGCTCACTGAATTTCACTTAATCCTAATCTTTTCTTATTTTTCGGGTTACCTAATCTGTTGTTTTTTTTTATGGATGTTCCAATTAAACTTCGTGGAGATGGTATCGTCTTCATCGTCCTCCTCGTAAGAATTTGATTATTTGTTCAAGTTATTGTTGATTGGGGATTCTGGAGTAGAAAACAGTAGTCCTTTGCTCAGCTTTACTCCAGACATCTTCGAAGATCTCTCTCCTACCATAGGTAATACTGATTTTATTTTTCCCTTTCATATCTTTTGTATTAAAATGAATTTGAAGTTTTGATCTCAATATTCACATATGGTTATGATTTTGGATGGAAAGGTAGGATTTTACGAGAATGTTTGAGTTGCTAAATTCTATTTAATCTAGCAGAATTTCATGTAATTGTGTTTGTTTTAGGTTGTTGTCGGTTAGTCATTGAATTGAACTCTTTCAGAATATGAAGAATTATAAGGAGAGTGAGAAATAGAGAGACATTGTCAGCAGAAATAGCAAAATTGTGGAACCTGAGCCATGTTATAAAGTCCTTTGCAAGATAGTTCCTTTTTAAAATTTCTTTTTTTGAATCCTATTGAATTGGCCGAATGTTTGTTCTTCTTTTGTGTTTCAAACCAATTTTAAATGTACATGGAATATGAAATATTTGCTGATCAATTGGTTTCATGTCAATTTATCTTATGTTAGTTGGACAAAGGTGCAGACTTTCAGCCCTGGTAAAAGTTCTCATGACTTACTATTTTTGGGGATATGATCATGTTTGCATTGGTGTGTTGTATACTGTCTCTACCAAACCTGGTCTGTTTTGAACCTATTTAATTGCAAAGTGAAAATTGAAGTGGAAGGGAGGCCTTTTTATGCCTTAGGTTTGAACATCAAATTTTGGTTTATTGAACTGGTAGACATTCTTTGTTGTTGTTCCCTAAATTTGATCTATATGAAAATACATTATCAATCACTTTAAAATTAATTGGGTTACAGAGGTTCCTTTACTGTCAACAAAGTGAATCACGTGGAAGACTAATCAAATGTAGTTTAGTATGCGATCGCAAGAACATTGCATCAAATTGGGACCAAAATTTGTCATAAATCCTCACTCCACTAGATATCTGCACCAAAATTTGTACTTCTTTTACTGACTTTATATACTTGTGATATTTTAATGTACTCTTTTTCTGACTTTATGTTTCTAATATTTGAATGTTTTATAATAAAGAACTAAAATACCATCTCTTTATATGTCTATGGTTCAAAAAAGTTGATTAGCCTTGAGAAATTACCTCCATGTCTAGATTGGAGTATTTTTCTCTAATTAATACGCCTAGGCTCTCTTTGATATGTATGCTAGATTATTTGAAAATTTGGAATATAATGATGAGCTACTTTAG